AAAACTATTGCATTGTTCCTAAAACACACTGGACAAGAAAGGATTAATGATACTTACCACCAGTTTCAGAACTTTGACAGGACAACATCAATGTAGCCACAAATAACCCAATTAGAATCTAGTGAAGATGGCAAAGTGACTATGTAAAAATTGCACAAGCAAAAATCGAGCGCCAACAAACAGATACTCCACGATGAATATTTATATCCTTCATATATGGAGGAAAACATATGACGGAGTTTGTTGACCAGCACTTGATATTTTTAGGAGGTTTTTTAAGAGGCTCTTGCTTTAAGTTAGTAATTATGATAGAAATTCTACTAGCCTAAACTAATGTAGTCTGAGTGCGCTACACATGTATGAAATCACTGATAATTTACGAATAAAAGCTTAATTGTTTATTATATTAAGTGTCATTATTTACCTAATGGTCTGGGCTGTGTAATTCCGTTTTTAGTCATCTTTGCGTAGCAAAGCTTTCCACTAGAGTTCGGCGCTTGCTATATATTATTATACCCAGGCTTGTTCAGTTTCACTTTGATTGCATTATTCGATTTGACCCTCTAATCCGGCATATTTGCCAACTGTCGGAAACGAATGAAGCTCGCAGATAAATCAGATAAGTCTAAATAATTGTATGGTAACTAATGTATATGACGTCGAAATACAAAATACATGTTTACGTATTTTTTAATGAGAGAATTTCTAAAGTCTAAAGCTCGCCCGGCTTACCCTCGGCGTATAACGGGCGTCTTGAAAAAGAACACACCGTACTTGCCTGTTATTGTAATATTGTGCAGTAAGTGTTGTGTTTGGATCTCATGTAAAACCTACCTCTTCTCTAGCTAAGGACATTTTGAGGAAAACTGATGAGAGAAGCAGATCTGTAGGCCGGGTAAATAGGTAATCAAATCTTGACTTGACTTCGACTTCGACTCGACAAGTTTTGACAACAGCGTAAAGATGACTTGAAAATGATTGTGTTACGTGTTATATTTTTATGACCTATGAAGCTGCAAGTCAGACTATTCCGTTTTAACCATCCCCAAAAAATGTCAAGAAAATGAATACCTGTCCACACCCACACACGCTTCAACCCGGGATAGATTGAAGGGGAGGAGAGAGTGATGACGAGGGTTACTTATGTTCTTTTATGTCTATTTTTTATTATTTTTGTTCCAGAAATGTCTGTTCTGAACATCGTGCTAAATTGATTGCTCATATAAAGAGTATTGTATATTAGGAATTCGTGTTTTTGGAAGTCAAGAACTGGGTCGTAAAATATAGCACTGCTGAACACTTTCAACCACAAATTTAAACATTTGCCAAAATAATACTAATGTTTCAACTAAGCTGAAGAGCTATCTTGTTCCCGTCACGTCCGTAGAACGGAAACAAATCCTGGCTGATCACTAGCAACATGTGCAAAGAAAGTGATATTTACGCGGAAGTTATAAATAAAACAATAAACACTTAATGACTGATCCCTCGGGAAACAGTTAATTTTGTTTCCCGAGAATCTCACTTAGTGTTTCCCGAGGCGGAGCCGAGGGAAACATTGAGCTTCGTATTATCGCTTCGGACCAAACTCTGCCCTCATAATTCGTTCAAACAACTATGGACAAGGGCTGCAAGAATTTGCTGACAGTTCAAGATTATTGTATGAGACTTTAAGATCACTGAACGCAATTAACTAGTCATATTTGGCGAAAATGTCAGGTTAGCTATGTACCTGTTGTGTTTCCCAACTCTTAAGAATCTAGCGGAGTTTCTTGAAAGGCCAGTTGAAGCAGCTAATTACCCAGTCTTCGGAAAGGTTGCATGACGACTCCCGCATGCATTCTCTCAAAGAAGTAACCCAAAAGTCAGTAGACAACCGTTACTTGCGAATCTCAATGCGGTGGCCGGCACCAAGACAACGACAATGGCAGTGCAAGTTGGACCCAGTGATCCACGGAACTCAGAAAAGGATTCGAATTCTACAACCTACGCAAAAAGTAAAATGTTATGGGTTGGTAGTATCTGCCCTTAAAACGTTCAGGCAAAAGTGTTCTCAACAACCCAACAGAAGACCCAAAACCAAGACCTTTGGGCAAACATTATTAACCTATTCAACTAGTAATCAACTATTCAACTTAATCAACTATTGTCGAGAAATTTAACATCTTTTTCACGAACACTGCGTCCAAGCTCCTGGAATCCGTTCAATCAACTACTATTCTTGGTCTCTCAGATGAAACGTTTACTAATGAAAGTTTTGTGCTTCAACCAATTTCCCAAAACTTTATTTTTAAGCAACTGAAGGACTTAAAAGTGAAAAAGGCCACTGGTCTGGATGGGATTTCGGCTCGGTTTTTGAAAGACGGCGCTTCGGTTATCGCTCCTACTTTGACATTTATTGTAAACTTATCGCTCAGTACTGGAATTATTCCATGTGATTGGAAGATGGCCCTTGTCGTTCCTTTATATATGTCTGGTGGACATGCAAGTATGGACAACTACAGACCAATCTCCATATTGCCGGTTATGTCGAAAATTATGGAGAAAGTTGTCAACGTTCAATTACAACGGTACCTACATAGGTTCGACCTTTTGAGTCCATTTCAGGCAGGGTTTAGACAACACCATTCAACGGAGAGTGCTGTGCTCTATTTCACCGATGAGATAAGAAGAAGTGCAGAGTCGGGAAAGTTAACAGGCGCTTTGTTTATTGATCTAAGGAAGGCCTTTGATTCTGTGCCGCACAAGGAACTCTTATCCAAATTGAGAAGATTTGGCTTTGGAGAAAATTCGATTAATTGGTTTACAAGCTATCTATCCGACAGATTTCAAGCTGTTTCCCTGGATAACGAGTTGTCGAGACCCTTAGCTGTCCTAAGTGGAGAGCCTCAAGGGAGTATCCTTGGTTCGGTTTTATTTACGTTGTATATTAATGATCTACCTTCCTGTGTTGATGTCTGTAAAGTTATGATGTATGGTGATGACACAGTTATCTTTTTCTCGGCTCCACTAATATCGGAAATTGAGTTACAGTTAAATTTGGAGCTGATTAATCTGTGTGAGTGGCTGTCTACAAATAAACTGACTCTCAATTTAAAGAAGACTGAGTTCATGGTTTTTGGCACCCACCAGAGACTGTCGCCAAGACATCGATGGGGCTCACATAACGTTGGCAGGAGAATCTGTGAAACACTGTGATGCCTTTTAAAAGTACCTAGGCGTAGTTTTGGACAACAGTCTAATTCCTTTAATTTGCATATTGACTATGTGAAGAAGAAAGTTTCTAAAAAACTGGGGATGTTCTCAAGAATTAGATCATCATTAACAGCTGAAGCATCGAACCGATCGTATAAATCGATGATACTACCAAATTTGGAATACTGTTGTTCTGTTTTTCATGGCTGTGGTAAAGGAAATGAAGAAGAATTGGAACGCCTGCAGAGACGTCCTGCTAGGATAGTGCTAAAGACGGTGCATTTGTCCACTCAAGATATGGCTTCCAGTCTTGGTTGGGAGCCTCTTAAGACGAGAAGAGAGAAACATATCGTCAAACTTGTCAAGAATTGTCTTGATGGACAAGCTCCAAGTTATTTCTCAGATTATTTTCGACGGCGAACTTATGATATTCATGACTATGAAACTAGGTCTAAGGATAGGTTATCTGTTGATAAAGTCAATCTCGAGTTGACTAAGAGGGCCTTTTTTTTATAAGGAGGGCTACCCTTTTTAATGATTGTATGTAGTTTTGTTCATAAGGAGGCTACCTTTTTCATTGATTATAATTATGTAATGTATCCCAGTTTCGTATATACTTAGTGTTTTTATCTTTTTATTCATACATTTTTATACAGGACCCATATTGATAGCAGTTTTTATAACTGAAATGGTCATCCTGTTTAAACATGTTATTATTATTATTATTATTATTATTATTACTATTATTATTATTATTATAACCTCAGAAAAAGCCTGTAAAACCGTTTACAAATCAATTATCGAGAAAAAGGCCACCACCCCTCTTAAAAGCCAGGGAAGATGGCTGTCTAAGGAAAATATAATAGGAAATGCGAACGTGAACTGGGAGAATACATACCGCCTCCCCTTTCTGTGTACAACAGAAACAAAGTTACGAGTGTTCCAATTCATGTTCCTCCACAGACGAATAACAACAAAAGACTTCCTCTTTAAAATCGGCCTAAAACAAGCAGACTCCTGTTCTTTCTGCGGGGAATTTACTGAAACCCTTGCCCACTTGTTCTGGTATTGCAGTTACACTCAAAAATTCTGGAAAGACATTTATCAGTGGATAACTCAAAACACCACCTTAAACAAATCCATTGCCTTCTCTCCTCTTATCTGTCTTGGACTAATTGATAATATCTCTGATTTATTACTACATCACCCTTTCCTTGTCTCCAAACAATATATTTACACATGTAAGTTAAATAACTGCAACCCTGCGCTACAGGTTTATATACAAACCGTTATGAACTCCATGGAAATTGAAAAAGAGATTGCCTCTAATAATAACAATATGTCTTCCTTGAAAAACAAATGGAGCCCTCTTAAACTTTACCCCTCGGACAAATAAACTTGTTTTTATTAGTCTAATGGAAACAGCGCAGTAAGACACGCAACAGCGCAGGCCCGACTAAACTCATTCGTAATTCCAAAGCTTATGTAATAGTATCTTCATAAATTCGAAAGCCGCTAGTCATTGACTACAATTCTTTCTCCTAAGAGGGCGAACTTCGACACTTGCAATTCAGTAAGTTTTAATTGTTATGCACGCCTATGTTCATAAATACAAAAAAAAAATAATAATAATAACCATAAATCATAGTTCACTCAGGAAAATGAATTCTGTTAAATAAATCAATGAAAATACTTAAAAAGTTTGGGATGTTATGATGCAGCTGAATGCTGGGAAATACAAAAAAAATGGTTGACCTTCCTTGAAGGTGATCTTGAAAATCTATCACTATCATTGATATAGTAATGCAATGGTCCAGCTCAAATTGCTCACGTCCAGAGAGAATTCTCTCCAGTCAATTCATAATAAGGCAGAGGTTACACATTAATTCACCACTAAGAGTTCTAGTATTAGCACAAAAAAAGAATGAAGTGTCGTGAGCTAAACGGATCAAGGCAGTCCTTGTGGTACAGACAACACACGACACGTCCCATCGGAATTGAAATCCATCAACAAGTGATGATTTATTTAGTTTAAGATCAGATTTGACTCCCCGCCAACTTACCCTCAGCGCAAACCACGTCTTCCATTCAAGGAAAACAACTTCCTGTCCCGTTCAGTCAGTCGTGAAGGCTTCTTATTGGAGATGATGAAATACGCAGTGGTAATTCTCGCTGTACTTATTCAAGGTAAACTTATTTTGGTTCATTTTCAATCAACTGTAACGCTTTCACTTGATGAGATCAGTTTACTTACAGTTCAGTTATTAGAATTATTAACCTACGTTTCTTTGTTGAAAATGCAGTTCCACATTTCTTTCACTTAGAATAAATCGGACCTCATGATAGCACGCGTAAGCTACTTACGTGAAACCTGAAGCAAATACAGTGATAAAATGTACAGTATGAAAATCAACGATGTAGTGAAGTATATACAGGCAAGCAACAAAGCAATTACGTGTGGGCCCAAATTCGTTGTTTACGACATGATGGTTGGCTTTGCAGATTGTGTAATACCCTAAGATTATCTGACAGGCATTTGATTTGGGAGATGTCATTCGCTTTATTTTCATATTATCGCGCGATTGCTTGCAGTGAGCGTATGACCCATACCTTCTTCTTTTCTGACCCATACCTATGCTGTTTTGTTTTTAAAATGTCGCTGCACATCTTGATTTCGGTCGATGACCGTTGTATATGGTGTCCCGAGGTGCCCCGATGAAAGAAGTAGAGCCAAACAGTTATATTTGACAAAAATATGTAATTCATTTTATAGGCATTCAATCCAAAAATTGCACCCGCACAAACACAAAAAAAGATTTTTGTGCTAAGTCATGCGATCCTTCCCAAAACAGCCCTTGCAAAGGAAATAGACTTTGCCTGTGCGATGGCGACTGTGGCTTTAGCTGCGTCAAGGCAGGTGTGTATCTTAATTGCAACATCTTTGTCTTTTCAGCTTATACTGCCTGTCAATTTTGTAGTTTCATGTCGACGGGATTGATAGGAGTGGTTGATTCTTATTTATTTTTCAAAGGATCATATTCCTAACCGGTGTGGTAACGGGAAGAGCGAGGAGGAAGTAAATTGTGATCCCATCAACGATCTCCTGGCATTTTAAACGAAAATTTTCTTATTCCATGTTTTGACTTTTTTTCATTTTTATTACAATTGATTAAACAAAATATTTCCCTTAATACATCATCCGGATATACTGGTAGAACAATTAAAAAAACCTTTATACACTGTTATAGAACGTGCTCTAGGATAAGTCGTTTCAGCGTGATTCTGTAAAAACTTCTGCTTTCCTCAGAGCTACCCGGCCCACACTGAATGAAGGAAAGGGGTTTATACCCCCCCCCCCTGGTAACGAATCTAAAGAAAACAGTTTCATCTGTATGGAAAATATTTTGAATTGAGTGTGATTAGTCCTGAAACACTTCATTTGGATCAGTGTGTCCATCCTTTACCATCTCGTTGCAACAGACGACAAGAAAAAGATTCAGTGCTTAAATGTTGTTTTAAATAACAAAACTGAACCATTACATGTAGTTTTGGAATTCAATTGATGCAGAGACACTCTTTATGGTGATCAGTCTCTCCCACTTATAGGCCACGAGTCAGTATGCAAAAGACAAAGAAAAAACATCCCCCCCCCTCACCCGCTTTAAGTGCCTGTTTCGCGCTTGTACATCAGATTATATTTTTGTTTTTTATCTATTATCCGGATGACTATGAGGTTGATGTTTGTTTTCCTTATCACGCCGAATGAAGTTGTAATACAACTAATAATTTGCCCATGGCTCTTAGCCAGAGAGATATGGCTCGATAAACGGATATTACCAAAGAACAAACGTTGTAATGAATTTGCACATGTTTCTTTCTCTGTGGCAGATCGCCGTTGCCCGACGCCTACGATACCAGCTAACGGACGAGTTCGTGGCAAAAACACTACCTTTGGCTCCGTTATCAAGTATCGATGCTCTTCCAGTTACAAACTACAAGGGCCTAAAACAAGAACGTGCAGAGGAAATGGGAAATGGGACGGAGAAACGCCAATCTGCAGTTAGTTGAACAGTATAGTAATGATTCCTCTATTTATAGTGTCCTCCCCCAAGCAATTCTTCCCCCTTACAGTCAACTCTCGCCTTTCGGATACCTTGCTATGACAGACACCCCGATAATACAGACAGCAGCTAAATCCAAGGCAAAAATAATTTACAGACGATTGACTGAAATAAACTCCCGCTACTACGGACTCTCGGTAATGAGAACACTAACTCGAGGTCCCAACAGTGTCCGCCATAAAGGGAGTTGACTTTGTTCAGAAAAAAATCACTCCCTTATTGAACTTTGTTCTAACAAACAAACAAAGGCTTTTACAGTCAACTCTCGCCTTGCGGGCATCTCTTTATTACCCACACCGCGCTACGGATAGCTGCTGAATGCCCGGCGAAAATTTCAGACGTTTGACTGAAACAAACTCCCGCTTAATCACAAACTCTCGCGATTACTGACATCAATCAACATCTTGCGGCAACATTTTGGTAGAATTATCTCAGATTATAATTTATTTCTTCCTCTTCCTCTGTTCGTCTCTGTCACCTTGGTTGAAAAGTGAGCATTCCGATTTCTGTTTAACATCATACCTCTATGAAACTACCGTATTTACTTGCAAAAAACAGTCAGGATGCACTTAATGTACATAAATTGGAATTTTAATACTGTACTTTATGGTTTCTCAGTAGTACTGTATCTCATGAACGCAGATGTTGTAACCATATCAACAATATCCAAGTACTCCATACTCCAGTTTTAAATTAATTGTATTAAAAAAAGCTCTCTTTCAATCAGAAGGAAGGTGTACAGACCCTGGAGACATATCCAACGGGAGAAAACAAGGCAATAATTATGAAAGTGGACAGAAGGTGAAATACACGTGTTCCAAAGGTTTTACAATGCAAGGAAGCAGTACCTTGACATGCAAGAACACAGGCAGTTGGAACCGACCTAAACCCAAATGCGTTTGTAAGAGAACTAATACGAAAGCTTTCAGATACTGCAAAAAATCCTGCAATCCTAAGAGAAGAGATTGCAATAAAAACAATGAATGCGTGTGTGATGGCGACTGTGGCTACAGCTGTGTTGCAAAAGGTACTCGTTGTTTCTGTACTTGATTGTGACTTGATTGTACATACACAGGTACTGCTACTGTGGCGTGTTAGTCATTAGTTCTCTTCGACATGTTTCAAGAAATTACTTTGCCGTTACGGTGCCTGAGCATGCGTGCCTCTATGCCTCCGTAAACCAGCCACAGCGTCGACCCAGTTGCTCTAAGCTCAGTTAAAACTAACCCCAGAGAACCCCAGAGGATTAATTCACCAATAAGCGTGCGTTTTTGTATGCTGTTCTGCACTTTAGTGGGTCTCTGAGTAAAGCACACCAGGGTTCAACAGTAATTTTAGAAGCCAATTTGCATGTTCAAGGACAAAAACGTTTTGTTTGATCATGATATTTAGCTTAAGCCTGATTTAGCTTTGCCAGCATGGATTGTACTTTTTAAGGACCGCTTCATTTGTGCGCTTCCAGTCGGCTATTTTATGCTACTTGTTTAGGGATGGTAATTAGCTGCATTTAACTGACTTCGCCTCTGTAGGTTTAACTTGTAGCAGACCAGTGCAAATTGACAATGGTAATAGACAATATACCTCCACAAAGTTTTGGTCGACAGTCAAGTATCAGTGTAACAAACCCTACACCCTTGTCGGAGCTCAAACTCGAACTTGCCGTGGAATAAGAAGTTGGGATGGCATCGAACCCGTTTGCAGTGAGTATATGTTCACCAGCGGTTCTTTGCTGCATGGTTTCATAGGATTTAAGGTCACTTATGTAATTAAAAACTAGCACTTTTAACTTACTTTTGTTCTGAATAAATAAGACATGTGTTTTTTTGAAAATGAAGAAAACTTGACGGTGTAAATCAGAGCGGCTTAGGGAAGGAAATTAAAACTGAATTGAGATTGTGTTGATTGTTTGATTGTGATTAACATAATTTGTTAAAGCAAAACATCACTAAGTCTTTTAAATGGATTTCAGCGTGATTGTTCACTAATTAATAGACCATGGGCAACGACCCGCCGGGGGGGGGGGGTTACCTGACTAATATTTTGGTATATGAGAGCCCCTGAGGTTTTGAAACTCTGACCCTGTTTAGGACGAAAAAAAAAATTCTAAAACACCACCCTCTTTAGGACAACACCCTTCATTTTACTACCCTGTTAAGGGCAAAGGACAAAATGCACCCCGCCCTATTGGCAAATGCATTACAGCAAATTCACGTTATAGTCATTTCCTTTGTATTGTACAAAATTGATCCAGCAAATGAAACCAATCGTGCAAGCAATACCCTGTTGACAGACTCTCACGAAATTGCATACCTCGTTTAGGACAGAGAGGTCAGAAACCATACCCTGCCAGCGGCACATCCCCGTATAGGCCATATGAGGGAGAACCCCTTCCAACCCCCCCCCCCCCTCCTTCACCACCCTTGCTCGGGGCCAACGACTCATCACAGTGAAGCTTTGTATAAAATAAAATGCATTCTGACATTGCCTTGCACTTTTAAAGCTAAACTAAACTTTACTCTAAATGATACACCGTGTTAAAGTATTTCATATTTTTAGAAATCATCTGCCAAGACCCAGGAGATATAACACACGGGAGTAAACAATCCTTTCGTAGAAATTACGACGATGTTTATGCTACCGTGGGAGACAGAGTAGAGTATAACTGCTACCCAGGCTACAAAATGGATGGCTCTCAGCTGGTCTGCGATAAAAATGGAAAATGCTTTAAGCAGCTGGTCTGCAATAAAAATGGAAAATGGAGCGGATCCAAACCAAATTGCACAGGTAGGTGGACCTAAGTGCCTCTTCAGCCGTACTTCAGGAAGTAATTTAAAAGGAGGTGATGTGCTTACGAAAAATCAGCGACGAGCAATAAACATATACCGGCCTAAGTATAACACGATATATATGCTGCTTTCGATCTTAAAGATACATTGTTTGATATACATGTACATGTAGTTCTAAATAAGCCAATTGTAATATAAAATGTATTTTTCAAAACTAGAAGGGGGATGCTCGTGATAGGCTCAACTAGCCTTTTTCCCGATTTAATTCGAATAAGAATTCCAAGTCGACTCAGAATAGCTTTTAGGTTTCATTTGTTTTTGCTTACATTTGATATCATGTTTTTTTTTCCTTTCCCCCATTGCTTTGTAATAGTACCAACGTGTGGTCCTCCTCAACTTCCACCAAATTCTGAGTTATGGCGCTCTCAAAGTGGTAAAACTTCTTACAACTATAACGAAAGAGTGGCGATTAAGTGTAAAAGTGGATATTTCATCAGAGGCTTTGGATATAGAACATGTGTTAGTTCCGGATGGACTGGACCCAAATTTTCTTGTTCTCGTAAGTTACATTATACCGTTAAATTAAAATAATTTTAAATTTTTGCATTCAAAAACTTTTTTCGCTATAAACCTGTTTTTTGTAAGGTTATGAAGACGCTTATTCTCATGTGATTGTGGCCCGGTGAGCTTACGTCACGCAAATTAAGGTGATCGTTATATTGGATTTGACTTGGATTTTCAAGTAGACAAATGATAACCTGTTTAATCAAGTCTTTCCTGCCTTTGAAAAAGCTTATGAAATTAAACTAAATTTGTGCAAGGAACATGTCTTTGGAACAAATAAACAGCCTTTAAAGAATAATTAAGGCTCCAATTTTCTTCCACAAATAACGTCAAACAAACAAATCCCAAAATATAACATACCGTAAAATTCCGAAAATAAGCCCCTCCGTGTATAAGCCCCTCCAAATATAAGCCCCCTAAACTCGTAACGCAAAAAACCCTCCATTAAATCGCCCCTCCAAATATAAGCCCCCGGGGGGCTTGTGCTTGGAAATTGCCTTCTCAAACTCATTAATAATTCATAAAGAAAATTCAAAGGAAATTAATGTTTGGATATCGGATGAAAAACTGCTCATTTTTGCATCCTTAATTTCTCCTTCAAAAATGATTTTGTTTGAGAAGAAATATCAAACATTCGACACAGTGTTTCATCACCAGATGAAACACCTCGAAGTTCGTCAAAAATACTCCGCCGCGCGTCGTATTTTCAACTCTCTTATCGGTGTTTCATCTGGTGATGAAACACTACGTCTCATGTTTGATATATTACCTCAAATACAACAGTAAAACAAAGCACAAACGGCAAATTTACTTCCAACTATAAGGCTAGCCCGATCGATTTTGAAACGCAAATTTCCTCCGTAGATAAGCCCCTCCGAATATAAGCGCCTCCAAAAATAAGCCCCTCAAAAATGGCCTTTGAAAAATATATCAAGGGATGTAATATATCAAGCATGAGAAGCAGAAGAGAGTTGAAAATACAACGCACAGTGGAGACCCTCAGTGGAGTATTTTTGACGAATTTCTGCCACTGACAGAGATCGCTATAATCGCACGCGCTGGGTGATAGCAACATATGACGCAATTCTCGACCCACTATTAAATCCAGGAATTATCAATAACCTTAACTTTTTGTTCCGAATGTATAGTTGAAAATAAATAAATCTGAGAAATGACCGGTTTGGATTTAAACAGAAGACAAAATAGCACCTACAAAAATTACAACTCTGGTGATGGAACACTGTCGAATGCTTGATATTACTTGTCAAACAAAAGGATTTTAGAAGGAGAAATTATGGATGCAAAAATGAACAGTTTTTCATCTGATTTCCAAACACTTATGTACCGGATTTTTCTTTATGAGTTTGAGAAAGTGTCATTCAACTTTTCAACAACTATGGCAGTGGGGTAAATAATTTTGTTGAGGGCAATGAGGTTATTTTTTTTGCTTGGAAACAATTAGATTTCGCTCCAAAATCCCTTTTTAGCTTGCCGGGCCCTCGATTTGCGAGTTGCTTTCCAGACATTGAACGAGGAATGACCATAGATTAGAATTTTTTTTCGTGGAAAAGTGAAATTGGAGTGGAGTAGAAAAGTCGCTTATATTTCACTGACGATAAAAATAGTTTAAGCCGGCAAACAACACCGGAAGGGGAAAAACAGAAAGAGACGTTAAGCTTAAGTTGTAATTTTTGTTGCTATCACCCAGCACGTGTGATTATAGTGATCTCTGTCAGTGTGAGAAATTATGACAAATGTGAATATTTCTTTTTACTTAGTCCTCAGCGAATGAATGTTAAACTAGACACATATAATATGCGTGAGCTCGGGCGTCCGTATAAAAAAAAGGCTCCAATTAGAAAAAAATCACCTAAGAAATCTTGGTCTTCAAAGGCTACGTACATCGAAACTAGACTCGCCGAAAGGAGGTTTTAACTGCGCTTCCATAATACTGTACAGCCGCCGAATTCGCCAGTATTCTCTTTCTAATGGGAGGGAACGGCTGTACACAGGCTACAAAATAATCTTGTCGCCGACCATTGCGTGACATAGAATCCTTAGCCTGCGTAGCAAGCGTTTCCAATCGAGCTATTGCGCGAAAGTCAGAGCGGGAGCAAAAAGAGATGGAAGGGGAAGAAGGGAAGAAGAGGAAACGCTTGCCCGTAAACCCCACAAAACAACGCCCCTTGATATTTCACGGTTCGGTTCATTTGTAAATTGACAGATAACTAACAGATTACTGTAAAATTTACTTTGTTCTCAAATAAAACACGCTCCACGCGAAACTGTAATAAAAGTTTCAGACTCTGAGCGATTGCTGGGAAATTTCTTGTTTTTTGCTGTTAAGTTAAAATTGGAACTTTATGTGGCTTTATCTCATCTGAAATCTTGTCAAACGTCGCAAAGAAATGACTTGTCCGGGACACTTTACTCCGCCGGCTATGAGTTTTGCAGAGCGGCTGCTCTCCATAGGCAAGCCCCTGGCAAGCCAGTGTCGAAAAGTTCTCTAAAATACATGCCGCCAAATTTCCAATAAACAAAAATAATCTTTTCATTTCAAAAAGTAAACAAATCACTTGTCCATGGCGGCTTTAGCTAGTGTCGAGTACCGATAACGCAATCATTCCCAATAAATTGGCCTTCACTAATCTCCACGGCTCGATCTCCAGTTATACTTTGAAGGGACTCAGATCTAATAAACCTTCGCACAAACACGATTCAAATAAGTATCAGTCCAAAGCATTTGCAATCTGCGACCACAAATCAGACCAGACCAGATCTGTGACGAACGTAAACAAAACATACCTGGTTTGATTGATGTATTTATTGCTGTTTACTCAATAGTTCCAACATCGCACCAATCGGAAGCTCAAATTGTTTTTGTTCAAGCGATTCATCTCGTACCCTGGGTGCCAGAGGCTTTTCATGCGCCGTTTCCGGTTTCGGTTAAGTCTTAAAAAGTGACCCGCACGAAAAGTTTTTTCAAAAGCTCCTAGTCGCGAGAAAAAACCTCTGGTACCCGGGGTATTCATCTCGAAGCTCAAAAATTGACCTTTATATCCTAACTTTATACCCTTTACTCCTTTACTCCCTCACTTATTCATTTACAGTGTTTCTTCCAGTAAAATACGGGTTGTTTACATTTAAAGGTATACATGTTAGAGCGAGATGTGAACTATCAGAGTTTATCGAAACTCGCTGATGTTAACATTAATCGCGCTTGTTGAAATGGAGGCACAAATTAGGTATAACATTCGATCACGCACAAACTTAATGACAGCGATGCAAACAAAAGCAACTTGAAAACTGTACACCGCAAGCGGTCGTCCTTATTTCCTCAGAGCCACGCGCGGAGAGAGAAGAAGTAAAACGACGCAAATTTATGAAAAAAAACAAACAAACAAAACAAAAAACAAAATCAAAAGAGGAGAGATTTGGACGTAGAGAGGAAATTCCCCCTTATCTGCCCTCTCGCCAATGAGGAAAATAAGGCCAATGACGCCAGTGTTTTCGTCGGACGAGTCTTCTTTATCCTAATCCGAAATTTAGAACTCCAAAGAGGCGTGTCAGAGAAAGGAATAGATCTTTAAACGCACTGCACTCTGCAAAGATCGACAAATAGGCTTTATGGACCACGCAATGTCCTCTGGGTTACTGCGTTAATTATTGATAGTGTTCATTTTTTGACGGACGCACAGGCAGCCCAGTTAATAAAACCAGTCTACATGCATAAACATCTGGAAATGACTGGCCATGTGCTCTGGTTTAGTCCGCTGGGCTTATTTTACGCATAGTCTTAGATCTTGTGCACGCACTCTGTGCGCCAATGAGTGATTTGTGCCAGGATAATAAAAGAAAAGAAAAGAAACGGAGCCCATTTTTTAGCTCGACCGTAGGCATGGAAACGTCCGAGCAATAATGAATGTTGACGGTCAGAAAGCAACATTATTCTTCGAAAGTGGGAGAATTGGGCGGTTACTGCATGGCCTTATCATGCTTAAACTTCATCTGCTCATAGACAGAGTGCACAAGTCATTTTTCTGATACTGAGGTGTTTCGCTCGTATGTTTTCAGCAAAATCCTGTGGTCATCCTGGTAGCATTTCAAATGGAGAGTTGAAATCTTACGTCTTTACATTCAAGAGTAAAGTTCATTACCAGTGTATCCATGGATACAAACTTGTTGGAGATAAATTTCGTCAGTGTCAAGCTAATGAACAGTGGAGTGGAAGACAGCCCAAATGTGAACGTACGTATTGTAAATAAAATATTAACTAGTGGACTACCACAAAATAAACAAACGAAGAAAGGAAAACCCCAAACAAACGAAATTGATGGATGGATAAACCATTGAATGGAAACCTTAATTACCAGTTTAAACTGACGATACGTAAGCTAAGTCAGGGCATACCAGTTACAATCGTTCGACTTGTTTTGTCATTAAACTACTCAAACTCAATAAAATTGTTTGTAATGAAATATTTTAAATGCAAAACAACAATCGGTAGAAAATGTAAGGAACTGTTAAAACTAGGAGTACTGTTGTGGTTTAATAGAGTTCGTCTATTTTGTAGATGAAGTCAAACATAAATAATAATATTTAATGATTTTATTGCGCATTTTCTATAAAAATACAGGAGATGTCGCCTTTTTATAATTTTTAAGATTTCTATGCGCCTCTTTTTCAAAGTGATTGACTGTGGAGTGTTACCCACACCTGACAAGGCTTCAAAAGTATCGGAAACTCACACGAGGGTGGATGGCATGGTCCGATTTAAATGTACAGAAAAGGGATACGAGATCAGTGGTTCAGAAATAAGAAAGTGTCTCAATACTGGCTTATGGAGTGGGACAACAACCAAATGTACAAGTAAGTTACGTAGCAAGAAAAAAAGAAAAAAAGATCAATAAATAAATTGAACATCTTCACTCTAAAAGAAAGAAAAAAAGAACCACTAGAACCTAAAAAAACAATTTACTCCCACGGAAAAATTGTTTTGCCATCTATCTGAGCTCTAACTGTATTAACTTGTAGTTATCAGCTGTGCAGACCCAGGATCTCCCATAAATGGTAAAAAAGTCAATGCCAAAAATAAATACAACTATGGAGATACCTTGAAATTTGCGTGTAATGATAACTACACATTGGAAGGCAACCGCCAGATAAAATGCGAAGAAACTAAAGACTGGAGTGGAGCTCTACCTTATTGCCGAGGTAACAATATTTACGTTAGAATTTCTCTCATTTCCTTTCGCTGTTTTTTTTTTTTGGTCAGAACATGTTTTTCTTACCTCTCCTTTTTTCTTTTTTATGTTCAACGTTTTTTCTATTAATTGATAGGTTTTTCCAATATGTGACTATATAGCTTAAAAATAGTATTATATCAACTTCTTCATCATTATGTCCACGTGATTTTCAGTTGATATTTTCCTTTTGATGTCGCTTAATTTTCGCTTAAATTTAGGATTTCTTTGGCCTAAAAAAAATAGGCTGAGTTGGCAGATTGAAATTTTATTGAAGCGCAGATCATACGACTTAATGGTACGAAACCCTTTTCGTTAAGCATTTCCTTTCGGCTACCAGTTCGTAAGCTTTTTGGCGTAACTTCAATTTTCCGCTTACATGCGGAAAGAAAAGCTTAAGAAGGTTCATTTCATAATGCAATGAATCTTACTGTTTAATATCTTTCTTTGTTATTTATTATGTGCATCTTAATACTCAGTAGCATATTCTTTTCACATGTATTTAACTAGGAACTAAAAGCATTAGACTAGGGCTAACGGCCTCAGACTTAAAACAATTTTCTCATAGCTTTTAAGACGCAGTTCAAAAGCGGCTTTTAAAATGAACCGAATATATACGAGAAAGGAACTTCTCTGAGTAACGTGTTTACAATCTTTAATCTTTCGATCTGATTTCTACTATACAGCTCCTTGTGCAGATCCAGGTGTTCCTTACCAAGGAAACAGAATCGATCAAGATTTCCGTCACGGCCGAACAGTTAGATTCACTTGTCCCACAAATTACGTCATGGAGGGTGTGGCAGCAATAACATGCACAGAAGGCAAATGGAACAATAAAAAGCCAAGCTGCAAGGGTACATTAACAGAAATTTTCATCTACAGAAGATTCCCTTCAAATAAAATAACCTAGAGACGAAATCAGTATTCTAATATCAGAATACTTCTAAGGCCTAGACCAAACGTAGAACTTTTCATGAGACGAACTAAAATTACTGAGTTAAGTTCACGAAAAGGTTGACGTCTCACTCAGTTTAGTTCGTCTGAATGCGTTTGGATCGCCCAACCATTCTTTCCGTCTGCTTCAGACGAAAAGAGCGTCTAAAAATCGTCGAATCTTTTCATGAGACAAACAAAATAAATAAATTAGATTGAAAAAATGCATATGATCACGTAAATTAAGCCACGAGAAATTTATTACTGATCACGCGCACTCAATTTTTAAGAGAAACGAATACCTCTGGGGAGGAGAAAGCCTTTTTGAACGTACGTCCTTTTAATCCTTTTTTTTGAAATGGGGCCAAGTCGCACTAGAGGGCAATTTCAGATTTGTTCTGGACAAATCCGACTTGAAATCGGCCAGTGACAAAAAATTTGTCCGGAAAGCTACAGTCGCACTTAAGAACAAAATCTGTGAACAAAACACAACACCATGCTTTTCAGCCCTCAGTTCAGTGAACTAAAAGCTTCTTTACTCCATCTGTCCTGAGCTTTCTTGTTCTCGGCTGACGAAGATGCACGGGGCTAAGAACATGGGGTTGATGGCGGCATTAAATCTTCGCTGAACCGGAGGGATTCTGGCAACGAGTCAGCACTCATGGTCGAAGAAGATGGGCTGGGATTTCCTCGATCATTAAACATGTAAGGGCCTGGCAAAGGATAGATCCATCCTGGTGGATATTGTGGATATTTTCGTGCGGAAAAAATTGTCGCTCGCGCCGGAATTCATGTTGTTGCGAAATGAGAACGTGATTAATTTTACAACGAAGTCTATAGCATAGAGACTCTGCTACAAATCACCTGTCAAATCATTTCCGAATTAAAACACACTTGCTATTGTTTTCCAAAATTTGTCTCAATTTGGCCTGCTCCAGAGGTAGTCGACGGCATCTTTGAAGTTTGTCCGTCTGCGACCAAATTTTGTCCTTTGGTGAACAAACCGGTCGCACTTGGTTTTTCATTGTGATGACAGATTTTTGACATAAATAAACAGTTTTGTCCTCTAGTGCGACTTGGCCCATGATCGGGACGCATTAGAGAGCCGGAAACAGTTGAACTCTCCCTTAAGCTATGAACCCAATAATGCGAAATATTCAGCCAACAGAAGATGGCAAATTGTTTTCTTGTGAAAATCCGCTGTTCGATTTGTTGTCTTATTATATTGTATTGTTAGTTAATCACTAGTCTTAATTTTTATAAATTGTAATTATCACAAGGCAAGTCTGAAAACCAGCTTGCTGAGCCATTTACCGTGTTTAAATAAAGTTGATTGATTATATTGGCTCGACGCTCCCTAAGTTCGTCGTCTGACTCAACAGACCATCTTAACTTAATTTAGGTCTACAAAAATTAGAGTTTTGGTTTGTCTCATAAAAAGTTCGACATTTGGCTTCAGTCTAAACCAATTTATACCAGTTTAACACACATTTTCTTACATTTCAGCTCCTTGCTTAGATCCTGGAAGTCCAACCAATGGAAGAATAACCGGAAATGATTTTAGCCATAGTCAATCAGTCAGATATACATGCAATACCGGTTTTGAAGTTGACGGCGATCAACTTCTAAATTGTTCTGATGGAAGATGGATTGGAAATAAACCGCGCTGTAAAGGTAAACACAGTATTAAGAGCGGATGTCAGTAAATATCGACCAGAGAGGTCTACAATAGTGAAAAATCGAAAATTCTCAAAAAAATTCACAAAGTAGCACTAGGTAAGCTATTTACATAAATGTAAGTTTTACTTCGATCCGATAACTATTTTCCACGTACGGGGGGGTTATTGGTTTCGCGGCTCTTGGACCGGGCTTTCCTGGCCCGAGACCATGTGTCACAAAAAAATCGTTTTAAAATTCAAATCCATTGTATTGCGGACAACAAATAACTTATCCAGAAGAGTACATAACTGCACACATTTTAACTGGTGATTTACTCAGTTTGAAAGAGAATGTAATATTTTGGAGATTTTTCATTATTTTCAATATTTTGATCGTTTTCGTTCAAAGAAAAAATGGCAAATTTCAAAGCCCCAAATCGTCCACTGGTACCTCGATTTCAGTAAGGAGGGTAGCCTGCGAAAACATCCGTTTCTCCTCGCTCTTCGCCGCTGGGGACGTTTCGCGAGGAGGAACGTCTGCGACTCAGCGACAGAAATTCCATACTGATGACGTAAAATCTGTCCAGAATCCGGTCAGAAGCGCTGATTGGTCGACGGAGTAGTTACATTGTTTTAGCTATTGTTTACGAATGACAGACAAAAGACAAAAGGCCACAGAGGTCAAATGTAAACGCGAAGAATCTCTAGCAAAACAGTCAATATTTGTAGAATATACTCTCCTGTAGAAGAAGTATTTGAGTTTTGCTGGAGCTCGTGGGCAGATCAACACAACACTTTACCAAAATCGACCAGAAGACACGGAAAATTAGACAAATTTATTTTTGGAACCCCATGACTACCGGATTTATTATGTAAACAGTGATTTGCGTCATCAGTATGGAATTTCTGTCGCTGAGTCGCAGACGTTCCTCCGCGCGAAACGTCCCCAGCGGCGAAGAGCGAGGAGAAACGGATGTTTTCGCAGGCTATAAAGAGGGTTATACCACGTTAAAGAGCGTTATCTCTTCTTTCAAAATCTATTTTCAAAACTATGGGCAACTGAAAAGAAAATTTTTGAGGCCAAAAAATACAAGTAGTACTTTTCTGAAATTTGAGCTTTCCAGACTCGGCGGGCCAATGCTAAAAACTCGGAAAAATACGATAAGAAATCAGTTTGAGCAACAGTGGTTTCATGTTATCAGCTTTCAGAAACCAAGACGTGTTTATACAGTGATCTGATATAAATTAATGCCGTTTGCTATCAAGAAAGGCAGATTTGACCAGATTTAAGCTGTCAACTCCTGCCAAGTGCACCAGTCACGTCAAGTTGTCAAAGGCAGGGCAGCGCACTAATAATAAAAAGTCTTAAAATTCAAAACGTTTTACGTCCATGAAATCAGATTTTAGCGTACAAAACAATGTTGTGAATTTCTGTTGTTCGTACCTTAGCATGGTGTTTCCATACACAGGAAAAAATAACCGATTCCCATTTTTGGATATTTTTGGGTATTTAAAGAATACCCACAAAAATCCCAAATTTGGAAGAGTGAGACAAGTCCCAATCTGGGAACTTGGTTGGGAATTCCCTGGTTGGGACTCGTCTCACTTTGCCAAATTTGGGATTTTTATGGGTATTCTTTAAATACCCAAAAATATCCAAAAATGGGAATCCGTTATTTTTTCCTGTGATATATTGGAAATGTCAAGTATCCACACGGGAGAACGTTCCAAACAACAACAAGCGCCGAAAGACCGTAAACGGCAAAGATTACGTTACATTTCACAGAACGACCGCTTACCACTGTTGTCACTCCTTTTTTCGCTGGAAGCTACGAGGAGTTTTCATTCCGTCATGAGTGATTCTTGATCAGCGCTTCCTTGAAAGTACGACCCCGGACAGATGATAACTGAGGACGTTTCGTCAAGACTCCTGTTGTTCAGTTTCAGGCTTTAGCAGGTGCGTAGTAAGGATTTTTCCGGAGGTACGCCCGCCCAACTTTTTCAACATCGTCTTCCCCCCCCCCACCCCAAATCTCAACATTTTTTTAAGGTGCCTTTATTAAAGGTGGGGTTAACGGTTGTAAGCAAATCATTTTTGCTGTTTATGAAATGACACAACTTCTAAAATTCTTTAATTCTGTCGGCTTGTTATGTTCATTGACGTCAACCGTTTATCATTAATTCAGCTACTAAAAATCGAGCTTGTAGTACCTCCGACTTAAGTTTACAAATGACTCTTTTTACCCTTTTTGTCACATTATTTTTGACCGACAAAAGCACCACACATTGACGTAATTGTGCCCTACTTCGTCTACTCCTAAGACAGGTCGTGGAGAAAACAACGCGTTCACGCTTTACATCATCAAGCTTGCTATATAAATAAATCATCCAAGATTCGGTTCTCCAATTAATGTCGTCGCTTCTCTGCTGGAAACCGATTTTTTTAGTTATGTTTATTTCATTCTATTTTTTCTCCCCAACGTTTTCAGGTACGCACGTGCGAACCGTGTGTACAAGTAGCTACGCCCCTGTTTAGTCTCCTTAGCCCTGAGAGTTCCTCTCTTGCGGTTTTCGCAGGAGTTCAGGATGTGGTCCACCCAGTATTTCACGTCTCTATTAAATGACAGGAAGCACTTCTTGTTTAGCGTTTCGTTATCAGACAGCGCTTAGACTCTTAGCCTTTCATTTAATTTTGATCAAATTTTTATCATTTAGTTTCTCAGTATACGTTCGATCCTGTCCTTGTAAACTTATACTTTTATACTTTAAGGGAGCTTAATACCTATATTAATATTTTCTTCGTGTGGTGTCGTCCAACAGACCCAGTTTTTTGGCTTTTTTTAAAAAAGCAAGAAAAAGAAACGACAAGGTTTATCTTTTTTGGACTTAAATTAATTCTTTTAATCTAAAAAATGGGCATTGTAACAGCATTTCCAGGCATAAAACGTTCGGTGGTGTATCCTTTTTGCTTTATACCCTTTTTCGGCCTTTTTTTTTATGAAATTGACCATCACATTTTCCGCCATATTGAGTTTGTGTCGATTTGGTGACCATGTCTTGTTGTTTTCAGGCTCCAAGGCAATAATGCTGGTGTTTCAGGCCTCCTGTTCTCAGATTTCTTGGATTTTTTTTCACCCCACTGACCAACCCACCCAAAACAAGGAAACCTATTCGACGCTAAACGAACGAAAAGGGGATGATCTGTATACTTGTCTTTTGCTTTGTTTTGTTCTTTTTTGTCGGTAAAATAAACTGAAACTGCACAAAGACCATCAATAGTCCCTTTGGAGGTTATGGAACGCGCATAAAAAAAATGAAAAAAGCGATGATTTATTGACCGCAAGGGCAATGGGGTGGGGTTAGGGCTCTTTACTGCGCTCCGGTTCATTCGTGCGCTGTCAAATGGTCCCGATATTCAAAATGAAAAATGACTGCGGACAGACTATTCACGTCTAGACATCGAGCGTCTTTTAAGATGGGACTTATCGCCTCTCCCTCTTCATGGAGTTGATTCAAGGTGTTGACGTCAATTTCGTGATGCCCTGCATGTTGCAGGGACATATTTCAAAAGGGCCTTTCCACAGCTACGGAGTCCACCGTCACCTTGTCAACCGTGCGAGAAATGATGTAATTCACAAAAAAAAGAGAGGTTATTTTCGATTTGCACCGCCCCCTTCGCCCGAAAGTCCCCGACAGGACCGCTTCAAAGTACTCCCCACCCCCGGGCCCAAATGGCTGGACTTGTTCCTGTGGTTGCGCGGGGGATAGTAACAGGTCTAACTAATTGCACCGTGCATCAATGACAGTTTAGCTCAATCAGAAGCCCCTTTTCCCTGGCTAGGTCAAGGTTTGTGCACCTCCTTTAAGCTGTTTTTTTCGGTTCTTACTGAAATTTTTGATCTTGAGGAAATTTACAACGACAGGAGCAGGTTATGGGCTTTTTTTCCTACCCCTAATCCTACATCACGGGAAATTGGGAAATCCCTCAGGTTAGGCAAGAATTCGATAATCCTTCCATAATCATCCATTTTTTCACCGCGTGAATTGAGTATTTTTTAGCTTATTTCGAGGAAATACTTTTTGCTTCAAATCCAGGGTGGGCTTTTAAACACATTTTTTTAAGCCAAATGGTTTTTGCGTGAATCTGCTTCCCGAACTTTTCGTATAAAAAACGACAAATACCCGAAAAAAGCTCGTGCTGTTGGTGGTGGTGGCATATTTCCGATAAATTCAGTTCAATGTCTCGTAAAGAAGAGTTCAGGTCCGTGCCGCGCGCCTCTCGAGGCAAGCGTTCCGTCGAAATGCGGGCCCAAAAACAGGTGGTAAGCGGTCAATCTGTGAAAAGTAACGCAATCTCCGTCGTTTGAGAGCAGCCGAAGATGCTCTTGCCGATGCTGTCCGTGATGTTTTTTATTTCCAATATCTAGGAAACCCATGCTAAGGTATGAAAGATACACTCGTAGGCATTGTTCTGTCCGCTAAAGTCTAATTCCTGGACGCAAAAACGTTGTGCTTTTTGAAGTTTATTATTGTGCTTTGCCCTTTGACAACCTTACGTGACTCGTGCGTTTGGTAGCAGAAGATGGCTAAACTCTGCTTTTCTTGTTGGAAAACGGCTTTAATTTTTATCAGATCGCTCGATAAACACGTGTTGGTTTCTGATAGCTGATAAAGTTAAACCACTGTTGCTCAAACTGATTTCTTATTGCATTTTTCTGAGTTTTTAGCATCGGCCCGCCGAGTCTGGAAAGCTCAAATTTCAGAAAAGTACTACTTGTCAAAAATTTTCTTTTCAGTTGCCCATAGTTTTGAAAATAGATTTTGAAAGAAGAGATAACGCTCTTTAACGTGGTATAACCCTCCTTACTGAAATCGAGGTACCAGTCGACTATTTGGGGCTTTGAAATTTGCCATTTTTTCATTGAACGAAAACGTTCAAAATATTGAAAATAATGAAAAATCTCCAAATTATTACATTCTCGTTCAAACTGAGTAAATCACCAGTTAAGATGTGTGCAGTTATGTACTCTTCTGAATAAGTTATTTGTTGTCCGCATTACAATGGATTTGAATTTTAAAACGATTTTTTTGTAACACATGGTCTCGGGCCTGGAAAACCCGGTCCGAGAGCCGCGAAACCAATAACCCCTCCGTACGTGGAAAATAATTATCGGAGCGAAGTAAAAGTTACATTTATGTTAATAGCTTACCTGGTGCTACTTTGTGAATTTTTTTGCGAATTTTCGATTTTTCACTTTTGTAGACCTCTGGTCGATATTTACTGACATCCGCTCTTAAGTTCTTCTTTGGATTACTTTAACACATTAGAATGCAATGGAAGACTTGGACTGAAAAGCAAAGTAGTTAAGGATATTGACATTACGTCATCATCTGAGTTAAGTCCCAATCACGCATCTGCATTTGCACGGCTGGATGGACGGGGAGCCTGGTGCCCAGCTCAAGGAGATAAATCACCGTATATACAAATCACACTAGGCGAAGAAAAGCTTATAACTGCGATGGAAACCCAAGGCAGCTCTTACGATTTCAGTTGGGCAAGAAGGTATGAAGTGAGCTACTTGAAGGACGGAGTATGGAGACGGCACCAGAAGGTAAATGCAACATGTTGACTTGAAATTATCTACTGGTGCATAACTTTAAGTAAATGTAATCATAATTAAGAAAACTTGGAAAAAATAGCCTCCCAGTTTGAAAGGAAAAGGAAATTTTTCTCCTCTTAACTTCGTTAAAAAAAAAAAGAACAAAAACAGGGGAAATACAAAAAAGTTAAAAATATAAACTGCGCATTTTTGTCTCCAACTTGAAATTTCTTATGCTAGGCAATATAATAACTTTTGGAAAGTAACCGTAACAACGTTAACAATACTTCTAACGCACCGATTAATTTTCCTGATTTTATTTTATTGGCTATTTTGGGTCATGTGATTGCAAATCGGAGTTAAGCGGGTATTGGGCAATACACCCCTTCTGCGTCGGAATTTGCCCTACGATTTTTTGGTGGCATAACTTAACAGAATCAACAAAGTTTTCGTTTTTCGTTTCTAAATTTTGAGAAGCTAGTCGCAAATGATGTTCCAGAAAGTACCAAGAAGTCAACGAAATATGCTGTTAATGTTTTCGAAACTGAGAAAAAGTTGCGAATTTACAATAATTCAGTCAACTGAAACTTGAATTCAGTTACTTTACACATTTATAGCTGTCTGCTTTGGAAATGAATTCAATAAAGTGTTTAAAATAAACCATTTTTGGTAAACTGTTAGCATGGACAAAAGAGAGGGAAAGATCAAACCACACTTGAAACGATGAAGCACGAAGAATTGTCCAGCATGAAGAAACGTACCGGGAAGCCACATAGTCGCCAAAAACCGTGAAAGCAATTCTTTGCGGGCTAGACATATTTTTATATGGTTCTCCTCAAAGATAGCTTTTTGTTTCATTATTCGGGATAATATGTTTAAACCGGCAAACGAAGCCCTTGATGTCTCGCAGGCTTCCATTTTGTAGTGGTGGTTGAAATATTGATTTAAGTTCTTCAAATTGAGGAAAGCTCTTACTATATCCTCCTGTCTTCATTTTTACGAAAAAGCATTGCGTAGATGAATTCCCTTTATTAACTACGGATCTGTGGAACAGAAGTTTATTCTTTCCACTCCAGAAAGAAGTTACCCTGAGTTCCAGAGGAATTTTTCTAATTCCAGATAGTTCGCGGCAAACGGTGACAACGAGGGGCAAGGCGCGGAGAGAAAAAAAAATAACCTGTTGTCACAGGAGCTACGAGTCTCATTTCCAAGCAATTTTAGGATCATATATCTGACGAAACCGGTTTGGAGCTGATGTGCATATTTGTTTTTATTGACTCTGACAGCTGAAATTTGATTGTACATGACTCTGTAGCCTGCCTGCATTTGTAGCATGGCGGTTTTGGTCGGGTGTGCAAAGTAGCCATAAAGGCGGGCGAGGGCAGTAAAACTGCTAGGAGATTGGGGCAGGAGCAACGAGAAACTACCTGCCTCGATTGGCGGCCTTTTTGAGTAGTTCGTGTGCCGGCGTACGGATCTATCCTGCGTAGCGTGGCGGTTTTGTCGGGCGCACAATTGAGTGGCGAAGCCGACAGAAAAATGAAAACTGACTCTCGTTGCTTCCGCCCCAATCTCCTCTCTGTTTCACTGCGCTCGTCCGCCTTTATAGCTACTTTGCGCGCCCAACCAAAACCAGCGCCATGCTACGCAGGGTAGTGGATCTGCGTCTGAGAGGCATGAAAATATAATTGTCCCAAATTCCTTTCCAAAAAACAAACAAACAAACAAAAAAACTAACTACAAAATTCACTTCAAGCCTCAAGCATATAAAAGGACAGAGGTACACACTTTGTAACTAGCTGTTTTTACAAGTCAACAGGATAACAAGAATTTAAGAGGCTGTCCGCGTAAGAACCGATAAGGCAAATTTTGGTCTATCACGGATTGCCCTGATTTTTTCAGTGGAAGATAACTATCCTATCCCATGAAGAAATATCACATTTATTTGGACCAACTCAATTTTTTCTCTATTTTACAGAAAGATTTTCTAGGTCACCTAAAACTAGCCAGTTTGCCGTCGGAAGTGGTGCGATTTTAAGGAAACTTTAGGGCTCTTGCAAACCTACCTTACAAAGCCGAATAAGCTGATTATTTTACACACAAATGTTTTAACCCTCATTAATAGTTTCAAGGTTCAACGGTTGCATTCTGTAGAAAGTTGGCTGAGATATGATTTTTTTAAAATGACCTTTAATTTGCTTATCGGGAAAAGGAATTTGCATAACTAAAGCTGAACGGTAATTTCGCAAAAGTGGCACCTGACCCAAACTCAAGTCTATGATAAAACAGAAGTACTAAGACCAGTCTACTTCTTCATGCAATAAAATTTGTGGGCACTCTTCTTTGCGTGCTGTACAAAGTTCCGTTAATGTTCCAAAATTCGCCATTTTGACAGCAAAGTTGGAAATGTAACGGTCTGCATCTGGTCGACTAATTTGCACAGCTTTAACGTTTCTAGTTATCACTAACTGTCATTAGACCCTTTAAATGTTGGACTTTCGAAAACATGTGGAGAAAACTTAGTAATCGCTTTTTCTTGGTTTTTTTCTTGTCGACGATGAACGTGACATCATTCTCCGTATGCAAATTAGCCTTAGATGCGTCGTTTCAACAACTTGACATGAAACATAATCCTTACATTTCACACTTCTAAGGAGAAAAATAACTCTCCTTTCCACAGAAAAAAGACGAAACATCACTTAGAATCCCCTTAAGGTCTGTTTTTTTTTTGTTTAAAGAGGAAGAAGCAGCTGAATAATATATCATGATATATGTTTGCGTGGCTTTAAATAATTCAATTACTGTGGCCTGTCACGCATTCCTAAAGAGGGGCGGTCGATTAGAAAACAATAGCTTTGAATCGATCAATTTTATTATATTATCATCTTTTTTAAAATGATAGTTACTGATAAAAATAAAAAATAAGAGTTAACTTGCAAGGTAAGTCCTCTTGTCAGCACAATAAAATTTGAGGGTACTCTTTTTTTGCTTATCAGATCTTTGTACACGGCACTATGATAAAAGAAAATACCCCACACTTTTTCTATCTTAAAAAGTTTTTAAGGGAAAATCCATGTATAGCTTTGAAAAAGGAAAATTAGCTGTAAATTTCAGTTTCATTCAAAGATCTTTAGAGCGTTTATCGGTAGCAGAATGAAACGGGAAAAATAGTTTCTTTCTTTCAGTGAATACATGCAAAAGGGATTATCTCAGTTTTTAGTTTTTGTTAGGGTATAACATCCGTATTCCCAAGATGATCTTGTTTTGGTTTCAATCTAATTCAATTATAATGCAACAGGTGCCAGTTTAAAATATAATTATGTCACTGAAATCGCCGAAGAGATCAATTGTGAAAAGTGGCTTATTCAGCTATTTCATACTGATCAAGATGTTCTTTCCGCGAGATCGTCAAGACAGAGTGTGGTCCCAGTAGGGGTGTGGAGGGAAATGTGATGGTCGCAGAGTGCATGAATGATATTACGTCGCACTTAGCCAGCTGTCACTTGTCTAAGTGTAGTAAAGTCAATGACTGGATGAACTCATTTTAGCGAGAGTAGAGGTTTGGTAGGTATTCGGAACTGAAATGACAATCTGCTCAAGGCACAGACACTAAATAGCCTGTGTACAGACCCCCCTTCCCCTTAGGAAAAATCGGGGAAGGGGGCCCCTTCCCCGGGGGGGGAAGGGGGGGGGGTGTGTACACAGGCTAACACTGACTAAAATGACCGAGGCACAGACACCTACTTGGCAGGTTTTTGCGAGCGCCAAGGTCTTGTTAGGCTCCATTGTAAGCCGCTGTGCTGGAAAATGAGCCCCCAAGGGATCGGGAGACGGCGGAAATCGAGCTTAAGGTCTTGTCAATACCCCGGTCACACTCTGGATCATACTGGCAAAATAACTACTGTGGCAGGAAATAAGTCAAAGTTTTGCTCCATCATGTAAGTATCATTCTTTTTTCTTCTTCATGCAAAAAATTTCTAAACGTACAGAGATATTCTAATTTCTCCATTTAACATTTTATCTTGCGATGTTTTCTGATGTTCGTTTCTAGTTTATTTGACCTTGCAAAGATAGTTGATTTATTTCTATTCTTTGACAGCCGTGTATCTTGCTCTAATCAATTCTTACCTATAAAAAACTATACATAAAGGTTAATCCGTGTGTTGTAAAAGATAGTTTTCTGATGATTGTTTGAAAAGCATTATAAATGGGGAAAAAAGAAAGATCTTTCTACACGGAGTCAGGATTCAACATTGTCCCCAGGGCTTTCCAGCCCCTGGCATTTTCTAAGAGGAATGTCCTTGGGTCGTGTGTGAAAAGTATTTCATTCTTGCAATAAAAGCATTTTTTTTTAACTTAAACAGTGTTTAAAACATGTCTCTGGTTTTGTAAATTGTAGTGAGTACCAGAACGTTTAGTTCAACTTTATATAGCCGATTTGCTCCTCCTGTCGCAAGAAACGTGAAAAAACTTGACGCCAAAGGGTCGAGAAGAGTACGATTGAGCAGTCAGCAACCATGTCCACACCTTTGCCGGAGAGGTTTATTGGACAATATTTCTCTGTTTTTCTTGTTTTGATAACGTTTTCATTAAGTCTTCAAAAATGTCTCCACATTGCTGTTTTTTTTTTTTGGTATTTATACCCTCTTGAACAATGTGCTCCACCAAAGTGCTCCTCTTATCTCTCTATTCTTAACCTACTTTACCATCCACCCTCTCTCCCTCCGGTTCCACCTCTACTTTTACAAGCATTTATACTTAAAGGGGTGAAATTTCTTCTGTGTATATTAATTTCTGAAAAATTAAGTCCTTCTACTTTTTCCTTAAATTCTTAAACTTAGTTCTTTTTTCTTTAAGAATCGCCAAAGATGCTGCTAAGGCTGCAATAAGCGCACTCGCCCTTTCATATACTTCAACTAGTGAAATGCCCACCCTTTCATATACCTGAAGCCTGAAAAAGATACCCCTTTCGGGCGGAGCCTCCCTGTATAGGCCATCATAGGGAGTTCCCCCCACCCCCGTTCCAATTCCGAGCTCACCTATTGCCAGCCCATGTTGGACTCTAGGCCCGTTTGAGTCAACACCTAAACATAGTCCTAAGTGTAATTACAATAAGGCAATGGACGAAATAACCAATGTAATGAACTCGAATATAAATTGAACTTGACCATAGAGATCTGCTGCAAGAAGACGAGGTGTTCGAAAGGCAAAAGCCTGTTGCAGGAATCGCCGAAGAATAATTGAGACCACAACACCCTCAATCAGAAGCTTTCAACCTATGTGTATGTCAAAGAAAGATTAACCTAGTCAGTTCAACGTGGTAACAGAGCCGTAGGGCAGCTGCCTCCCCTGGACCTGTTGAGCCAGACAAATCAAGTCTGTGGATGGATTTGTTTTCTTTAGACTCAGTCATTTTGATTATAGTGATTTGCAATTGTTTGCCATTTTCATCTTCGAGGTCTATTTTTCGGAGACATATCTCATGACAAGTGCCGAAAATAGCATTTCGGAGCCTCAAAATTTGAAAATTTTTCTGTGGGAGGACACCCCCAGACCCCCCTACAAGGCTCGTGCCTTCGGCTCTCGCGATAATGCCTCTCGTTACAAAAAACCTAGCTACAGCCCTGGGTAATGCTAAAAAATAAGTTGTGTCACTTTGAAATACCATTCAAATCCAGGGAAAGAAAAGGAGACCTTATTTACAAACTTTCGTCTTTCATACACTGAATGCACGTGCTTTTCTCCATCAGCTCAGTAGTAAACATAAACAACAGAGGGATCCTTAATTTAGTGTGATTAACAGCCGGCAAAAACTTTTGGGATTTAACAGGAGACGGACCGTTAACAAAAAACTATGCCTTTTTCTTTTTTCCAAGTGACTACTATACTTTTTAGCTAATTGTCGTGTATTACACCATGGGCCGTCATATTAAACCCTATCTTAGTGGCGCCCGGTGATACTGACTCAGTTAAAACGGTCGTAGATTGAATAAATACAACAGCACGGTATTTCCCACCCAGTAAAGAATCGGAATTAACAGTGATTAAATTGTATGATTATCAATAACTATCACCTCAAAAAAAATATAATAAGATAAAAGAACTGATCGATACACGGTCACTCTGGGGGAATGCGTGACGAGCCACAGTAATTAAATTACTTTAATTCGCGTAAACATACCGTATCTTCTTCTGCTGCTTCTTCCTCGTAAAAGAAACAGACCTAAGGGGATTCTAAGTCATATATCGTTCGTGTTTTTCCGTGGAAAGAAGAGATATTTTTCCCTTAAAAATATGAAATACATTATTAGTATTATATTTTCTCTCAATTTGTTGAAACGACGCATCTAAGGCTAATTTGCACAAGGAGAATAACGTCATGTTCATCGTCGACAAGAAAAAAAAAAACAAGAAAAAGCGATTACCAAGTTTTCTTCACATGTTTTCGAAAGTCCAACATTTAAAGGGTCTAATGACAGTTAGTGATAACTAGAAACATTAAAGCTGTGCAAATTAGTCGACCAGATGCAGACCATTACAATTCCAGCTTTGCTGTCAAAATGGCGAATTTTGGAACATTAACGGAACTTTGTACAGCACGCAAAGAGGAGTGCCCACAAATTTTATTGCATGAAGAAGTAGACTGGTCTTAGTACTTCTGTTTTATCATAGACTTGAGTTTGGGTCAGGTGCCACTTTTGCGAAATTACCGTTCAGCTTTAGTTATGCAAATTACTTTTCCCGATAAGCAAATTAAAGGTCATTTTAAAAAAATCATATCTCAGCCAACTTTCCACAGAATGCAACCGTTAAACCTTGAAACTATTAACCAGAGCTGAAACTTTTGTTTGTAAAATAATCAGCTTATTCTTCTTGGTAAGGCAGGTTTGACAGAGCCCTAAAGTTTCACCAAAATCGCACCACTTCCGACGGCAAACTGGCTAGTTTTAGGTGACCGAGAAAATCTTCTTGTAATATAGAGAAAAAATTGAGTTGGTCCAAATAAATGTGATATTTCATCATGGGATAGGATAGTTATCTTCCACTGGAAAAATCAGGGAAATCTGTGATAGACCGAAATTTGCCTTATCGGTTCTTACGCGGACAGCCTCTTCAGTAAGGTCTATGCCTATATTAGCTGCTGGTTTTGTAAGCAAATAAGCCGCGCCGCGAACTATCAGAAATTATGAAAGAAAGGAAAAAAAAAAGGTTTTGGCGCCCAGGGTACTACCCCTGAGAATTCAACGTCTTGCAAACAACACTGCAGAAGTGAGCCCATCATGACAAAACTTAGCGGGAAATCATCACATTCATTCAAAGTACTTCCTTTCGTCTGATAAGTTCAAACAATGTTTCTTCCTCTCGCAACTTCGATTCAATTGTCGGATGTTCGCAAATTTCAAAGTTTAGCCAGAGATTGTTGAGCCGTACTCATAACAGAACACAAGACGGTCTCTCCGACTTGTTTGTTATGAACATCGAGACCAGATGATATAGATGCTAAGCAAAGGCGCTTAGTGATCGGAATGCAGGTGTGGTTTTATGGGCCCTGTCCGTCTCTTGTTCAGCATGTACAAAAAAGAAAACTCGATTACCTCTTGAGCGAGCATTTTCCCGCCTTTTGTGACATTTCCAAGATGGCGTCGTGCCCTTCACGATAGATGTTTGCAAGTGTTTTAAATCTCAAATCTCAGGTCTTGTGACCGAACGGGAGGACCAAGTTTGTCCTACATCAATTTGTTAACACGAACCTTCATCAACCCTTCGCAGTTTTCGAGCTGAGGGTACTAAGAATTATTATTATTTTTTTTTTTGAAGTGGTGTTTCTTAAAGCATGCCGTCAAACTAGAAGCGTCACAGTTTTTGCAAGTTCCTCATGAGTGGGGTTGGGGGGGGGGGTGCGGGGGCTGTCTTCTTCGACTTTAGGCAATTTTTAACAATTTCTTACCAGGATCATCAACTCTTCTCTTGAGCATGGTGTCTTTCCATCAGTGTGGAAAATGCCCTGGTTTTTGATTTACTTAAGAAAGATGGCTTTTAGAACCCAATATTCAAAACCTATCGACCCGTCAGTAACGTGCAATTCGTCTCCAAACTGATTGAGAGTGCGGTAGCCAAACATCTTCAGCATCACATCAAATGAATAATTTATTTCCAATGCTACAATCATCATATGCTTGAAAGTTAAAAGTTGCATTTTTTTTTAAACATGAACAGACAGCATGTCTCTTTGCTTGTTCTGTTGGATTTGAGCGCGGCTTTTGATACCATTGATCGTGGTATCTTACCTGAGAGGCTTATTAGGTCTTCATTTGGAGTTCGGGATACGGCACTTTCCTGGTTTGCATCATACTTATATGGCAGAACTCAGCAAGTTTCAGTCGACGACACACTCTCAACAAAGTTCGATTTGGAATGCGACCTTGGGAAACTTAGCGCGCATCTTTTAGCAAAATCACGCAGAAAATAGCCAGGATATCCCTAGTCCAAGCACAATCTGTAAGCTTCTGAACAATATTTGCCAGCCCAGAAAATTGCAATTGCATTCCATTCCATTCCACTTGGCCAAAATACACACTTAATATCTAACTGGATTTGGTACAAGGTACCTGCACTCATTCTCTAGACAGCCAGGTCCAAAGAGCAAGAACTCACCATCCCAACCCATGACATTTATGACTAGTCAATCACTCCCCCCAAGCTCTGCTAGAAGCATTATGATAATGAGTCAGAGCATTGATTTGGCTGGGCTAGAGCAGCTCACAAGAAAAATTCCTTGACTTTGCACTACGAACTGACTTGAAACTCTATAGTCAAAGCGACAAAATCTGTCCTCCCTACTCCCTACTTGTGACACAAAAAAGCCAGCCAGCCACCCACAGTTAGGTATGGGCCTGGGTTATCTGCTGACTCGTAGCCAGACGAATACACTGGCTTGAACATGGGCGATTATTGCACATAAATCACAAAGTAGTAACTTTAAATTCGTTAAAGATGAGTGAAATGTCTCTCAAGACATGATTCTCTCATGCGTGCATGTTCTTTGTCGGCAAGCTCATTTGAAAGCACTTCTCTAGATATGACCCTCATATTCTTCGCATGTGCTTTAAGTCATTATAGAGAGATGAAAGGCTACTATGGGACAATGAAATATCAGGCAAAACCCAGAATTATTGCCTGAGAAGTGTTTGCAACTTTGAAGTGACTCGATTTTACTTGATTTTGCTTTGCAAATAACATAATTTAACATAAATTTTGAAGTGGCAAACGACGTTCTAGGCCATCAATGGCATCAATGCGGATCATTTCGCAGAAAATGTTACCGCCAAATGGACCTTTTGTGTTCAACAGTTAGTCGTATCGAACAGTTCACGACTAGAGGAACCGTTTCTCTAGTCGTGAACTGTTCGATGCGTTATCTCAGTGCGTTGAACGCACTGAGATAACGCAGGCGCAATGCTATCTAATGTTTTCCCTCTATGTGTGCTGACAAGGTGGAATTCAAAAGGATATTTTTCGGACAAGGTCATTATCCTCCGATATACCACCCAACGGAAGTGATTTTACAGTATTTTTTAAGTTATTGTTAGGGGTCTGAAACTGAAATTAAGAACAGCAATCGTAGGCTGCGTAGCAGAGGCTTTGAAAGTACTGGGAGCAAGAAAGAAATGGGCGCGCGAGGGAGACACGCGAGGGGAGAGAGAGCGCCTGCCGGAGAGGCTCATGAAAATCGTTTTTACACACTTTCTGAGAGTGCGGAAAATTACTTTTGGTTAAGTGTTCGCGTTAGGCGAGAGACCTGTCAGTCATAGAAAACACGAAATCCTTTAAAAACATTTAGTACAATAAAAGGTCTTATTACACCACTAAATGGTATAATCGAAGATCAGATCTTGGAAGTCACTAAATCAGTTGGATTAGGGGGCTGGGGCCCGGTTGCATGAAACGTCCGTAACAACTACGGGTACACGTACGTGCACTCGTAACTTAAGTCAGGTGCATGAAATCACTTAAGTGGTCCACTTAGGGAATACACTTAAGTGGTTGCACTTACGATTTTCGTAAGTGTTCACTTAAGTGTCATTTATGCAACAGAAATTGCGGGTGTTGCATAGAACTTTTTTTACGGGAAAAATAGCGCGTAAATTTACGGGACCTATGTAGGTCCCGTATGGTTACTGTTTTTACTAAATTTAACGAGATCTTTTACTGAGAAGTGAAAAAAAGTATTTTTCTTCACGTAGTTCGTTCTAATGCGCTTTGTTAACCTCTGATGTACACTTTTGTGAAGAAGAAGAAGAAGAAGAAGAAAAATAACGTTTGCATGCAAATTTCATTATTTGAGAAGCTTAAAAGTGTTCGAAACGACTTTTAACTTTCTTTACACTGACCGATGGTTAGCTTGAAAAAAAAGAGTGAATCATTACTTAAGTACTATATCAAGATTACGTGTGCCCTTAAGTGAGCCCGTAAGTTACCACGTAAAACAGAAACTTACGAGAGTGCTAAGCGTGTTCCATGCAACACCCGTAAGTGTATCCATAACGGATTCGTAAGTGACCTACTTAAGAGCGGATGTCAGTAAATATCGACCAAAGGTCTACAAAAGTGAAAAATCGAAAATTCGCAAAAAAATTCACAAAGTAGCACTAGGTAAGCTATTAACATAAATGTTATTTTTACTTCGATCCGATAATTATTTTCCACGTACGGGGGAGTTATTGGTTTCGCGGCTCTCGGACCGGGTTTTCCAGGCCCCAGACTATGTGTCACAAAAAAATCGTTTTAAAATTCAAATCCATTGTAATGCGGACAACAAATAACTTATTCAGAAGAGTACATAATTGCACACATTCTAAGTGGTGGTTTACTCAGTTTGAACGAAAATGTAATATTTTGGAGATTTTTCATTATTTTCAATATTTTGAACGTTTTCGTTCAATGAAAAAATGGCAAATTTCAAAGCCCCAAATAGTCGACTGGTACCTCGATTTCAGTAAGGAGGGTTATACCACGTTAAAGAGCGTTATCTCTTCTTTCAAAATCTATTTTCAAAACTATGGGCAACTGAAAAGAAAATTTTTGAGGCCAAAAGATACAAGTAGTACTTTTCTGAAATTTGAGCTTTTCAGACTCAGCGGGCCGATGCTAAAAACTCAGAAAAATGCAATAAGAAATCAGTTTGAGCAACAGTGGTTTAACGTTATCACCTACCAGACACCAACACACGTGTTTATCGAGCGATCTGATAAAATTTAAAGCCGTTTTCCAACAAGAAAAGCAGAGTTTAGCCATCTTCTGCTACCAAACGCACGGGTCACGTAAGGTTGTCAAAGAGCAAAGCACAATAATAAACTTCAAAAAGCACAACGTTTCTGCGTCCAGAAATTAGACTTTAGCGGGCAGAACAATGCCTACGAGTGTATGTTTCAGACCTTAGCATGGGTTTCCTAGATACTGGAAATAAAAAACATCAAGGACAGCATCGGCAAGGGCATCTTCGGCTGCTCTCAAACGACGGAGATTGCGTTACTTTTCACAGATTGACCGCTTACCACCTGTTTTTGGGCTCGCATTTCGACGGAACGCTTGCCTCGAGAGGCGCGCGGCACGGATTTGAACTCTTCTTCACGAGACATTGAACTGAATTTATCGGAAATATGCCACCACCACCAACAACACGAACTTTTTCCGGGTATTTGTCGTTTTTTATACGAAAAGTTCGATCGGGTAAGCAGATTCACGCAAAAACCATTTGGCTTAGAAAATGTGTTTAAAAGCCCACCCTGGATTTGAAGTAAAGAGTATTTCCTCGAAATAAGCTAAAAAATACCCAATTCACGCGGTGAAAAAATGGATGATTATGGAAGGATTATCGAATTCTTGCCTAACCTGAGGGATTTCCCAATTTCCCGTGATGTAGGATTATGGGTAGGAAAAAAGCCCATAACCTGCTCCTGTCGTTGTGAATTTCCTCAAGATCAAAAATTTCAGTAAGAACCGAAAAAAAAAAAACAGCTTAAAGGAGGTGCACACACCTTGACCTAGCCAGGGAAAAGGGCTTCTGATTAAGCTAAACATTCATTGATGCACGGTGCAATTAGTTAGACCTGTTACTATCCCCCGCGCAACCACAGGAACAAGTCCAGCCATTTGGGCCCGGGGGTGGGGAGTACTTTGAAGCAGTCCTGTCGGGGACTTTCGGGGGTAGGGGGCGGGGCAAATCGAAAATAACTTCTCTTTGTTTTTTTGAAGTACATCATTTCTAGCACGCTTGACAAGGTGACGGCGGACTCCGTAGCTGTGGAAAGGCCCTTTTGAAACATGTCCCTGCAACATGCAGGGCATCACGAAATTGACGTCAACACCTTGAATCAACTCCATGAACAGGGAGAGGCGATAAGTCCCATTTTAAAAGATGCTTGATGTCTAGCTTGATGTCTAGACGTGAATAATCTGTCCGCAGTCATTTTTCATTTTGTATATCGGGACCATTTGATAGCGCACGAGTGAACCGGAGCGCAGTAACGAGCCCTAACCCCACCCCATTGCCCTTGCGGTCAGTAAATCATCGCGTTTTTCACTTTTTTTTTATGCGCGTTCGAGAACCTCCAAAGGGAATATTGAGGATCTTTGTACAGTTTCAGTTTATTTTACCGACAAAAAAGAACAAAACAAAGCAAAAGACAAGTATACAGAAATACGCAGAAGCAATGTGGCGAGGAAGCCCAAAAAGAAACCATAAGGCTTGGGTCATCCCCTTTTCATTCGTTTAGCGTCGAATAGGTTTCCTTGTTTTGGGTTGGTCTGTCGGTGGGGTGAAAAAAAATCACAAGAAATCTGAGAACAGGAGGCCTGAATCACCAGCATCATTGCCGTGGAGCCTGAAAACAACAAGACATGGTCACCAAATCGACACAAACTCAATATGGCGGAAAATGTGACGGTCAATTTCACAAAAAAAAAGGCGATGTAGGCGATGTAGAAAAAGTTGGGCGTACCTCCGGAAAAATCCTGACTACGCACCTGCTAAAGCCTGAAACTGAACAACAGGAGTCTTGACGAAACGTCCTCAGTTATCATCTGTCCGGGGTCGTACTTTCAAGGAAGCGCTGATCAAGAATCACTCATGACCAAGAGCCATAATAGGACAGAGAGGGACACTCAGGGCGTTGGCCGGGATATCTTAATCCCAAAAAAGTTATTTTTAGAACTATGCGGACCATGCGAAAACAGTTTCCGGTAAACTGATTGACTTCCGGAAGACTCGCTTTCACGATTTCAGCGCGCCAAAGCGAGGCGGCGTCAAGAAATAAAAAAATGGCGGCACAAGTGGAGGGACGATGTGGGGCGCGTACTTCATGGCTGAATGCCATATACACGACAAGCCCACAATGCCTTGCTAGTACCTGTAGTAGGTGAACGCTACGTTACATGTATAGGTACATGTGGTGCCTGCAGTGCATGAAGTAGCTGTAGTAACTGTAGTAGCTGTAGTAGCTGTAGTAACTGTAGTAACTGTAGTAGCTGTAGTAAGTGTAGTAGCTGTAGTAGCTGTAGTAGCTGTAGTAGCTGTAGTAGCTGTAGTAGGTGTAGTAGCTGTAGAAGGTGTAGTAGGTGTAGTAGGTGTAGTAGGTGTAGTAGGCGTAGTAGCTGTAGTAACTGTGGTAGCTGTAGAAGGTGTAGTAACTGTAGTAGCTGTAGTAGCTGTAGTAGGTGTAGTAGGCGTAGTAGCTGTAGTAGCTGTGGTAGCTGTAGAAGGTGTAGTAACTGTAGTAGCTGTAGTAGGTGTAGTAGCTGTAGTAGGCGTAGTAGCTGTAGTATCTGTAGTAGCTGTAGTAGCTGTAGTAGCGTGTAGTAGGCGTATTAGCTGTAGTAGCTGTAGTAGCTGTAGAAGGTGTAGTAACTGTAGTAGCTGTAGTAACTGTAGTAGCTGTAGTAGGTGTAGTAGCTGTAGTATCTGTAGTAGCTGTAGTAGCTGTAGTAGCTGTAGTAGGTGTAGTAGCTGTAGTAGGTGTAGTAGCTGTAGTAGGTGTAGTAGCTGTAGTAGCTGTAGAAGGTGTAGTAGCTGTAGTAGCTGTAGTAGCTGTAGAAGGTGTAGTAACTGTAGTAGCTGTAGTAGGTGTAGTAGCTGTAGTAGGTGTAGTAGCTGTAGTAGCTGTAGTAAGTGTAGTAGCTGTAGTATCTGTAGTAGCTGTAGTAGCTGTAGTAAGTGTAGTAGCTGTAGTAGCTGTAGTAGCTGTAGTAGCTGTAGTAAGTGTAGTAGCTGTAGTAGCTGTAGTAAGTGTAGTGGCTGTAGAAGCTGTAGTAGCTGTAGTTTGTGTAGTAACTATAGTAGCTGTAGTAGCTGTAAGTAATAAGTAATAAATTGCTTTATTTGCATGACCGCATCATTTTACAGTATTGCAAAAGCAATACTACACGCTACGTTACATGTATAGGTACATGTGGTGCCTGCAGTGCATGAAGTAGCTGTAGTAACTGTAGTAGCTGTAGTAGCTGTAGTAACTGTAGTAACTGTAGTAGCTGTAGTAAGTGTAGTAGCTGTAGTAGCTGTAGTAGCTGTAGTAGCTGTAGTAGCTGTAGTAGGTGTAGTAGGTGTAGTAGCTGTAGTAGCTGTAGTAGCTGTAGTAGGTGTAGTAGGTGTAGTAGCTGTAGTAGGTGTAGTAGGTGTAGTAGCTGTAGTAGGTGTAGTAGGTGTAGTAGCTGTAGTAGGTGTAGTAGGTGTAGTAACTGTAGTAGGTGTAGTAGGTGTAGTAGGTGTAGTAGGTGTAGTAGCCGTAGTTGGTGTAGTATGTGTAGTAGGTGTAGTAGCAGTAGTTGGTGTAGTAGCTGTAGTAGGTGTAGTAGCTGTAGTAGCTGTAGTAGATGTAGTAGCTGTAGTATGTGTAGTATCTGTAGTAGCTGTAGTATCTGTAGTAGATGTAGTAGCTGTAGTAGCTGTAGTAGGTGTAGTAGCTGTAGTAGCTGTAGTAGCTGTAGTAGGTGTAGTAACTGTAGTAGCTGTAGTAGCTGTAGTAGGTGTAGTAGGCGTAGTAGCTGTAGTAGCTGTAGTAGCTGTAGTAGGTGTAGTAGGCGTAGTATCTGTAGTAGCTGTAGTAGGTTTAGTAGGCGTAGTAGCTGTAGTATCTGTAGTAGCTGTAGTAGCTGTAGTAGGTGTAGTAGCTGTAGTAGCTGTAGTAGCTGTAGTAGGTGTAGTAACAATTACAACAATTACAACAACTCAGTCTAACAACGAATCAATGTGATGGTACCAAAAATCAAAAGAAATCAACCTTTAAAAGCATTTAACTTCACATGAAGTTTAACGACTATTATAAGTGAATAAGTTGGTAACGAATTTCGTTGACTCATGTATGAACAAAGTCGTAATCCATTACTCCGGGAAACATTGTCTTTGTCAAATGTAGGTGATGTAACATAAGTTTATTAGAATACTATTGGAATATAGCCTTAGCCTTGTTTTGTTATAAATTACTGTAGATATGCTTTCGCCACGCAAAATAATACGGAGGTCATGCAGCTACTACACCTACTACACCTACTACAGCTACTACAGCTACTACACCTACTACAGCTACTACAGCTACTACAGCTACTACACCTACTACACCTACTACAGCTACTACACCTACTACACCTACTACACCTACTACAGCTACTACGAAAAGTCTCAAATGAAAAGCACCGTGACCCCCTCAACTCCGAAGTGCGGGAAAGATATCACAAAACCTTGAATGATTACAAAAAGCTCCTAGGCACAAAGAAGAGAGGATTCCACAAAGAAAAAACATTACAACTCGACGAACTAGCTTTAAATCCTGACAAGGCGTCATTTTGGAATTGTTTAAATTCGATGAGCGACACTTTCAACGAAAATGTTCCTGCCCCAATCTCGGAAGAATCATGGCTTCACCATTTCAAATCTCTGCATTCTATTGACCCGACGAATTCCACGCATGAACATGAAATCCATAGGGAACTAAATTCTTTAGAACACGAAAAGGAACAGTTTAACCATCTCGATTATGAGATAACTGAGAGGGAAATACGTCAAGCGGCGAAGAAATTGAAAAATAAGAAATCACCATTTGTTGACAAAATACGAAATGAAATGATCAAAGCAAGCCTCGAACCACTAATGCCTGTCTATGTCAAACTTTTTAACCTCGTTTCACAATCCGGAAAAATGCCAGATGTTTGGTGTCAAGGCCTCATAACCCCAATTTACAAATCTGGTGACAAGAGTGATCCAACAAATTACAGAGGCATATGTGTTTCTAGTTGCCTTGGAAAACTGTTCTGTTCTATTTTAAATCGAAGACTTCACTTGTCTTTTGAGGAAAATAAGATATTACATAATTCCCAAATTGGCTTTTTGCCTGAAAACCGCACTGCAGACCATGTTTTCACTCTAAGGACCCTAATAGATAAATATGTGCATTATCACAAGGAAAAAGTCTACGCTTGTTTCGTAGATTTCCGCAAAGCGTTTGACTCTGTTTGGCACGAAGGATTGTTTTATAAGCTGCTAAAAACGAATATAGGAGGAAACTTGTACAACCTCATGAAAGGTCTTTATTGCAACTCGACATGTTCCATCAAAATCGGTGAAAACAAAACACAGCCTTTTTCATATTCCAGAGGTGTACGTCAAGGCTGTGTGTTAAGCCCTCTTTTATTTAACCTCTATTTAAACAATCTACCACTTTTATTCGAAAACACCTTATCTGACCCATTTGTTCTCCCAAATGGGAAAAAAATAAATTCACTTTTGTACGCAGATGATTTAGTTATTCTATCAAGATCGAAAACTGGATTACAGAACTGTTTAAATGCGCTTTCTTTGTATTGTGACAAATGGAAGCTAAAAATTAATCCCAAGAAAACAAAAATTATGATATTCCAGAAACGCCCAAAAAAATCTGTTGACATCAAATTCAACATAGGCAGTGAATCAATTGAAATTGTCCAAGAATACACTTATTTAGGTACACGTTTAACTCCAACGGGAAACTTTACACTTGCACTCGAACACTTAAAAGAAAAGGCCCTTCACGCGTTTTCTAGTATTCGGAAGCGGACAATTCTTAACAAACTTAATCCTAATACTGCATCCCAAATTTTTGACACCATGGTATTCCCAATCTTGAGTTACAACAGCGAGGTATGGGGAATGTACACCAAGCAAGATTTTAAAAAATGGGATAGCTCCCCAATAGAAAAAATCCACCTCAAATTCTGTAAACGTTACTTAGAGGTTAACAATAAGGCCTCTAACATAGCCTGCAGAGCTGAACTTGATAGACTGCCGCTGGTTATCCCGATAAATCAGAAAATTATGAAATATTTTGTTTACCTCAACAACAAAGATAATGACTCTATAGTCAAACAGTCTTTCCTTATGTCAAAGAATCTACATTCTATGAATAATTCCGGATATTTTTCCAATTTCATGAACATGCTTGAACAATACAATCTAACCAGTTTAGATGCTGAATCTCTAGATAATGATAAAATTAGACGATATACCACAGAAATGAGAGAGAAATATCTATCTTTTTGGCGGCACAGCCTCGAAAATTCAAAAAAACTAGAATTTTATAAAACTTTTAAAGATGAATATTCTACATCTGATTATCTCTACCAGCTAAGACATTATGACAAACGACAGTATTTTGTTAAATTTAAAATAAGTAATCACAAACTTATGATTGAACATGGTCGATACCAAATCGATCATTTGCCAAGAGAAAATAGATTATGTCCTTTATGTAACTCAAATCAGGTAGAAGATGAGATTCATTTCATCTTTCAATGTAACAAATACTCAGTACAGAGACAGGCATTTATTAATCAAATCAATCGAATAATACCTGACTTTGACAAGAAATCATCTCCGGAAAGCATAAAACTGATAATGAATTCGAAGGAACATCATGTAAATAAGTTAGTTATGAAGTTTGTCTCCTCCTGCATGAAAATACGTGATTCTTTGTTAGTAATGTAACCGAATTTTTCTAGATTGTTATTAGTGCTGTTTTGTTTTTTATTTTGATTGTCATATACATGCTTTTGCAATACTGTAAAGTGATGCGGTCATGCAAATAAAGCAATTTATTACTATTACTATTACTACACCAACTACAGCTACTACAGCTACTACACCTACTACACCTACTACAGCTACTACACCAACTACAGCTACTACACCTACTACACCTACTACACCTACTACACCTACTACAGCTACTACAGCTACTACACCGACTACAGCTACTACACCTAATACACCTACTACAGCTACTACAGCTACTACACCTACCACACCTACCACACCAACTACAGCTACTACACCTACTACACCTACTACACCTACTACAGCTACTATAGCTACTACACCTACTACAGCTACTACAGCTACTACACCTACTACACCTACTACAGCTACTACACCTACTACACCTACTACACCTACTACAGCTACTACACCAACTACAGCTACTACAGCTACTACACCTACTACACCTACTACAGCTACTACACCAACTACAGCGACTACAGCTACTACAGCTACTACACCTACTACACCTACTACAGCTTCTACACCTACTACACCTACTACAGCTACAGCTACTACACCTACTACAGCTACTACACCTACTACACCTACTACACCTACTACAGCTACTACACCTACTACACCTACTACAGCTACTACACCAACTACAGCGACTACAGCTACTACAGATACTACACCTACTACACCTACTACAGCTACTACACCTACTACACCTACTACAGCTTCTACAGCTACTACACCTACTACACCTACTACAGCTATTACACCTACTACACCTACTACACCTACTACAGATACTACACCTACTACACCTACTACAGCTACTACACCAACTACAGCTACTACAGACACTACGCTTACTACAACTACTACCATGGCAATTTTGCTGGGAAGTTGACTCACATTTAAAATTCAAAAACGCACTGCGCACGGAACCAATCCAAATTCTAATTAGACAATATATGGAGAGAAACACCGAAGATGTGAATATCTCCTTAGAAAACGCTATGAAAATTCTAACTGAGAGCTCCAAGCTATGCCTAAAAATTAAAGCTAAGAAAACTTATAAGCGTATTAAGAAATCATCCAACAAGAAATGGTTCGACTGTGAATGTCGCTTAAAAAGGCATGAATTACGAAAAGTCTCAAATGAAAAGCACCGTGACCCCCTCAACTCCGAAGTGCGGGAAAGATATCACAAAACCTTGAATGATTACAAAAAGCTCCTAGGCACAAAGAAGAGAGGATTCCACAAAGAAAAAACATTACAACTCGACGAACTAGCTTTAAATCCTGACAAGGCGTCATTTTGGAATTGTTTAAATTCGATGAGCGACACTTTCAACGAAAATGTTCCTGCCCCAATCTCGGAAGAATCATGGCTTCACCATTTCAAATCTCTGCATTCTATTGACCCGACGAATTCCACGCATGAACATGAAAATCCATAGGGAACTAAATTCTTTAGAACACGAAAAGGAACGGTTTAACCATCTCGATTATGAGATAACTGAGAGGGAAATACGTCAAGCGGCGAAGAAATTGAAAAATAAGAAATCACCATTTGTTGACAAAATACGAAATGAAATGATCAAAGCAAGCCTCGAACCACTAATGCCTGTCTATGTCAAACTTTTTAACCTCATTTTACAATCCGAAAAATGCCAGATGTTTGGTGTCAAGGCCTCATAACCCCAATTTACAAATCTGGTGACAAGAGTGATCCAACAAATTACAGAGGCATATGTGTTTCTAGTTGCCTTGGAAAACTGTTCTGTTCTATTTTAAATCGAAGACTTCACTTGTATTTTGAGGAAAATAAGATATTACATAATTCCCAAATTGGCTTTTTGCCTGAAAACCGCACTGCAGACCATGTTTTCACTCTAAGGACCCTAATAGATAAATATGTGCATTATCACAAGGAAAAAAGTCTACGCTTGTTTCGTAGATTTCCGCAAAGCGTTTGACTCTGTTTGGCACGAAGGATTGTTTTATAAGCTGCTAAAAACGAATATAGGAGGAAACTTGTACAACCTCATGAAAAGTCTTTATTGCAACTCGACATGTTCCATCAAAATCGGTGAAAACAAAACACAACCTTTTTCATATTCCAGAGGTGTACGTCAAGGCTGTATTTTAAGTCCTCTTTTATTTAACCTCTACTTAAACAATCTACCACTTTTATTCGAAAACACCTTATCTGACCCATTTGTTCTCCCAAATGGGAAAAAAATAAATTCACTTTTGTACGCAGATGATTTAGTTATTCTATCAAGATCGAAAACTGGATTACAGAACTGTTTAAATGCGCTTTGTATTGTGACAAATGGAAGCTAAAAATTAATCCCAAGAAAACAAAAATTATGATATTCCAGAAACGCCCAAAAAAAATCTATTGACATCAAATTCAACATAGGCAGTGAGTCAATTGAAATTGTCCAAGAATACACTTATTTAGGTACACGTTTAACTCCAACGGGAAACTTTACACTTGCACTCGAACACTTAAAAGAAAAGGCCCTTCACGCGTTTTCTAGTATTCGGAAGCGGACAATTCTTAACAAACTTAATCCTAATACTGCATCCCAAATTTTTGACACCATGGTATTCCCAATCTTGAGTTACAACAGCGAGGTATGGGGAATGTACACCAAGCAAGATTTTAAAAAATGGGATAGCTCCCCAATAGAAAAAATCCACCTCAAATTCTGTAAACGTTACTTAGAGGTTAACAATAAGGCCTCTAACATAGCCTGCAGAGCTGAACTTGATAGACTGCCGCTGCTTATCCCGATAAATCAGAAAATTATGAAATATTTTGTTTACCTCAACAACAAAGATAATGACTCTATAGTCAAACAGTCTTTCCTTATGTCAAAGAATCTACATTCTATGAATAATTCCGGATATTTTTCCAATTTCATAAACATGCTTGAACAATACAATCTAACCAGTTTAGATGCTGAATCTCTAGATAATAATAAAATTAGACGATATACCACAGAAATGAGAGAGAAATATCTATCTTTTTGGCGGCACAGCCTCGAAAATTCAAAAAAACTAGAATTTTATAAAACTTTTAAAGATGAATATTCTACATCTGATTATCTCTACCAGCTAAGACATTATGACGAACGACAGAATTTTGTTAAATTTAAAATAATTAATCACAAACTTATGATTGAACATGGTCGATACCAAATCGATCATTTGCCAAGAGAAAATAGATTATGTCCTTTATGTAACTCAAATCAGGTAGAAGATGAGATTCATTTCCTCTTTCAATGTAACAAATACTCAGTACAGAGACAGGCATTTATTAATCAAATCAATCGAATAATACCTGACTTTGACAAGAAATCATCTCCGGAAAGCATAAAACTGATAATGAATTCGAAGGAACATCATGTAAATAAGTTAGTTATGAAGTTTGTCTCCTCCTGCATGAAAATACGTGATTCATTGTTAGTAATGTAACCGAATTTTTCTAGATTGTTATTAGTGCTGTTTTGTTTTTATTTTGATTGTCATATACATGCTTTTGCAATACTGTAAAGTGATGCGGTCATGCAAATAAAGCAATTTATTACTACTATTACTACTACAGCTACTACACCAACTACAGCGACTACAGCTACTACAGATACTACACCTACTACACCTACTACAGCTACTACACCTACTACACCTACTACAGCTACAGCTACTACACCTACTACAGCTACTACACCTACTACAGATACTACACCTACTACACCTACTACAGCTACTACACCAACTACAGCGACTACAGCTACTACAGATACTACACCTACTACACCTACTACAGCTACTACACCAACTACAGCGACTACAGCTACTACAGATACTACACCTACTACACCTACTACAGCTACTACAGCTACTACACCTACCACACCTACCACACCAACTACAGCTACTACACCTACTACACCTACTACACCTACTACAGCTACTACAGCTACTACACCTACTACAGCTACTACAGCTACTACACCTACTACACCTACAGCTACTACAGCTACTACCTACTACCTACTACACCTACTACAGCTACTACACCTACTACAGCTACTACAGCTACTACACCTACTACACCTACTACAGCTACTACACCAACTACAGCGACTACAGCTACTACAGATACTACACCTACTACACCTACTACAGCTTCTACACCTACTACACCTACTACACCTACTACACCTACTACAGCTACTACACCAACTACAGCGACTACAGCTACTACAGATACTACACCTACTACACCTACTACAGCTACTACACCTACTACACCTACTACAGCTTCTACAGCTACTACACCTACTACACCTACTACAGCTACTACACCTACTACACCTACTACACCTACTACAGATACTACACCTACTACACCTACTACAGCTACTACACCAACTACAGCTACTACAGACACTACGCTTACTACAACTACTACAGCTACTACACCAACTACAGCGACTACAGCTACTACAGATACTACACCTACTACACCTACTACAGCTACTACACCTACTACACCTACTACAGCTACAGCTACTACACCTACTACAGCTACTACACCTACTACACCTACTACAGATACTACACCTACTACACCTACTACAGCTACTACACCAACTACAGCGACTACAGCTACTACAGATACTACACCTACTACACCTACTACAGCTACTACACCAACTACAGCGACTACAGCTACTACAGATACTACACCTACTACACCTACTACAGCTACTACACCTACTACACCTACTACAGCTTCTACAGCTACTACACCTACTACACCTACTACACCTACTACAGCTACTACACCTACTACACCTACTACACCTACTACAGATACTACACCTACTACACCTACTACAGCTACTACACCAACTACAGCTACTACAGACACTACGCTTACTACAACTACTACAGCTACTACACCTACTACAGCTACTACAGCTACTACACCTACTACAGCTACTACACCTACTACACCTACTACAGCTACTACAGACACTACGCCTACTACACCTACTACAGCTACTACAGCTACTACAGCTACTACAGACACTACGCCTACTACACCTACTACAGCTACTACACCTACTACAGCTACCACAGATACTGCACCTACTACAGCTACTACAGATACTACGCCTACTACACCTACTACAGCTACTACACCTACTACAGCTACTACAGCTACTACACCTACTACAGCTACTACAGACACTACGCCTACTACACCTACTACAGCTACTACACCTACTACAGCTACTACAGCGACTACAGATACTACACCTACTACAGCTACTACAGATACTACAGCTACTACAGCTACTACAGCTACTACACCTACTACAGCTACTACAGATACTGCACCTACTACAGCTACTACAGATACTACGCCTACTTCACTTACTACAGCTACTACACCTACTACAGCTACTACAGCAACTACAGATACTACACCTACTACAGCTACTACACCTACTACAGCTACTACAGCTACTACAGATACTACACCTACTACAGCTACTACAGCTACTACAGCTACTACAGATACTACACCTACTACAGCTACTACAGACACTACGCCTGCTACACCTACTACAGCCACTACACCTACTACAGCTACTACAGCTACTACAGTTACTACAGCTACTACACCAACTACAGCTACTACAGCTACTACACTTACTACAGCTACTACACCTACTACACCTACTACACATAATACAGCTACTGCAGCTACTAGAGCTAGTACACCTTCTACTCATAGTACACGTACTGGCAGGGCATTGCAGGTACTAGCAAGGCACTGTGGGCTTGTCGTGTATATGGCATTCAGCCATGAAGTACTTGCCCGATGTGGAGTTGATAAATTGGTCTTCTTCAACAAAAAACCTACCATGGAAACTGCTTTAAACTTCTACACAAAAGGGTCCTTTACAAGCAACGGTAGAAATCGGTTAAAGCGACCGCGTGACCATCGTTTTTGTTTGAACAGCTGGAAAGAGGACAAGTAGCATTGCGGCCCGGATAAGCCTTGAAGACAAAATACGCGGGTCCTACAAAGACGACCGCACAAGCAACCATGTGGACGTATTTTCTATTGAAAGAGGAAGGTAAAGAACGTATAAAGGTTTCCAGTATTTTTGTCACGGACATGACCGGGAATCTTGTGGAACACACCTTTTCCTTCTTGACTGATATTTTGTTCCGCACTTCACATATGGACAATTAGCAATTGTTTATTGAACACGAGGTTAATAGAAGCGGAGGTTAATGTTCCTAAATCACTGGCAATCGGTAAACAATAGGTTTGATCTTTACAGAATTTTCAAACATTGCAAATCAAATCGGAAACAATAGCCTAATGGGTTATATGGAATCGCCAGAAGTTTAAATTGTACTACTTCAATCCTAGGAAGAAAAGTAGAGCTTTGTTTTCATCTGTCGACTCGCCAACTTAGAGGAAAAAAGTTTTTTGTGCAGCTAATTTGTGCTGTTCTTTGTAAGTGCAGACATGGTGGCCCGGTTGCTTGAGGTAAGGAGCCGTTTCTCTGTAGTTTTCTCTGTCCTGTTGAATTGAAATGTCGAGCTTTCGTTAAGATTTGCTTTCATTTTTTTTTCTCATAAGTCAGTTGAATTTGATTTCAGGGGAAAATTTGTCTTTAAAGGAAATGTTGAGTTCACACACCCCTTCTACTCGATTAAACTGTAATTGTCAACATTCCATCGTGGAAAAAAAATATTGAAACTTTGAAGTCTTTTCATACCTTCAAAAGAGTGGACCCTAGGATTTTGCCGAATTCTGAAAGGTTCTTACACTAAAAAATTGGCAAAACAACGAGCTCACGAATTATTTACTCGCGAGACTAAAGCACTACAAAGATCACTGAGTGTGTATCCTGAAACCGATTTTTGTTTGTAAAAACATTATTTGTGTAAGGTTATTTGTGTTTTTCATGTAGCAAACGGTGTTGAAATAAATACGACAGTATGATAATCTCACCTGGAGTTTATTTACTTTATGTGGTTTTACCTAACCTCGTATTTTCCTCATACACCTGTAATAATTAACCTTTACAGATCCTGCACCACAATGTATAGGTACGATTTCCATACAACCCAAACATTCGTTATGTGTGTTAAACAATATAAGCTTGCTGCATGCATAATAAATGTAGGGGTTCGGATGCACAGGACCTTTTGATGTTGTGTTTGCCACTTATTGATCCAGCAAGTTTTGCCTACTTTCGTAAGCACTCATGGTGTTAGGTGTCGGCTGCTGAATGTAGTCTTTTCTTTTTTTCTCTATAGAAAGCACTAAAAAGTGTTAAGAATATATACTACTGCAATAAGTTCAAGCTGTGTATAGCTTCTTGTTTATAATTATGTCTTATTTCTTGTACCTCCCCTCCTCTGTGAAAGCCTAATTAACTCATTTTCTACAGTGAATGGTGTGCAGACCCCATATTAAACAGACACCCTGTATTCAGCCGTTGAATAGCTCAAAATGTGGCAAAACGTTTCTTTCCAAAATGTAAGAAAAACAAATCTGTACTTAGTGGATATCTCTAATAAACAGAAAGTAGCAAAGTTTGTGTGGATGCCCGCCCAATTCTAATTACACAGGTTTTTTCTTTATTTATAACAACCTTTAATGCATAAAAATAGATGGTAAAAAGAAGGATGAGTGAGGGTGTAAAGAGAGAAGAACCGAGTCCTTATGCCAGGCTGGCTCCCTCCCTGAGGATATAATATAAAATACAACATGAAAACGTTTCATAAAACTGGTACATCATTTATGTTGTGTGGTTGTGTGTCTTTTAGACTGTGAGCAGTCTCTCTTCAGCTCGAAAATCTGTAAGTGAGATTATTTGTGAGGGCGCAAATTCGAATACGCTGCTCAAATACTCTTGCTTACAGATTTTCAAGCAAACCAGAGACTGCTCGCAGTCTATATGTCTTTCAGTGTCTGCAAACTTTTCTGTTGTTTTCTGACAGGTTGAATTGAAGGAACAATAATACTAGCAATCATGAATTCTCTTTGAAGATGTCTACATGACCTTGCCACGGAATTGATAGTGGGGAAAATAATGTACAAGTCTGACAAACAGTGCAAGTTCTATATTTTGGGGCAAGGGAGCACTTATTTATTTATTTATTTATTATTTTTTATACTTTTGTTAAACTATGTGGCTGCCAATGCATTTGGGATTTGAAATTTGAGGAATACTGGGAAGAGTGTGACTACCTGAGTGACACACATGTTATCATACACACTACATTAATATTAATTTGTCTCCTTCTAGATGCTTTCCTTGAAATTGCCTGTTTCAAGCCATGGCACGAATAGATACACTGATTCAGTCACACACTATGTTTTATTGCTCCAGAATGTCTCTCTCAATGCAACCCATGCAGGTGCATAAATTGATGAACTCACCAATGAAAGAAACTTGACCTAATTAAGAGGTCAAGATGTGACCAAAGGAAGTTCTTATTGATTTTTATTTTAATGTGATACTACTATTTTTAACTTAAAGCCTTCCTCAATGAAGGTCATATGCTCAAATACAGATCAGCTTAACTGATAATAACAGCCTCAATTTCCTGTGATGTCTTAGTGGTTGCATGAGGCCTAATCAATCATAATATGCAGATCAACATGTGAGTTTATTAGATTATTTAACCCATTCGCTCCTGGAGATTTTGCCGAAAAACGCGTTTTGAAGCTAGTCGAGTGGTTTTCTGGTCACTGTCGTGCTATAAAGAGCTAAAACTTACCACAAACCGGTTTACAGGTCGTACACTTGGCGGCCTTCTGATCCAGATGCAAAATATCAGCTCGCGAAGTTCGGGCATGCGCGGAAAGCAAAATTTCGACATTTTTCGCTTTCCCTCCTCCCTTCTTTTTTCGCTTTTCTTGCCTCATTTTTTTTTCTCTTGCTGGGAATTTAGTAGGCTTGATTTTGGTGGGAAGAGTTTTTAGGAAAGCTTTTAGGATCCTAGGATTAGGTGAAAGGAAAGGTAGGTGGGTAATGGAACAATATTTTCACGGAGATTTTCAGGTCCTTGTCACGTGGTTTTTTGCTTCTTTCTCCGGTGTCCTTGACTGAATTGTGCTCATTCTGGTATGGTTTGAAAGATCTCTTCACTCTGCACAAGTTAGCGAAGAAAGTTGTCGTTGACCGTTAAAACTGATGACGTCACAAAGGGTAGAAAGGACCTGGATCCGCGGGCGGTTACGGGCGGTTCAGGGGCGAATGGGTTAAAGGGAAAGATTGGGGTGTCATGGTGCAGGATGCCTTAAAAGCAAAAGATTACACAAACTTGCTCTGCCTGCAGACTCGTCTTTAAGAGCATTAGAATGCAACATTAATATCAATAAAGTCAACGTTTAATCATGTTGAAATGCAAAAAGGTGCTCACTTTACTATTGTCTGTACTATACTTCTGATTCGTTTAGGCAGCAAAATCAAGAAAACTTTGCACCGCAGAATGTATTTGAATCGCTATAACAAATTCTTATGAGTCTGAATAAAACAGGCATGCCAGAAATAAAAAATTAATGTAAAGTTTTCTTCAGTTGGCTATTGTTTGCAGCTCTTATGATTGGTTGAAACCTTTTAACACAAAGAAAATACCCCTTAAAATGAGTATGGATACATTTATTTTTGAAAAAAAATTTTTTTGTTTTTTCTGAAAATATGGTTAGAAACTTTTCAAACATACTGAGCTATTCATCTGCCTAACATAGGATGTAACTTTTAATATGGGGTCTGCTTAAATATACAGATTTTGCCGTTCACTATAGAAAATGAGTAATTAGGTTTGTATTTTTGTCTGTGTGGGAGGGGAGTATAAAAAATAAGACACAACTCAGTAAGAAGCTATACACAGCTTGAACTTATTGCAATAGTTTTTATTCTTAATACTTTTGAGCACCTTCTATAGCGAAAAAAAGAAAAGACTACATTCAGCAGCCGACACCTAAAACCATGAGTGCTTAATTACTAAAATAGGGAAAACTTGCTGGGTCAATAAGTGGCAAACACAACATCAAAAGGTCCTATTACATCCATGAATGCCTGAAGCTTGAATTATGCTGTGGTACGATTTGCATTCAAACCCCTACATTTATTATACATGAAGCAAGCTTATATTATTTAACACACATAACAAATGTTTGGGGTTGTTCTTACCCACACATTGTGGTGCAGGATCTGTAAAGGTTAATTATTACAGGTGTATGAGGAAAATATGATGCTTGGTAAAACCACATAAAGTAAATAATAAACTCCAGATGAGATTATCATACTGTCGTATTTATTTCAACACCGTTTGCAACATGAAAAAACACAAATTACCTTACACAAATAAAGCTTTTACAAGCAAAAATCGTTTTCAGGATACACACTCGGTGATCTTTGTAGTGTTTTAGCCTCGCGAGTAAATAATGCGTTAGCTCGGTGTTTTGCCAATCTTTTTAGAGCAAGAACCTTTCAGAATTCGGCAAAATCCTAGTGTCCATTTTTTTGAAGGTAAGAAAAGACTTCAAAGCATTCAAAAGAGCGTTTTCCGATTAACTTTACTGAGCAATATTTTTCGCTCGCTGGAATGTTGACAATTACAGTTTAAAAATGGAAGAGGTGGTTTTGTAAACTCAACATTTCCTTCAAAGGCGAATTTTCCCCAGAAATCAAATTCAACTTATGACCAAAAAAAATAAAAGCAAATCTTTACGAAATTTCGAGATCTCAATGTCAAGAAAACTACAGAGAAAAGGCTCCTTACCTCGAGCAACCGGGCCACCATTGTCTGCACTTACTAAAGAACAACACAAGCTGCACAAAAAACCTTTTTCCCTGACTTGGCGAGTCGAGAGATGAAAACAAAGCTCTTCTTTTCTTCACAGACTGGGAAGCAGAATTTAAAGTTCTGGCGATTCCATATAATCCATTAGGCCATTGTTTGCGAAAGGATTTTTTAACTGCGATTTGATTTGCAATGTTTGAAAATTCTGTAAAGATCAAACTTTTGCACATACCGATTTTCACACATGAGTTGATCCGTCAAAACCGTCAATCAAATTGAACTTAAATGGTCTCCTTACTGATTTTCAATCTTGGTGAATAGTGGCTTTAGGAATATTAACCTCGCCGCGAATATTCCGCTTCTATTCACCTCGTGTTCAAGAATATTAAAGTGTTGTTAATTGTCCAATGTGAAGCACGTCACAAAATATCAGTCGAAGCAGGAAAAGGTGTTTTCCACTTAATTCCTGGTCATGTCCTTGAGAAAAATACTAGAAACCTTTATACGTTTTTTTCCTTCCTTTTTCAACAGAAAATACGTCCACACGGTCGCTTGTACGGTCGTCTTTGTAGGACCCGCATTTTGTGTCCAACGCTTAACGCTTATCCGGGCCGCATTGCTTTCCAACAAAAACGATGGTCCACGCGGTCGCTTTAACTGTATTTCTACCGTTTCTTGTAAAGGATCCGTTTTTGTAGAAGTTTTAACCAATTTCTATGGTAGGTTCTTCTTTGAAGAAGGACAATTTATCAAGTACACACCCTCCACACCGTCCCTCCACTTAGGCAGCCATTTTTTTCATTTATTGACACCGCCTCGCTTTGGCGCGATGAATCTTCCGGAAGTCAACCAGGTTACCGGAAACTGTTTCCGCATGGTCCGCATAGTTCTAAAAATAACTTTTTTGGGATTAAGATATCCCAAAGGCGTGACTGGGAGTGTCCCGCTCTGTCCTATTATGGCTCTTGCTCATGACGGAATGAGCTTCCAGCGAAAAAGGAGTGACAACAGTGGTAAGCGGTCGTTCTGTGAAATGTAACGCAATCTTTGCCGTTACGATCTTTCGGCGCTTGGATTTAAAACGTTGTTGTTTGGCATGTTCTCCCCGTGTGGATACTTGACATTTCCAATATATGGAAACACCATGCTAAGGTACGAACAACAGACATTCACAACATTGTTTTGAAAGCTAAAATCTGATTTCATGGACGTAAAACGTTTTGAATTTTAAGACGTTTTAATGTTAGTGCTTTGCCCTCCCTTTGACAACTTCACGTGACTGGTGCACTTGGCAGGAGTTGACATTGACGGCATTAATTTATATCCGATCGCAATATAAACACGTCTTGGTTTCTGAGAGCTGATAACATAAAACCACTGTTGCTCAAATTGATTTCTTATTGTATTTTTCCGAGTTTTTAGCATCGGCCCGCCGAGTCTGGAAAGCTCAAATTTCAGAAAAGTATTACTTCTATATTTTGGCCTCAAAAAGTTTCTTTTAAGTTGCCCATAGTTTTGAAAACAGATTTTGAAAGAAGAGATAACGCTCTTTAACGTGGTATAAGACTCGTTACTGAAATCGAGGTACCAGTCGACTATTTGGGGCTTTGAAATTTGCCATTTTTTCATTGAACGAAAACGTTCAAAATATTGAAAATAATGAAAAATCTCCGAAATGTAAATCACCACTTAAAATGTGTGCAATTATGTACTCTTCTGAATAAGTTATTTGTTGTCCTCATTACAATGGATTTGAATTTTAAAACGATTTTTTTTGTGACACATAGTCTGGGGCCTGGAAAACCCGGCCCGAGAGCCGCGAAACCACCAAGTGATAAACAAACCAATAACCCCCCCTTTACGTGGAAAATAATTATCGGATCGAAGTAAAAATTACATTTATGTAAATAGCTTACCTAGTGCTACTTTGCGAATTTTCTTGTGAATTTTCGATTTTTCACTTTTGTAGACCTTTGGTCGATTACTGACATCCGCTCTTAAGTGAGCACTTCAGTGCGGGTTTTATGCAACCGGGCCCTGTAATCTCAAAGAAAAGTTGGATTGTTTAAACGATATTCACAAAGGAACGATTTGACATCAAATACCCATCAGCAGAAGCGGTGACAGACAAAAGATTTGTCGAATCGTTGAAATGAAGATCAGAGGAAAACTTCTTTGCTCAAAAAGCACTTGGCGGCTTGCATTGTCAATGGCACGCATGCCATCAAGAACGTATTAACTAGACAGGATTGATGAAGTGAATCACGCCTTTCGCTATTAAGATTATTCCCTCGAATGCGACCTGACGACTGATGTTAATGTCTTCCTACTGTAGCCTATAAAAAAAGTCTCGGTACAGTTTGCGTCCTGAACTTTAGGTCCGTTTAGTAAGACACTGTCTGCTCAAAAATCGGCTGCTACTTTGCACATTAAAACAATGGTCATTTTCCATGTACGCTGTGATCTTTGATGACTCTGTACAGTTGTGATATCGCAATCTCAGAGAAAAAAAAAAATGAATATATCCTTATATATATATATATATATATATATATATATATATATATATATATATATATATATATATATATATATATATATATATATATATCTAGCCGGATTTTTGATAACGTTATCGCCAAATAGACCTTTTGCGTCCAACAGTTATTTTTCGGCCAACAACTATCTCCAAAGTAGCTATTATAAAAACTAAGAGTGCAACCACTGCTTTTTTTTCTTCTCCTCCTTTCCTCCTCCTCACTCTTTCCTTTTTCCTTTCCTTTTTCTTCGTTACTATGATTTTGGAGCTTCTCGGGCTCACGAAACTTGCCTTTGACACTTTTTTACACAAATGACTGCAAATTTCGTGAGGTTGGTTTTCAAAAAATCGGCTAGATATATATTAAATAAATTCTTTAAATATATCCAGTTTTTACTCTGTTTTTTTTTTTTTTGTCTTTATCTAGCCTTTGGTTTAAAACGAGTTATTGCTGTGTGTTTGTCGTCGGTTTATTGCTCCATCACTCTATAATAAGATCACGTAGCTGATCGTTTTATCAGATATTTAGACTGAGGATATAAAAATACAACGCACTTTTACACGGTTTTTTTTTGGACGAGGTCGATCAGGATCGTTTTCTGTCAGAATGTTTGACAGATCACGCAGCGGCCGCTAGCTGGAAACGATTTTCATGGGCCTCTAGGGCCGGCGCTCCCTCTCCCCTCGCGTGTCTCCTTTGCGCGCCCCGTTCTTTCTTGCACCCATTTCTTCCAAGTGCCTGCTACGCAGGCTAAGCAATCTCAGCATTGATTAAAAGGTATAGGGTTTCACATGAAAAACGTCTGTTTGGAATTGTATGTTTACAGATACTTATTGGTAACCGCAATAGCAGAGCCTTGGAAAAGAACTACTTCAATCCAGTAATCAGGACACGATCAATTCGGATATACCCAAAAGATCCATTTGTAGGTTTGGTGGATTCATCTTTTCCTTTTGTTCCTTGTCTCCGATTGGAGCTGTATGGATGCTTTGCTCCGAGTAAGTAACAATATCGAAACCTTGCTTTTCGATATTTTATTTTATTCCTCGCGAAGCAAGGGCCCTGCGAAGGGTTATAATTGTGTCGAAATTCGCATCTCGTATGGAAGGTGCGTGGATTGCAAAGCGAGATGGAGACACTAGACAGTAGTCGGTTTTATAGGCCAATTTACATTGGGGCTCTCAAGTGCACTTAAAGTGCACTTGATGCGTACTTTTAGGGCCTGTCTACATGGAAATGGGGGACCCCAGGTAGGTGGGGTCACCCGCCTGTCCATATAGTCTCTCGTTTTAATTTCATTACGCTTACATAATCAGTAGGGTGACTCGCCAAGGCGGGTAGTTCGGTCTGCCACACCTGGTAACCCTCTTAACCGGGGTCGAATTTTTGCCATGTAAACGTTTCACGGTGGGGTAACCCGCCTAGCCGGGGTCGGATTCGTGATACATCAAATTCACGCAAAATTCACTTTAGAGGTGACTAGCTAACTATAGAAAGCCACAGCACTGAAGGTTGCAGCAAGGGCAGCAAGTGAGAGTAGAAGAGCATTAATCACTAAAAAATGCCAGCATTTTTCTTGTTTACGTGCTTATCGATCATTCAATAATCTTGAGAAAGTGCACCACGGGATGGTGGGGTTGTAAGATTGCATGTAAATCAGGGTTATTTTTACCCCACCTAGGCGGGTTACCTCACCTACCGTGGGGTCCCCAACTCCACGTAAACAGGGCCCGGTTGCACAAAACTTGCACTTAAGTGCCCACTCAAGTAGGTCACTTAAGAATCCGTTATGGGTACACTTTTAAACGGGTGTTGCATGGAACACACTTAGCACTCTCGTAAGTTTCTGTTTTACGTGGTAACTTACGGGCTCACTTAAGGGCACACGTAACTTTGTTATAGTACTTTTAATTATTAATTTGACTCACTCTATTTTTTTAAATTAAGTTAACCATCGGTGAGTGTAAAGAAAGTGTCAAGTCGCTTCGAACACCCTTTTAAGCCTCTCATTTAAATAAAGTTTACATGAAACCGTTATTTTACTTCAATATCCACTGGAAATGTTTGTTGTTCTTCTTTTTTCTTAACGACGGCTTTAAATTGTACATCAGAGGTTAACAAAGCGCATTAGAACGGAATTACGTAAAGAAAAAACAATTTTTTTTCACTTTTCGGTAAAAGATCTCGTTAACTTTAGTAAAAACAGTAAGGATATGGGACCTACATAGGTCCCGTAAATTTAAGTGCTAATTTTCCCGTAAAAAAGGTTTTATGCAACACCCGCAATTTCTGTTGCATAAATGGCACTTAAGTGGATACTTACGAAAATCGTAAGTGCAGCCACTTAAGTGAAACCCCTAAGTGGACCACGTAAATGATTTAATGCAACTCACTTAAGTTACGAGTACACGTACGTATACCCGTAACTGTTACGGGCGTTTTATGCAACCGGGCCCAGGCCCTTGGTGTGAACTCCTTCCTGAAGGAGTCTGAATTACGTTTTAATAGGAGCACTCATCTAATTCATTTACACTTTCAAAATCTCTTTATAAAATGTATCAAAGAGGTAAAAATTAATGTAAGCTGAGTGTAATTGAAAACATTCATAATTTTCAGTGGTTCGTTTTCTATAAGCGCCAAGTTTTAACTTTTTGTCCAAAACTTCTTTTTGAATGGCGCGTGATGAAGGTTTGTGGTGAATAATCCAAGTGTAGCTCTCATACTTAAAGTGTCAGTTTTAATGACCCCACTTTTTAAATTCTTTGTTGACCTGGTGATAAACGTAAAACAAAAGAATTCAAATTTAGGGCCTGTTTACATGAAGGAGGTGGAATCCCTGGTAGGAGAGGTAACCCGTGGCGGTTCAACCCCACCTATCATGTAAACGTGATCAAATTAAAATGAGAGATTATATGGACAGGCGAGTTACCACACCTAAGCAGATTACCTCACCACCTGGGGTCCCCCACCTCCATGTAAACAGGCCCTAACGGCGTGTCACAGCAATATTGGGCACACTAGTATTGAGGTGGCGAAGAATTTTCACATTTTCACGTGAAGTTTAACTTCAGGACAAGTTGCAGACACAAACAACGTCAACCTTGTGGAATCAATGATTTATCGTATTTCTGTACGGCGCCAAAAGATATAATCTCGGCAGAAAATAATAATAACAGATGAAAAAGTAGTTGAAACAATAATTTAGAAACCTTTTGACTTTTCATAACAAAAACCACTTTTCATGTTTTAGGTGCGCGCAGTCTTGCCCGAAAATCTATTGAATAGACCATTTTTGATATATTGAAAATTCATACTTGGCTCGGAGGCTTGGGAAAATAAAATTTAGAAAGAAATTTTTCATTGCCGAGTCTCAAGATGATTCTTTTGTTTTATTCCCCCAAGCCTAGCAGCGTGGTACGAATTTTAATATATCAAAATTGGTCTATTCTCCTTCCAAGTAGATCTCTACTTGACTTCAGCTGCACTTCAAGTGCATTTTGGTCCCTAGTGTGAACCGGCCTTCTATGTATATCCAGGCTGGTACTCGCATTAACGTCACCAATAAATTGTGACGTCGAGGCGCACTTGATCCGTTGTTTACACTGTTTTTGCACCCTTTTTCGTGATTGAAAAATGGTTCTGGCGAGAACGTTTGACTGCAGAATTGTTTTACAGAAAACATTGAAGCAATTCGGGTCGTCCTGCACCTTTCTAAAGTGGCTCTCTGATTGGCCAGCTCGCGAGAACAATAGGATTTTTTTTATAGAGAAATTATCATGTATGCATTAGTTAGTATTTCACATCACTTACGATGAGACTCTATTTCATAGTTTTGTACAGCCAAGGATATTTTGATGCTTTGTGCGTATCGTCAATGTCATCAGAACAGGTTTTGTGTGCCTTGATGTATGAAGTAAGCATTGAGAAAATCGTGTCCTCGTAGTAGGCTGTGCCCGTTGTACAGATTGTACAGAGTGTACCGACTGTACCGAGAAAGGTGGCTTTAGCCCTACGATGATCTGGCTACTTACAAACATCGTTACGGTATAAATTTTCTGCATCATAATGGTATTTGTTTTAAAAACAAAATAAACTTTTTATTTAAAAAAAAAAAAAAAAAAAATGAAATAGGCACGTTAGAATTAATACAATGGCACTTGCTAAAATTTAAGTTAATGGGGTTTTCCTTGCGTTTTAGCCAAGTCACTTAATTACTGCCAGAGGAAACTATTTTAAAAGAGTTCGGAAAACTTAGGAAAAATAATTAGAAACTGCTTTTAGAACAAGCAGAATCATTCATCTCTGGATTTTTTAAAATTTACATTCGACAACCGGGGGTCGTGGAATTGCGTTGAAGTTTCTAATACGGCAATAGCCTGCGAGCAAGCTCTTCATTTGAGGGAGTCGCGAAAAGTCACGCGAGAGCAGCACGCCAAAGGAAACGCGAGTGCGATGGGTGCCATACATGAAGAGCTTGCTAAGAGGCTAATACCGCGACGTCGCTTCTGCTATTCCACGTCGCCATCGCCATCGCCAGTAAACGTGGGAAAAGTGAGATTAGTAATCCTTCTCTAATATGCAGTATTTTTTGCCTGTTCTTTACAGTGCCAACAACGCCTACACCAGTACCAACGACGCCAGGTAAATCATGCATGGTTATGTTAATTTGGCTAGTCTGGTATTCTATCTCATGTTGTGCTGTAGGCTCATTTCGCGCCCGTGGGCCGTGCATGGTCCGTGGTCCATGTTAAAGTGTGAATTTACTTGCTGTTAGCGTTCGCAAGTTTACTTGTAATCTGCTTTAATTCAAACAGAATTGTGCCGAATTCCAATGGACATCACCTTTATCATCGACTCGTCTTTTTGTGAAAGCGACAGCAAGTGGCAACGCTTGCTTAACTTTGTGCGAACGTTGGTCAGTTACTTTAATGTGTCACCATCAGGAGGTCGTATTGCTCTGATTCCATACGGCTCGGATGCCAAAGTGTCTCTAAGGTTCGATACATTAACTGGAAACCTTCTCAACGGAGAGGAAGTCAATAGGATAGTGGGCAACCTAGAGTGTCAGGGGGGATCCAGACGAATCGATAAAGCCTTGGAATTAGCAGACAAAGAAGTTTTAATCCCATCTGCTGGAATGAGAGATGTATCACGGGTAAGGAATATTTACTGAGTTATTACACGGTTAAACTGGCATTTGTAGCTTTTCTCTCTAGATTAACTTGGTTGACAAGTTTTGATAATCAAACATGGGGATTCGAAGGAAACGGCCTGTCTATTCGGAGGGGGCTTTTTGACCGGAACTTGTTGATGTTTGCAAGTCCGTTACTAGAAATAAATAGTTAAAATACCCTGAAAAAAGAAACTTTGTAGCTCACACTGAACAATACCGTACAGTGCGTGTTTATCGACTGAAAAAGTGTGTTTTTGATTTGTTTCCTTCCAGCCTGTTTTGGTGATCACGACTGGAAAACAAACAACAGACCAAGGAGTGTACACGCCTCTTGATATAGCGTCTTCTCGTCTTCAAGACAAAGGAGCAGCCGTTTTTGTCCTTGGTATAGGGAAAGACGTTGACCCTTCGGAACTTAAGCAAATTGCCTCTGGACCAAATAATGTCTTTACAGTGGGATCAGTCGAGGACTTGGATACCAAAGCTAACGAGGCCAAGAAAGGCATATGTGTCTTAGGTACTGAATCTCCCGTATTGATTCTCCACATTGTCTCCCTATTCTACATAATTACGTCAATGCTACAAAATTAAAGACTTTTAAGCGGGATCTCACTTTGTTTCTGTTTTGTAGCGCTTCCAACACCAACCTTAACAGTGGGACCAACAACTCCACGTAAGTGATTTCCATGGTGTATAAGTTTTGTCTGCACTTTGTACATGCCGCATCTTCTGAAAGGGTGGTTTGCAGTTGTTGTGGAGGTAGCGCTGTAATCTTCTTAGATTGTTAGACGTAAAAGAAAATCTTCAACTAGCGCAAGGGCTCTACAGAATGCCGCTTGGCTGTAGGCCTTGAAATGCACGAAAAACATGCACCGTACCTCGAGTCTAATCACATTTCTTCGTCTTTTCTGTTTCAAAAGAAATCTGCCCAATCGCTATGGATACGACTTTCGTTATTGACTCGTCTCTGTGTGATATTGAGAGCAATTGGAATCGCTTGCTGTACTTTGTGCAAACTTTGGTCAACTATTTCAACGTGTCACCGTCAGGAGGTCGTGTTGCGTTTGTTCCTTACGGCACTAATGCCAGTGTAGTTCTGAAGTTTAACACATTAACGGGAAATAATCTTAATGGAGCAGAAGTCAAGAAACGACTTGATGGCTTAAGATGCCAGGGTAATTTTAGACGAATCGACAAAGCATTGGATCTTGTAGACAAGGAGGTGCTTACACCCGCTGGTGGACTGAGAGACCTTTCAAGGGTAAGTTGGAGAAGTAAGAATAACCGCGCAAATTGGCCAATAACACGCTAGGCACCTAGTTGATCAAAAGATTGACTTTTTGTTTTACTATTGTTTGTCTGCAGGTCGTATTTGTGATCACGACTGGAAAGCAAACAGCAGACCAGGGCGTATACCTACCTCTGGAGATAGCCTCCTCTCGCCTTCAGAGTAAAGGAGCGGCCGTGTTTGTGCTGGGTATAGGAGAGGACGTGGACGCATCAGAACTGCACGAAATTGCTTCTAGCCCTAACAACGTTTTTAGAGTGGATTCGTTCGAGGATTTGGACGACAGAGTACCAACGATAAGAAGAGGAATATGCAAATTAGGTAAAATCATCCCTCAGCTATCCTTTTCCTTGTCACGAGATTGTTATTTACGAAAAAGGCTCGAGGGATTAACAGAGAGTCTTCCTTAGTGCGTTTGGAAATAAAAAGGGTTTTCAATGCTTTGGATAAGAGTGAAATTGTTTTGTTGTTGTTGTTGTTGTTGTTGTTGTTGCTGTTGTTTTCAGTTTCAACCTTGTCAATCAACACCATCACCAACACCAGTACAAACACCCGCACGTACGTAAAGATTATTTTGAAAAACGCTTATACGGACTGGCCGAATTGAAATGTAGTAGCATTGTGCTTTCTGAACAGTAAAATAATGGCAAATATTAATAAACGAACACTACTGTCTGAGTTCACTAAAGCTTGATATCGATTCCACATCTTACGTCGTCGTATTTGATTGGAGTAGGAGTTATTAATAGTAAAGTATCGTTAGGATAAGGTTTGGCTCAACAAGGATACAGCCGATTGTGCTGATAGTTTTATTAGGTCATCGTTCGGTAAACCACCTACATTGTAGATTGCATAAGCGGGATACTGTCAAAGCAAAGCGGGCAATTAATACTCCTAATTTAAAAATGCTGATCACAGAGTTGCATGGCTGGCCATTCACGGTAGATCAGCTAGCGTGGTACATTCATGAAATGCGTGTAAGATGCACTGCAAAAAAAAAACTGGCATGGTACATCGCAAAAGTGTTCGTACTCTTGCTTGTAATGCATGAATTTTAAGAATGGCTGTACTGTTGGTTTGCAACCGCGTTTCAACGTGGCCATGTTGTTCGACGAAAGAATACAGACCTTTTTGGCAGATAATTAGATGAAGACGGAATTGAGCACCCAGTAGAGAGAAACTCTTTTGTTGTGGGCGGCCAACTTGGCCGCCGTGAAGTCAATATATTTGTGGGGGAGAGATCCTCTACGATAAGAGTTTCCAAAGAGCTGGGCGGAGATGTCGTTGTTACTATAACTAAGGTGGATGATGCAATCCCCTAGAGAGGCCGTTCCCGATGTCTGTACCTTATAATTATAAAGTTCTTGTTATTCATTATCTGTAACTCAGTCTTATATTTTAATTCTGAGTTTACTTTAAGATGACTTTTTTAAAAGTCCTCTACGCGCGCATAGCAGGGCGAGGGGGTAAGAGCAAAATCTTGGCAGGTATATTCTACCTTTTAGTTTGATTAGATATACCTAATTGCAATAACGTTGTCATAGAAAAAAGCAAAAAGCAAAAAGCCAAATAGGAATTGATTAGCCATGTGATTTACATTTGCATATTTTAATAATTTAACTATTATTTAAGAAGTCATTCACAATAACGAGAGATAATTCTGTAATTCCGTGCTCTAAGATAGACGCCATTGTCATTTTAGAGCCAACATTCTCCATCAACAGAAGTCGCACACTTCGAAATTCGCTAGATGAATCAGCCTCGAATTGCGTTAGAATGACACCAAGAAAATGATGCAAATGATTTCTCTCATATTATTCAGCTGTAAGCGTGTGTGTTGTGAATATTGCAAGCTATGATAATTACATGCTAATTAATTCCTATTTAACTTTTTGCTTTTTTCTATGACAACCTTATTGCAATTAGGTGTATTTTTTTCAAATAGATGTTTAACCCATATTCTTATGCTAATGATCCTTTTTTCTTCTATTGTCGCGCAGGCGGTGCCAACTTCCTCTACACCGACGCCAACAACAACTCCTAGAGTGGGACGTAAGTGTATCTTGTATAGTAATGGTTGTCGTGATACACTTTCCCGAACAGCGTTTTGTTGTGGATGGAAACAACCAGAAACGAAAAGAGAAAAAAAAAATGTTAATTGGCATTTTGACGAGTTCGGGTAGACGAGAGTTCTTTCTAGACTCATTAACTTTTCTGGATTTCTCACTACATTAAGGTTATTCGGCGCAGTCTTTTAAACACATCAGTTAACCAGTCAACATTCATTTGGATGCAAAGTATTTCTTCAGATATTCAAAATCTCCTGTTGACACGTGATTAAATTGGGATCTTTTTTATTAACTCATCTGCGTGTAAACGGCAAAGCAAATCCGTTACCAAATGCCGCCCCGGATTCGTCATGAACCAGGAAAATTTCCCAGTAGTGCAAATGAAGCCTTTATGTAATTATTGTCAAATGCGAAGGAAATTAACATGCGGATATACACCTATTTCAATAAAGGTTGCTTCGATGAAGAATGACGCATGATCCATGTTTCATAGCCCGCGGTGCATTATTGTAGCCTAGAAACCTAGAAAACAAACGCTACTGACGCTTCAAAGCTATGTCAGCAGAACGTTACGACAATGTATTTCAAAACACTGAATCCTAGGCTTTTTAGGACAGCGATTTGAGTTAAGGTTTTGCTCTGTGGTAATATGCAAATGTTGCAAATGTTCAACGAGTTTGCTTGGCTCGTGCACGTAGGAATTTCGGGGGGCGTTAAAGAAAACAAATTCAAGGCGTTTGTAGAACAACAATAAATAACTTAAAATTACGCGTTTATTTATTTTTGAGGCGATTTTCTTTAAACTGAATAAAAAAAAGAATGAATGATTTGCTTTATCGAAATAACCAGCATTCTACAGTTGTTAAGGAAGAGGCTTCTAATTTCCTTACTGTGAGATTTAAAAAATGAAATTCTTTAGCTCGCTCATGCTTAAGAGTTTTGGCAGCCATTTGAGTTGAAAGCTCTCTTGAACGCCTTCTCACAAATGGTCTCCATTATTTCAATGACAGTGAACAAGACTGAGCTTTCCGCTGCAAAAGGGTTTCCCATAGTGCACTGTAGGCCATGAAACATGGTTCACGGGAGCAACGTTAATTGAAATAGGTGTATACACGGAGAGGACCTGTGAAAAAACACTGGTCAATAAGATTCAATCGTCAAAACGTTAGTGTCGGTCGCAAGCTTCCCTAGGCATTTCTTAAGACTTTTTAAGTTTTGATGAAATTTCTTAAACTTTGTTGGTCAATTTACTTTACATGTAACCCGAGATCAGATCCAATTTTAGCGGCTCTCATACATTCTCTCTAACGGCTACCAGTAAAATTGGGCCTGATACAAACTCTCTCATGTTTGTGCTCACTGCGCTCAGATTTTGGCCGTAATGCTGATTGGCTGTTGGAACAATGCCTCAGGATCTGATTGGCTGTTGAAATCGACGCAAGTTGAAAGCGCTTATTCCTCACGTGGTTGTTTTCGTGAATGATCCGCCGTGGGCTGTGAGAAAGGTCCAGTTTGCTGTCTTCTTTTATTGTTTTATGGTCTCATTGTAGGAAAATATGCCTTAATACCTTAATATGTGCCATGAAAATTCAGAAAATTCTTATGGTTGTTCATATCTTCTCAGGATTTGCTTTATTTACGGAACTAATGTGAGTGCATCGCGGAGTTGGATCCCTCTGCAAGTCGTTGACCGCTAATAAGGTGCCTTTTTTAACAAACGAGTGCAAATCAAAATACTGTCCATCTTAAAAGTGGTTTCATTTGAAAGTTTAGCCGGGAATGACTTTTCTGAACCGGGTACGGGAGCAAAGGCTCATTGCGAAAGAAACCTTAATCGCCAACTGTGAAGTATTAGACGAAAAAGATCGCAGCGCTGTTCAAGGAATTTTTGTAGGCATTAATATAAAAGCTGGTGGCGCTAGTGTTAAGGTAACAGACTTGTTGTTTGCCTTCTATTTTTGTAAAAAATATACCAGGAAAACTCATGGTGTCCTCGCTCGTTTTCGATTAATAAATTTAGCGAGCTACGTTTTTAAACCTGCAGTTAAACAACTACACAACTAAGGAGACTGACTACAATGTGTGTTTTCAATATTGTTTTTCCTTTTGTTTATAGGTCAGTTGAGCAAGCAGTTTTAGAAGTGTCGTTTCGTTTTCCCAAAGTGGCAGATAATGTTTACCTGGATTTACAAAAACATATATTTTTTAGACGTCTGTTTCTCTAGTAAATTCGCAAATTGTAAGTGTACGCACGAGACCAGTTGACGGAACTAAATCAGTTATGCACTTGAGAACTCGTTTGGTTTCTTCTGAGATTATTTATATATCCTTTGAAAAAGTTCGCGATATATTTCTCCAAGATTTTTAAAGATTTATGTACTGAAACTCGGGGAAAATTGCCGAGGAAAATATTAAGGCAACAGACAAATAGATATTTCAGTATTTTAAATTCGAGCGCGCCTAGCCAAAATATTGAAACTAGAACATCGTGTCGCCGTCTTTTCGAAAACTTTTTACCTTCTACGCAAACAGAAATAACCTTCGAGATCTCCTTTAATCTCGCAAGAAGTTAAGCATGACTGTGCTGACCGTTTTATTTTAAGTTGAAAAAATTAAAAGATAAAAGTTATTTTTTACGTCAGCGAGTCTGCATTTTTCCCACGTATGGAAAATTTGCATACTAAAAAACAAGCAACGGAAGTAATTTTGGTTGGCTGATTCGGCAAATGTCAATCAATCAAAAAGGTGGGCGGAAGACGTTTCGTAGAAGGTTTGTATCAGACTCTCTTTTCGTTTCGCCTTGCCCGCCGGAATGTAATTTTCAAAGCGAAACAAAAATAGAGCCTGATCTCAGGTTACTTTACATGTATGTGTCATACTTGCTTTTCTTTATCTTTATGTTCAATTTTTTTGGCATTTTCCAATATTGACATGCAGTCATACGTCATGTTACGTTTTAATCATGGTTATTTTGCTTTTAAGACGTTTCGTTAGTCACTCTTTATGAGAGAGTATCGTTTTAGGGACAAAAAAGTCAAGGGAGGCTGTGTGACCGGGCGGTTAGAACGCCGGACTTGTAATCGGGAGGCCCGTTGTTCAAGTCGGTGGCTGGATTTGTTCTCGGTAGTCCCCAGTTCAAATCCTCTGCCGCACTTGTAAAATAGGCAGTTGGTTCGCCTCCTACCAGTTGGGATTCTCACTTTGTTATGTTTCATGTGAATTATTTGTTTCATTATCCCTGAAAAGCTCCAAAAGGAGAGAGGATAATTAAGTATTTATTCAATTTTTATTTCAACCTAATTGTGCTTGCTTGTTGTGTATTCTTGATTAGCAACCACGTGACATGGAGGCCATGTTAGTGGTCAATGTAATAGAAATCATTTCAAAGAATTTACATGAAAATGGAGTTTAGCTCCCAGAGGATAAAAATTATTTTGTTCTTGACCACCAACATGGCTGCCATGACGTCACGTGCATACAGAAATCGACATCTCATAATTTCAGTGTGACGTTACGTTCATAATTTCATGTAATGTAACAGTATCATTCATGCTTTCTTAATGAGTGGTATATCTAAACCTAAAGAGATTTTAAAAAGTGGTAAATTTTGTCATTAAGAAAATCGGTGTTTTTTTTGTTATTGTTAGCGTGTAAGGTATCGGCAGATGTTGCATTTATTGTGGATTCATCAGCAAGTATCGGTCGTAGAAAATGGCCTCTGGTGTTGGCCTTCTTAAAAAATGTCATCAACGAGTTTAATGTTGGACCCGATGGCACACATGTGGCGGTAGTTGCCTACAGTACAAACGCGAAGCTCGAGTTCCCTTTCAATGTCGTATCTGGATACGAAATTACTGCAGAGGAATATGGGAAACGTATCGACAGGATCAGATACCAGAGAGGCTTCACGTACATCGATAAGGCTTTGAAACTGGCTAACGAACAAGTGTTTGTCACAAGTGCTGGAATGAGACCAGGTGTGCCGAAGGTATACACGCATACATTTGCTTCAGTTTTTCATATAAATGAATTGGGAGAGCTCTCAAGAAGCTAGAGATGCTCTCGGCGAACTAAGCAATAAACTAAACATAAGCAATTCTTACAAGTTGAATATTTGTGATCGACCTTGTTTCTTGCAAGTTCTATTTCCTGATAAAAAAAAAAAAAAAAAAAAACTTTGGGATGTTATATTTTCCTCTACTTCATTGCTTGTTATCAGTTCTATATCCTGTTAAGGGGAGGCGTTATTTGTATAATCTCAACAGATTGCTATTGTAATTACCGATGGTGAGCAAACCACGACTGGAGGATATACGCCACTGAACGAAGCCTCTCAGGGCATTAAAGACAAGGGAATTGCAGTGTATTCTTTGGGCATTGGTAAACGTGTAGACTCTGTGCAGCTGCGGCAAATTGCTAGTTCCGATAGTAACGTCTTTACGTCTGCTGGATTCGACGACCTCGTTCAGGTGGTAAAACCGATTGTGAAAGAGTCTTGTCCAAAGCCAACACCCCCTCCTACCCCTGGTAAGTGGTTTTGACTTCTTGTTCGCTATATAACGTCTTTCAAAACTGAGATGTGCTGTAATTTATTTGTAAATATAGCAGGTGTTTTTATTAATGAGATAACCTGTTTCATTGTCTTTTGATGCTCGCGAATGGTGTAAGAGGGTGTAAAGACAAACACGAATGGTCCAACATTCCAGACCGTGTTAGTAGAAGAACATACGCAAAGGGTTTCTTCTAAAGGAAGGATTTTAGCAAATTTCAGAGAGCAATGAAATAGATTCACACGATAAATGGACGACGAAACTTCCCTTGCGATTCACTTTTCATACGATCGAAGAGAAAATATTGGTTAAAAAATCTCGGAGATCAGCCTTTGTTGAAAAGTGCCAGTGGAATCGCTGAATTGCTGAAAACATTTTTAACTATATCTATCACATTTTATACAAATCTTCTTCCTATTCAACAGGAGCAATATGCCCAATCCCTATGGACACCACCTTTATTATCGACTCATCTGTATGCGACAGCGACAGTGATTGGAATCGTTTACTGTACTTTATCCAAGCTTTAGTTACACATTTTCACGTATCACCATCTGGCGGACGAATTGCTCTTATCCCTTTTAGTACCGGTGCCAAGGCAGCTCTCAAGTTCAATACATTAACAGGAAGCCTTCTCAATGGGGAGGAAGTCAACAAGAGGGTTGGCAAGCTAGAGTGTCAGGGAGGGTCTAGACGAGTTGATAAAGCCCTGGACTTGGCAGACAATGAGGTTTTGATCCCTGCTGCTGGAATGAGGGATGTCTCAAGGGTAAGTGACTTGTTGACTGATATTGTTTTTAAGGGCGCTTTTTGTCAGTCAGAACTGGCCGGCCTGACCTATCTGTCCGTAAAACAAATTCCACTGTTTATCAAACCTGATAAGTCGGATTAGTCTAATACACAGATTTAGCCAAAAGTCCAAACAAGAAACTCTCGAGTGATCTTTTACGAAATATCTTTCTCAAGTAATTCAACTTTTGCCAGTAAGCAGAAAACAAACTAAATTCCACCTAAAAAATGGACCTTTTCACGCGATCAATTAAAACCAATAACTGGTCAGCGGGTAACTGTAAAAAAATACGTCACCAATATAAGTTGTATACCTAAGCCCGCGAAACAGTCATGTGACACTAGTCAGCAGATACCTTTTTGACAGCTTACGATCAATACGAAATAGTTTTTTTTTACGGAGTGTTAGATCGAGAGTGTTTCAGTTATTGGTTTTGTTTCTGCAGCCTGTCCTTGTTATTCTGGCTGGAAAGCAGACCACAGACCAAGGAGCATACACGCCTCTTGATGAAGCTTCCTATCGCCTCCGAACCAAAGGAGCCCCTGTGTTTGTCTTGGGTATAGGAAACGACACGAACACCACAGAACTTAACCAAATTTCTTCTGGGCCTGATAACGTATTTAGAGTGGACTCTTTTAAGGACCTGGACGTCAAAGCTCCTCAAGCAAAGACAGGCATCTGTGTACTAGGTATTACGTTCTTCTACTTGACAAATTGACAACAAGTTTCCATGGTCTCTACTCGTATCGACCATAGAAATGAAATTAAATGTTGGTTTGCTTGTTTGCTTTTTTCTTTTTATAATAGCGTTATCAATTTTCAACGTCCATTTGTGTTGAAGTTTCTCAGAAAATTGCGGGCGAAAGGAGAAAATTGCGCCACCACAACGAAATTTCCATGGTCTGCACTCTTAGCAGCCATAACTCTTGACCATTCAGCGAGCGAGAAGTCGTTCAGTTCTTAAAAAATGAGCCAACTGTTTAATAATATCGCCGTAATTTAGGGTTTGGTATGTCCGAGAATTCAGTTGCTTTAAATATAATCGTTTGTTATTACGAACTTACCCGGGCAAGGGAATACTCTCTTTATTGGGCTGATACTTGGGAAGACGGAAGAAGGTGTTGGGGGAGGGGGTGGAGGCTGGGGCGGGGTTGGGGACTCCTTTTTAAGACTTCGGGTATGCAAAAGGGTTTCAGGTTTCAAGTAAGTACAAAGTAAGAGTCCTCGTGAGTTGAAAAATATAAAATGGTAGGGAGATGTTTCGTTCAGGTATTTGAAAGCGTCGTTTATTAAAGTATTTCGAACCGACGCACCTTATGGCCGAATCATTTTATTTTATTAAAAGCTGCGTGGCTAGCAAGACTAAAAGTATGTTGAAGGGGCATTATTTTTCAATTGAAGGTATACGGACCGAAAGGTTTCTTTTTCTGTCAAAAATAGTATATAAAGGGTAAGGGGAAGGTCGTTTACGCCGGACCTTTCCGTACAAAACGTTTTTGAGTAGCTAGTAGTCACAACCCCTGTGGTTCACGCGTTTGCTCATGAAACCCCTCTAACTCTACAGTTTATAATAACTACTTTTCCCCCTTCCTTGTAATGCCTCTAAACTGCTGCACTTTGTACTGTGTATAAGCAATTGATGTATGGTAATCGTTAATTGTTGTTTATTTTATATATTTTATTTTTGTCTTTTTAACAGTACCTCCTACTACACCAATGCCAACAGGTGAATGATTATCTTTGTTGTTATAAGTTTTGTTTCTTATTTCTTTTTTTTTTTAGCTTAGCTATTCTTGTACGATGTGCGAGTAATAAAAGCAATAAGTTGAGTCCAATCCGGTTTGTAATCGTACGTAGTGATCAAAAAATAGGATCACCGCGATTTGTTTAACCACGGGTAAGATTACACCAGAATAGACCCTAATCCACGGATTTTCCAAGTTGTGTTTAAAGATCAGTAAGCGAATTATTATCCACTCACTCTCTTGGAAAGGACGCCTTACAATTAAGAAACTTACCAAGCTTAGCTAGAGGTGATATATTTTTTTAATCGAGCGTTCAATCCTGGCCTCTTTACTCATTTTGAAGGGTTCTTTTTAGCCGTGTTGACTGATTTCCGCTAACTAGTCTCAGTCAACAGTTTCAAAAACAAAGGAAGGGTCTATTAGGTGACATCAAGCTATGTTTCCAAGTAATCATAACCTATCTCATTCTCTCTTTACATAACCTAAACGAAACTGTGATTACAAGATCTGCCGAGAGTTTTTGGCTAAAGATTGTAAAAAAAGACCCATATCAGAGTGCACGCGCCATGACGCGTACCCTCCAATTACTTTGGCGTAACGAGTACTGTCCCATTACAGTGTCCTATTTATGCTGAAATCAGATCTACCGATAGCCGGTCAAAGTAAAAAGAATAAAATGTTATGGTCACGATAAATATTAACATCAAGGCTGCCGTTAATACTGAAAAGCAAATCCAGATTTTGGGGTAGAATCCAGGAAAACCACTAAAGTATAGAAGTCTGTTGTGCTGATCAACGTGATTGTCGCTACTCCCCTTAATTTGCTGACTGCATGTTTTCTTTCTCGCTCTATCTTTCTTGCCGTCTACAGAATTCTTTTGTAAAGCTGTGGCCGATGTGGCTTTCATTGTAGATTCTTCGGGAAGTATTGGTAGAAGAAACTGGGTAAAAATGCTTCAATTCCTTAAAGACATGGTGAAAGCTTTTGATGTTGGTCGCCAAAAGACTCATATCGCTGTGGTCGCTTACAGCACGAATGCCAATGTCGAGTTCAGATTTAACAGGCTCATGGGATCTGCAGTATCAGAGGAAGGTTACTACGGACTAATCGACAGGATTAGGTTTCAGAGAGGCTATACCTTTATCGACAAAGCACTCAAGCTAGCCAATGAACAAATATTTTCAACTAATTTTGGAATGAGGCCTGCTTTGCCGCAGGTATGAAAAGTCTATGCCACACGCACTTTTTCCTTTTATATCGTCTGGTTTTTAGCAAGACTATTGTCTATTTTAATTCCTGTGAAAGGAATCTCTTAGGAAATCTCTAAGAAATTTAGAAGCTCAAGTTTGAATGAGTTATTTTTTTAAACACCCAAGGACTTCCTTAGTCGATCGGTCCTTCATGGGTGTTTTCAGTATAGGCACATTCGAGAGATTTACAATCACGTTTACGGCAAACGGCAAACGTCAGTTTCAGGTTGATGGTTTCTCACATTAGAAAATAATCAGATAAAAATTTCCAAATTAATTTTTTTGGATGAAACTTGCATTGAACTACTTACTTTAATGTGGACACAATGAAAAATACAACGACAATTAGGAAGGGGAAAACGTGGTCATGTAGTACAAATTGACGTTTGTCATTTACCTTAGAGCGGTTCTAAATCTCTATTGTCGTAATTTAGAACTGGGCTCAATTTTACAATGCGACGTTTTCTTGTTGACCAAAATGCGTATTAAACCTAATAATCGGATGGCTTTCTTGTCTCAACAGTTGCCTTTTTGCAGTTAAGTACCAAGCACATATTTCTTTTTTCTTTCCACTTTGAAAAATGGAGGTAGGCTTTTGGTACCATGACATTAAAGAACTATTTAGCTAAACAGGAAAAGGTGAAGTATCGATGTTACGTAACAAAGTACACCTCCTTGCGTAATTTAAAAGAGTTTATTTGCAAAGTTAATGGCTCTACCGAAGCCTCAACACCATCCTTGATTGGATCGGTGGATAAATGAATATTCCAGAAAGTCACTTGGACGTGTTGATAATATATACAAACTTCTTACGATCAAATGATAGCTTCGTTGACAAAAACCGTTTCCCGAGTAGCCTGTCTCTCTTATTATCAGTGTATCATTTTTGTTTCTTAGATTGCAATTGTTATCACGGACGGTGAGCAGACAATATACCGAGGAGATTATACTCCTCTTCCAGAAGCTTCTCAGGGACTAAAGGACAAAAATGTTATATTGTATTCCCTTGGAATCGGCAACAACATCAATCAAGGTCAGCTGAATGCAATAGCCAGTTCAAAGAACAACGTCTTTACAGCTGCCAGTTTCTCAGACCTGACGGCCGTAGTGCAGACCATTGTCCGAAACTCATGTCCAGGTAGGGCTTAGTTCCCAATGAGTATGTTCAGGTGTACTAGCCTGCGATCATGCCCTCTCCCTTTATCTCTGTAATCTGTTTTCGGGAGGAAGGCATGATACAATTCTTTCACAGTACACATGCAAAAAAGCCAGAATCTGGGCTTTTCTCTGATTGGATAGGAAACAATAAGGTTGATTTGCACTGACTGGCCAAAATACAGCCATCCGTTAGTTGTTGTTGATTTCAGTCTGCATTTTTGCTTGCGTAATGAGCAGTGACTACACAGGCGAGTTTGCTATGAAATTTCTGCTGCTTCAGTTTTCTTGACTTTGAAGAATATCTTAATAGAAATTTCATCCATTGAAATATTTCCCATCTCAACGTATATTAAAAAGTTGCAGTAAAAAATTTACTGATAGTTAGAATGCAATTTGATACCGGCTACAAGTTGCAGAAGCGACAAACGGTTCCACTTTAGATAATCAATTCATGAATGGAATCTTGACCTGGTTTGACTGTAATTCCTCTTTCAGAAACCTGCGAATTATTCTGAGCGACCTTTGCTTTCACAACACTTTTCAGTTCGTGAAATATGGTGCTTCGGCCTCATTTTTTTTTTTCACTGCATTCGGCAACGAACGAAGTCAACGAGCTTTTACCATGCAGTAACTTCTTTATGATTTTTAGCTGTTAAATAAAGATTCGGCAGCTCCAGCTAGCAGTATTTCATCACAAAAAAATAAATAAATAATACTAGTAATAATAAATAAATAAACTTTTTTTTTTTTAAGAAGCGCCATCTCATAATGGACGTACATAAAAGTTTTGTTTTCCCTAAAATTGATTTCAAAGGAGACATTATTCCCGCCAATAGGTAATAGCATGATTTTTAGTGATATTTGGCGTAAATACCACGAGTGATATCTCAAAATTGTTACAAATAATTTTAGACAATTTTGAAATATTACGAGTGGTAATTATGCCAAATATCACGTACAAATCATGCTATTATTTGTTTATACTACTACCCGCAAAAGGTTTGTAATTTTCACGTGTAGGTATTTCAAATTAAGCTGAAATACCACTGCTCTAAGCCAATCAAACTGTAGAAATTTCTCATGTAGTAGTATCCAAATTTGATTCCCCTCTGGTAAACGCTGATTGGCTAATAACATGACAATTCAAGGCAACGTTAGATTATGTAAATGAGGGGGCGGTTGACGGCTTGTTAAATGAATGTCTCAGGCGTTATTTTTTCTCCCTCGAGCCAAAGAAGCAAAGAAGTCAAAAATGAAAAAAGCTAAATAAATAAATAAAAAAACAGATCTCAGGTTAAGGTGTACGGGGATTTAACGCATTCACTCTTTTCATAAGAATATTTTTTTCCGACCCAGGCTGAATATTCGTACGCCCGTCCACCCGTCCGTCGAGACCACAGGCAAATCAATCTGTAAATGTAATCGTTTGTTATTACGAACTTACCCAAACAAGGGAATGTTCTCTTTGATGGGCTGATACTTGGGGGGACGGACGAAGGGGGGTGGGGTGTTTGGGGACTCCTCTTTAAGATTTCAGGTATTTAAAAGGGGTTCCAGGCCTCAAGTAAGTACAAAGGAAGAGTCTTCGTGAGCCGAAGAATATAAAATGGTAGGGAAATTTTTCGTTAGGATATTTGAAAGCGTCGTTTATTAAAGTATTTCGAACCGACGCACCTTATGGCTGAATCATTTTATTATATTAAAAGCTGTGTGGCTGTATGGTAATCGTTAATTGTTGTTGTTTGTTTTTCTCTCTTTTTAACAGTACTTCCTACCACACTAGTGCCAACAGGTGAATGATTATTGTGATACAATTTTTTCACAGATCACATGCAAAAAAGCCAGAATCTGGACTTTTTTCTGATTGGAGAGGAAACAATAAGGATGATTTGCACTGTTCCGATTGGCCAAAATGCCACCATCCGTTAGTTGTTGTTGATTTCAGTCTGTATTTTTGCTTGCGTAATGACTAGTGAATACACACGCGAGTTTGCAATTAAATTTCTGCCGGCTCAGTTTTCTTGAATTTGAACAATGTCTTAATAGAAATATTCCATCCATTGAAATATTTTCCATCTCATCGTATACTAAAAAGTTGCAGTCAAAAATTCACTGATCATTTGAATGCAATTTGATACCTGCTACCAATTACAGAAGCGACAAACGGGTTCACTTTTTAAATAATCAATTCATGAATGGAATCTTGACCTGGTTTGACTGTAATTCCTCTTTCAGAAACCTGCGAATTAATCTGAGCGACCTTCGCTTTCACAACACTTCATGTTTAGTTCGTGAAATGTGGTACTTCAGCCTAATTCTATTCTTCAATGCTTAAATGACAGGTCAAGCCGACGTTAGGTTATGTAAATTAGGGGGCGGTTGACAGCTTGTTAAATGAATATATCAGGCGTTATTTTTTTCCCTCTCGGGCCAAAGAAGCAAAAAGGAAAAAAAACAAAAGAAAACCTGATCTCAATTTAACGCATACACTCTTTTCATAAGGCTGAATAGTCATTTTTTTTTCCTGCCGATTTTACATGGTAAGGTTAAAAGTATAGTCGCACTCTATTTACAGATTTTCAGCACAAAATTATAGCGGAGCCACGCGCGGAGCCCCAGAAAGAAAATTTGGAAATCTATCCTTCCGAGAAATCTTGGTAATCCGTGACCGTACGCCGGTCCACCCGTCCCTCCATACCACAGGGAAACCAATGTGAAATGTCAAATTTTCTAGCTAGTGTGGGGGCCTGTATAAACCTGCGTTTAACGTGATATGAGACATCCATATTATGGTCAATTGACAGGTGTCAAAACAGGGTAACTTCTGACAAGTGTCACATGACCACATCGAGGGCTCAGGTGCCAACTCATCAAGGTCAGGTGTTTTTTTTAAGTCTTCCACTGACCAGTTGTTAGCTTTTAATCGCTCTCGGGGTCAAGTTTATGTTTTTCAGTCATAGGGGTTTCCCGTAAAGTTAAGTATAGTTGTGTGGTCTTATCAATAGTTTTAAGTCCATTGTCTGCAGTAAATTTAAAATGCATAAACGGAAGCTTTGCTTTTTAGCTCTGGCTAATTCTATGTGTTATCCTTTCTAAATATCAGCCCCGGGTTTATTCTTAGAATATTCTTTTAATTTCGCAAATTTCATCCTCTATATTCTGACTAATAAAATATATTATAAAAAAGTGTACATCATTTTCATGTATTATTATCTATTATTATTTTTCAGACCGTTGAAGAAATTTCTCCCAATGGAATGCAGCGTTTCTAAGAACAATCTACCAATAGCATGTCGATGACTACAGATATTTCGCCACGTTGAAAATTTTCTAACAAATTTATTTCATTTAACAGAACTAAGTCCCACATAGATTAGTATTCGTATTTGCATAAATTAAGTAGCTATACATTTTGTTTTACATGCTGTTTCCTTTTCTGTTATGGTTGCCAAGCCTTAAAAATAAAGCATTCGACTCCATGGATAACATATAAAGTAAAATTCAAGATGGCACACAAGACTAGGACTGTGTATAGAATGAACCGTTGTTTGATTTTGTAAGAGGTCTGCATGTAAAACTTAAGAGTTATCTGTTTCTGAACTATAAGCACTGATACAAAGGCAGGAGCAAAAGAGCAAAAGAGTGCTGATATTGAGGGAGATTGAGCGGCTTGTCCAAGATCGATCCAAGCTATAGATAATAACCGAACTAGAACAGTTCGGCGAAAGCCGAATGGCCCCGTTAAACCAAAAATAATCGACTCGAGGTAGACAAATAAGAAAGAGTATACAAGGCATTACTTCTGATCTTAAAAAGTTTGTCTTTTGAAGCCTGTGCGTAGTGTCATCATTTTCTTTCTCGAAAGAAAATCTTTGCCAATTTGTTGCCAGTAAAATAAACGTTTTTACACGAACAAGCACAAAGAGATGTAGCAGGGCTAAGAATTGAGAGGGCAGGGGGGGGTCTTTTTATGTCTTCTATCTTGATGTGTAAACTTTTTTGGGACACGCGAGCATGTATCTTTAGAGATCTAGGTACGACATTATTTTACACGTTAATGTCGGAGTAGATCGTTATCAACCAGTGTCGATTACAATCGGGAAACTTCGCTCGCATTACTTTTCCATAGTAACTGTACTTAAATAGACAATCTTTCAAAAGATGAAACTGTTATTTTAGGAGTACTACTCCCAGATCGATTTCTGGAATAACTTCAAAATCGTGCCTCCACAGATTACAGTCAAACCTCGATATAACGAAGGGTAAAGGGACTGGCAAAATTTGTTCGCTGTAACGAGGTTTTGGTATATCAATCAATCAATCAATCAATCAATGACTTTATTTTACTTCGAATTCAGGGCCTGTTAAAAGCAGGTGTGGGATCCCCACCTTTCGTGTAAACATGATCAAATTAAAATGAGAGATTTTATTAGCCTGCGTGGCAGGCGCAAAAAGGGGAGAGAGAGGGGGAGGGATAAACAGGCCCTTATAGATAGCATAAAACATACTAATATCTCCGAAGAAAACTAGTTAAGAGAAATTACACGATTAAACCACAAATGACTTGATTGATAAATCATAATAAATTATATATCGAGATTGTTTTCCATATATTTTACTATTACTGGGGTAATGAAAATCGTTACATAGAGGTTACACTGTATTTCATTTCTAGCACCATCAGATAGGTGACAAACAACAACAGCTAGACTAAGTTCGATATATTAAAATTCGTACATATACGTGAATCCAATGCCTGGGGGAATATAACAAAAGGAATTACCTTCAGCCTTAGGATGAACTCAAGTAATTTTTATCTTTGTTAGTTTTGGAACCATGAATTCTTTGTACAACGAAATTGGTCTATTGGCAATATAGAGTCTTCGGCTTCACAATCTACGCCTCCTCTAGTGCTAGAAATTGCTGCATTTTGTAGTCTCAATGCTGCAGTTACTAACTAAATGCAAAGTTAAATCCCCTAATAAATTCAGTTCACTAGCACTTAAAGGAAAAAAAAAAAGAAAAGAATAAAAATGATTTATCACCATTTATATATTACCGAATTTATAGGCTGAACACTCCTTACTCCGGATTAACCCCAAGTGATCAACAGAACAAAACATTGTTACTAGTATAAAGAACTGCAAATCTTCCGAATGGCCCTTCCGATACGTATTCGGTGCTATAAGTAATTACCTTAGTTTAAATCATATTGTAAATTTTCTTATCAGACATATTGCATTCTTCACCGAACCACAACTAACTCATCCACCCCTTAGTCAAACGCTGGAGTTTTAACCGATTTTTCAACCACCCGATAATACGAACCAATTTAATTTAATTTTTAATAAAGAAATGCATAATTGAATGTCTCCGTAAATTACCGACTTAGTTCCCCTTGAAGCTGAAAAACTGCAACTATACACAAGGTGTCGAGACTGCTGGACGCACTTACAAGCGGCAAAACTAATGTATTGGAAAATATCTTTGCGCTTAAACTTCAGTTCTTACGGAAATTTACAGGCCAAACCCAGAACGAAAAATGACTTATAACCAGATACTTTGACTATTTTGCTGTATTGCATGCATGACTCAAGCACAACCAGCATATTGCAGAATTAGAATCTACAACGTCCTGCAAACAAAACTAACCGCGAGCTGGACCCAGCGCCGGTGATACAACATTGCAGGAAAATATCACATTCACGTACTAAAGGAAATCACTTAGTTTTTCAGATTCTGAGGCACTTTGGAGAAATCTAAAGAACCTAAAAGCCTTATTTAGCCGCAATAAAGAGCTTTACGCTTCAAAAGAGGTCGCAGAAAATGCTTTTGCATCAGAACAAGCAAGACAAGCTGGACAAGTTTTTGTTTCCTCCCAAGCAGAAACAAAAAAACACAGAAAATCAATAAGCGTGTCGTGACCTCCCAATGTGAAACAAGCAGCTAAAATAACATCATAGAACCCTGGCCAAATCTGCCCACGAGGGCCGAGTTGTTCGAAGGCCGGTTAGCGCTAACCCAGGGTTGAATTTTGACCCGGGTCCTTTGACTTTTCATCAAAAGCATTTTCCCGGAAAATATTCTCTATTGTAGACAAAAAGAATTAAACTGAATTTGCTTTTTAAGCTTTCATATCTGAATTCAAATTTTGTACTAACCCAGGGTTATGTTAACCCGGCTTTGAACAACTTACCCCAGAGAAAGACGCATTGCAACAAGCAGCATTCTGGCATGAAGTAGAAGTCGTGTAGGCCTACCGACCCCTTTTTTACACTAATTGAAATACAGTAGAACCCTGATAACTCGAACTTACTCGGGCTAACTTGAACTAAATTTCCTTTCCCTTGGTTTTCCGTTTCCCTTCAGAGTTCGACTTACTCGGGTTCTACTTTAATTTTAGGCGAAATATGACAGCTTACTGAAACATGAACAGTGAATGATCCCTTTTAAATGACCTGACCGGTTGAACTATGACGTGGTATTTATCAAGATTGTTCCAAAGAGTCGTGAAAAATAAACCAATTTTTTCTAACAAAATAAAATATTTAGACAAGGCAGCTCTTTACTAACCAGAGTGAGATGTTGCAATAATGATTGTAGTCGTAGAATTCGTTAATTAAAAGGAACAATAGTGATCGCTTGTAACTGGTCTAAGGGTCCAAGTTAACAGTAGTGGACTGCATGTCTCTACTTAGGGCTCAGTCAACCTTCATCCATAGTTTTCTTAATCCAGTCAATGAATGGATACACTCTGGTGTAGAAAGTAAACTTATCTTTTTGCGCACACCCCTCCCCCCAGCTAACAAGGCCAGTAGCGATCCATCTGTATCCGCCCTCTCTTCTTGACTCTCGAACAAATGGTCCTCCACTGTCACCATTGCAGGTATCTTTCCCACCTTTTCCGTCACCTGCACAGAAGGTTACTGACGAGTTAAAACGGTACGACGTGCTCCTTTGACAAATCTGATCTTCTTGAATCATGAAAGAAGAGTATTGTAGGTACGTGTCAGTATACGTAAGTACCTGACCAATCTTTAAGGCTTTTGTTGCTCCCCAACCAGTCACTAAACCGTATTTTCTTGGAATCGCCAAATCGCCCTCTTGCTTTTGTGGGAGGCACACGGTTCGCACAAACTTACCAAGCTTGACCTCTGTTCTGAGTTTGATGAGAGCTATGTCATTATCGTATGTAGCATGCGTGAAATTCGGATGAATGTAAATGTTTTCTACACCTATTCTGAGCTCGGACTCCTCTTTTTGTAATAAATTGTGGTCACCTATTTGTAGAAAGTACCTGAGGGAATAAAGATGCTATTTGATTAGAATGACGTAATCACATGATTTTGAGTGCAGTTTGGAAGAAGCAAGAATAATTCTTTTTAGAGACTAAGTAACGATTGCACCTTCCCATATCGCACAAGCCTGCAAGCAAGCTATTTTCCTTTTTTATACAATGATGCCATTGTCGACTGTTGGATATTGGTGATAATATAATTAAAAGTGCATAAAATCTAAATATTTTAGTGGAAACGTCGTCATCGGATTTCGTCATTCCAGCAATTTCTGTTTCGAAATTTGAATGTGTAATTTTAATAAATTACAAAATGTGTTCGTTTAGGATCATATGCATTTGACATTTTAGTCTTTCGTTTTATGTTCTGACTAAGTACTCTGCTTATTGGGCTTTCAACGTGGGTGGGTGAATGAATAACCTAGCTGGATGGTGCATTTCAGTAAGAAAAAATGACCCCTAGCACTTACCCATCTGCATAGTTATTGTTTAATCGGAGCTTCCTTCTTAAATAAGCCGAGAAACGCGATGCTGTAGTCAGAACCCAACGAGGAGAAATCAGTACACCACTAGAAGCAGGTTTTAGAGGATCTAGGTAAAGAATAAAAAAAAAAATAGCCAGAAATTAGTTATTTATTTAATCATTTGTTTTTTTTATTTTCTAAGACTACCGGTCCAGAATTTGATCCGTTGCGGTGTTCATTATTATACTGTAAATGATCACTGATTTCGCATTCACGATTTTCTAAACTGAACTGTAGACACAAGATTATCAAGACTACTACCCAAGGAGAAGCGAACTTTGTTATTCATGTGAAATATTTGAAGGACAACAACAAAAAGGAAAAGAAAAGAAGAGAAAATAAATCTAAAATAGCTCTCGCCAGAGAGAGGATATTCCTCTCCTGACTCTCGCTGGTAATACAGTTGAACCCGGTCGATATGGACAAACTACGGGACATGCCATGGTGTCCGTAATGAGCGGGTTAATTTTAGAGAAAATATATTAAGACCTTTTTTTCGTCGGGACAAACGAAACTGTCCGCTATCTATATACGGGTGTTCGTATCAAGCGGGCCTCCGTAGAACGAGGTTCAACTGTACTAAAGATAGCGAGAAAATTGTAACGAAGAAAGATAGTTATAGATAATTAAAGGACATCAACTTTGTAATTCAAATTCAATATTTGTATAAAAAGGATCAAAATGGTGAGGAGAAGGTTGTCATGGTTAGGTTCAAAGCACTTGTATAGAAGGTGTTGGAAGTTAAATTGCTGCTGTTTTGACATTGATGCAGTACTATCATGCGGCTTAATTAAAAGGAGCCGTATAAGTACTCCAGTTTCACTTTTAAGACAATGGCTTTGACCAGCTATATTTTTATTCACTCAATCACTTTAAATGTTATATATGTTGTTTTTTTGTCCTCTGTACTATTGAGACTCTGTACATTTTACTTTTCCTAGATTTCTTTACGAACTTATTTGTTGTAAATGTAAACAATGACACCTCAGCAGCGACAAAGCACACCTTAAAAATTCAAATGTTGTATCTTTCCATTCAAAAACTAAACTTTCAATAAAGGGAGTCATGAATACGTATTTTGAGGAAGTTTTGATCCAGCTACGTTCGATGTTCTCTAAGTGAACCAAGATGAAAAATTTTACGTAACAGTGCAGCTTTCTCCGCAATTGAAAAGTTACTATACCAAAGTTCCGGAAACAACTGATGAAGAGTTTATTTAATATTCTCATCTGAAGAAACCGAAGGTAACAAATATTAGAGTTGGTATTCCAAGTTAAGGACACTGTGTTTATTTATTTATTTATTTGTTTTTGAAAAAATTTTGTGAAGTACCACTGAAACCTAGTTACGAAGCCGAAAGGTGCATGTTGTTAATATAACACCTTACTTGATTTGCATAATTATTTTATATTATTCATTCAAAGCATTTCGTCGTTTTTGATTCGCTCAAATCTCACGGCTAATTTTTCATAACAAGTCGGCGCTTGCCATAATTTGGAAGAAATAGGCGATGTACAATCGATTCAAATGTATATTGCGCAATGCATTATCACAACCTCGTTTCCAAGCGGCTGTGCGTAACCTTATTTACGGTGTTTTGCCATAAGTGAACTGAATAAAATGGTTGAAAACGTCATCTGAAAAGCCGAATCACTTGCTAAAACTGAACAGGAACAAACGCAAAGAAAGGGCAAAAAGTACAAAAATGATGATGATGATGATGATGAAGAAGAAGCAGCAGCAGCTGTACCGAGAAGTAGGCGGATATTTTGATGAAAGTCTACTAGGAGATAAGGGTGTTGAATTCGGGTTTCGTATGATATGAAGAAATATGCGAATCTCGGAGGCTTATATCTACCTCGATCAGCATAATTAACAATTATTCCTCACGCGAGTATGAATAATTAACAATTATTCCTCCTATGAGGCCGAAGGCCGAATGCGCTATTGACTCAGAGGTCATGAGGGCGAGAGGAATAATTTTTTTAGTAAAATCCAAGTAATTGGTCAAAAATATCGAGACTAAAAAATGTAGCTAGTTAAAGCTTGACTTTAATCCTTTTTTACCGCCAAAAAGTCGGCGCTTCTCGCTTCTAGTGGGCCATAACATATAGCCTAGTAGTAGCTAAAACCAATCGGAACGCAGCATTGATAATAGACCACTAGTAGAATTTTACTAATTCTTTATATCAAGCTCAGCATTATTCAATAACTGTCAAATATTAACCCTAAAGTTAACCTTAACCAAATACCGAGCAAACGTAAATCTTGCAGAAATCATCAGGTACCGCGAGTTATAAATACATTTTCAAGATGTTTAAGCCAGACAGAAAAGCAAAAGCATTTTTGATGCGATTTGGGCACCAACATTATCGTTTTTGAGAGTAAAATGGGAACTTAAATAAACATTTAGCGTTTTATTGGTCATTTTGAGGTTGCGCTTGAGGAGTGGGTCGTTTTTGTGTCGAACTGTACGATGGGACTGTTTTGAGGAAACGAAGTTTGGCTTATAGTTTCCCGCACAACCTTGCTATGACCAATAAAATAAGTCTCTGTAAAGCTAAGTGGAAATGACCAATTAGCTTTGCTTCAACCATTACCACGGCCTCGGGCATTGTAAATTCCAACATGCCATGGCCACCATCCTTTTTTAGAGTTCTTTCCACCAACAATACGACTCCTAAAATCTACTGGACTGACGCCGCAAGAGGAGTAGCCTGAAAAAGCAATGAATACAAGAAGGATAAAAAAACTAGCCAACAGTTCCAAACAAAGAAACATGCAAATGATCAATAAATCATAGTGTAATTTAAATAACTGGAGCCTTAAAGGTATCTTGTGACATTTCGTGGGCTATTCGGAGTGCAAAAGTTTCCAGCTAACGAGGAAAGGCAACGGAGTTTACAACAGAAACGTCTTTCATAGATTACCGTAAGTTTTCAACCTACTTTGCATGCATTAGTTTTTTTCTTTCCAAATGATTGACAAAAATTGACAATTTTTCTTTTGATGGTGCTCAAAAATTAGCATTTAAGAAAATCCACAAAACATTTTTTTTTTTTTAATTTCGCGTGCACTTGCCCTTTGAATATTTGAAGATTATTTGGCAATCACGTTAAAACGAATGAAAAACTCACTTATAAATACAATAGTCTGCGTTGCAGGTACAGACGAAATACGGGCGAGACAAAAAGTTTTCTCTCAAAGACACCGCCCCTTTTTTTTTTTAATTTGCTCCTCTCATTTCTCAGACGCCTACTTTCCAATTAAAATACAGTCGTATACAGTAAATAGTTAATTACCTAAACATTTGGGCTCCTCCCTTTCAATCCATCTTCCTCCCTTGCAAGTTCGCATACTCTTCCCCAGCAAAACGAATCCTTTACGACAACGGTATCTTGCCTTTGAGAGGCGAATGTTGATAGCAATGATGGTGTTTTGAGGTGGAATCTTTCGGAGACGTCGAAGCAGTTTGGCGCATCTTCTGTGAGGTCCATCTACAATAAATCAAATTAAGCTTGTTTTTAGCAAAAAGATTATAAATATTAAATAAATTTAGCAAATTTATGACATCCTAGGTAACTCACCATAACTTCTTCGTGAGATAGAGAGTACTCTTGACAGCGGCTCAAAGCAGATTTCTCTACTTAACAAATGAAGTAAAACTCGCTATTTATAAACAATCATATTTACCTTTGCATCTCGGCGTATCCAAATTCCATCTTCCATCATCGCAAGTTAGTCTGTCTTCGCCTTCAAGTGTGTATCCAGAATTACATCTGTATCTGACTGTTTTACCGTGTCCGTAGTTTTGTCCGATTTTATTACCGTGTTTTATACGACCAGGTTCTGGGCAGGAAGCTTAATTCAGAAAAAATATATTTATTTATTTATTTATTAACCAAATTAATGATTCATTCATTCATTTAATTAATTAATTAATTAAAGGTAAATAAATAGCTAAGAACATGCAAATAAGCAAGAAAACCCCAAGACGTTTGAAAATTAATAATCTGCGACGATTAATATTATTCGATCTAGTAAGATATCGACCAGTTTACTTTTTATCTTCGATCTAAAAAAGGGAAAAGATACAGACGATGCTTTTGTTTTCAATATACTTACTTGAGTTACTTGAACGTGTGCATAATTGATAAAAAACACTTTTATAGAATTTACTGGCAGAATCGAAATCAGGACTAACACAAACTTATCAAGACATATCACAAGTGCATTTAGGCATGAGTCCATACAGATTTTGAAAGTTCTGTTTATTTTTTTGTTATTCTTCGCAGGTCGATAGGGCGTACCTAAGCAACGTGGAACAGGGGAACTCCAACTTCTATTAGCTTGACAATATACAACATCAGTCCCCACTAGAGTGTAATTCTTGTCACAGACAAACTTGACTGATCCACCATAGACGTAGCCTTTCTTGACAATCTGCTCTCCATTTGTGGGTTTGTCAGGATCACCACACTCAACAGCTATAATAAAATGACAAGGCATATAACTATTGTTTACGACTGACCAGACATAGAATTACAACATGATTTTGAGCACAATGTAGACCACAAATTGAAAAGATGCGCACGAGATAAATTGTGTTTGAATGGACTCATATATTTTGTACGTATAACAAAAGTTTACGACATTTATTCCTTTCAGGCTACGTGCAAATGATTGTTTTTATAATCTACATTAAGAATGAAATTCTGTCCAATTGATTAGTGGTGAGGGTTTTTAAAATTTTCTTTTAAATTTTCGAACATGAAATGAACAATAACGTAGAGACGGTTATTATAGTGAACAGTCACAATCACCATTTGTACAACGCAAAGGCATGCACACTTAAATAGAACAACTTAATCCCTAACCAACGCAAGCAACTCAGTTCTAAACAATAGTTTACCCTTACATTTGGGAGTATCAGTGTTCCATCTTCCTTCTTCACAAGTCAGCGCGGCCTCGCCTTCAAGTGTGTACCCAAGGATACAAGAGTATCGAACTGTTTTTCCGTGCGCGTAGTTGCTACCAATTTTAAGACCATGATTTAAATCACCAGGTGATCGACAGTTAGCTTAATTAAAAAATGAAAAGCACAAACAGAAAAACAAACAAACTTAGCAAAATAAAAAAAGTAAATTAACTAAAGAGTTGTACTTTAAGCCACAATTTCATAATAAACTAAGTGATTGAACTGTTCCTTTTTTTCGTTTTTTTCAATCCAACTTATTTTTATTCAGTACTCCAACTCTCAACTTAAGTATACGTATTGGTAAAAAGCTACAGTTTTCATTTTTTTTTTTTCTTTTGAATGTTTCCAGAACCGTCAAATCTCACTGTTGTTCTTACTTTCAAGCAGCCCTGGAAAAAATAATAATAATAAAAAAAAAAACCTACTGAGGCGTAGTGTCTTTTATTTTCTCTTAGGGTGGATTTCCACTGTTGCCTAATTGTTACAGTTTACGCGCGTTCATTTTACGTGCGTGAATAAAATTAATAAGAGGCAATGTATGAGAGGTTACGCCTAAACGTAAAAGTTGAACTTCGATCAACGTTTACATTTACGCCCGACACTTCATACATGTATATTGGCTGTATTTCATTTACGCGCCTAAGTATCCGCACGTAAAATTTATTAATAAGCAGTAGTGGAAATCCACACTTGCCCATGGCACCTACCTACGCAGCGTGGAACAGAGGAACTCCAACTCCTATTAGCTTGACAATATATAACATCAGTCTCCACTAGAGTGTAATTCTTGTCACATACAAACTTGACTGATCTGCCATAGACGTAGCCCTTCCTGACAATCTGCTTTCCGTTTGTTGGTTTGCCAGGATTACCACACTCAACAGCTATAATAAGTACATCAGCTTTTGTCGTTTACATATAATAGACTGATACAATAAATGAAGATTGCAGGGTATCAAGTAAAGCTTTGGCCATGGACTGCAACTTCAATAGACTCACACGAGTTAATTCTTCTTTTAACAGTTCAAAGTTGTGGGGTATATAATTCATTTTGCAGCCATTACCAAAATATGCCACGAAATTTGAAAAGTTGGAAATAAAACAACCCGCTTTACCTCCAAAATCAACACAAGCGTTTTTTTTTTTTTTTGGAAAACAAGAATGAACGCTTACCTTTACACTTGGGAGTGGCAGTGTTCCATCTTCCATCTACACAAGTCAGTTCAGCCTCGCCTTTGAGTGTGTACCCAAGGTTACAAGAGTATCGAACTATTTTTCCGTGCGTGTAGTTCTTACCGATTTTAAGACCATGATTTAAACCACCAGGTGAGCGACAGTTTGCTTATATAATCAAAAAAGAAAAAATAAAGCGTAAGAGAAACAGAAAATAGTAAGGGAACAAAAGAAACTAATTGGCTGATCGTGAATCTCGATTTTGCATCTACCTTGTTTAGACTATTTAGTGCCGTTTCACGACCTCAAAAATTTAAACAGTGAGTATCTTCAAAATGGTTCAAACTAGGACAGCAAACTTAGCAAATTTTCCTAAAAATAATCTATAAGAAAATTAATTAAAATCATAGCGACCTGTACGTCAACTTTGACGTTACCAACTGGCAGCCGAGGTTTAACAGCGTTGTTTTACAAAATTTGCCTTTTTCTGTAAAACATGATTTATTTCAAGGTTTCCGTATCACAGGACGAAATTTCAAGAATCCGTAAATGGAAACTTAACGTAAACACGTAAAACCGTTGCGGAAACATGACGGTAATCACATGTTTCCGTTAGCGGATACATTACGTTTACCCGTGTTTCCGTCGCTGCGGTTTCGGCGGAAACGTACAACTTTTTTATACGTTTCCGTCAAATTTCCGTCTAAGGAAACACGTGTTTCCGGAAGCATAAATGCGTGGCATCCTTGCGGAAACACGCGAAAACGTTCCGGAAACAAGTCAATTTCATGTTTCCGTTAACGTAATCGGATGTAACTATTGCGGAAACACGAGTTTACCAGTCGGAATTGGTGTATCACGCTCAATTTAGAACTAGTAATAGTTGACACCACAGCTTCACCCGCTCTGTATATTGTCGGGCAATAGCATTCTTGCTCGTTGTGTAGCTCTTTGAAATTAACCGTTTTCACACATATTCCATACAATAGGTGAGAAAAATACAGGAAACGCAAGGTTCCATGCACAGTTTCAGGTCGATTTACACAGCTTTGATCAAAACATTCTCAGTTTCGAGAATAGTTTATTCTAAACCATAAGAAAAGATTTAATCAGAAGTTGAATATTTCGCTATTTCTCTTTCACTTTTTACATTCAGTTCACTTTATTTGCCGGAAAGGAAGCTTTAGAAATTAAAAGGACGTTTCGGAGCGATACACACTTGCGCATTCTAGTCTTATTTTAAACTTTATAGCGGAAGGACATCTGTGAGCAGGGAATAAGTAAGCACAGAATTTGATTTTCGACGAATTTCTGTAATCTTCCATCGTTCTGATGTGAGAAGCTAGCCGTTGTTCACACGTCTTGCTTGTTTGGGGCTGAGTCTTATTCCGGTCAAAGAGAGAGAAAGAGTGTCTGGCAAGGTTTCCGATGAAAGACTTGTGAACTCGTGTCTGGCAAACTCTCCAAGTGTTTATATATACACAGTTGTACACACCTTATAACTTCTTCTGCGCTTAACGAGTGTCGTTAAAATTTTGGTCCATAACTTTCACTGAAACAACTGCTCCACAGAATGTCACTGATAACACGTAACGCAAAAGAGTGTCGAAGTATGGCTGCACAATAACCAGACATAACCAATCGATGATCAATGACATCAATTGGTAATCAATGAGTATTCGATGAGTAATCAGTTGATTAGTCATTGATTATTGGCGATGATCAATGAGTAATCGATGAGTTCTGTCTTTACGTCATCCTAACCATTTCGTACTTGCGGGCGCAAACAATACAAACGTCATCATTACCTACCGATTCCTCGCGGCCCCTGTTCAAGCAAATCGAGATTTTTTCTATATTGACTGTATGACTGTATATTTCAACTGTAAGTACTTTACTTAATAAACGCGCGAGTTACTAGAGTGCCTCCTCGGGATTTCGCCTTCTGGGCGAAATCCCTGCGGGGGCAATCATTCTAATTGTTTACAATAATGGTTAGTCTAATCCAAACCTTTTGATGAAAGCATTGTCTTCAGTTTCTCCTGTGAACAATGTTAATTGGTAGGAGTTTTTTTTTTACTGTTACTTTTACAATTACATGTATTTTTAATTTTATTTATCATTATTTTTTTATTAGTTTGGCTTTTTAAGCATATTTTAATACACAGATCATATTTTATATCACGGTTTCTTCGATTTGTACAGGTTTTAAGTAAAATTAATTCAAAATTGAAGATTCAACATGTCGTTGTTCCAGTTCGTTTTCTAGTAATAAACAAAGTCATCATGACGTCACTGCTATTGTTAAAGATTATCACTGTGTTAGCCAACTTCATGATTTATTCAGACATTTCGCTATTTTAACATTTCTCTCTTTATGGCTACTCCTAGGGAAAAAATGAAAAGATAAAATGTGGGTTTTGCTTATAACTTACGAATGTCACGTCATAAGTACGTCAAATTACGTCAGTTATCCCTAGATGTTGAAAATGATGAGTGCATCTATTTATTAGGTATAATTTTGGTGGATTTGCCATGATCTGTTTTAAAGTTACAGAGGGGAGCCTCCGACGTACGCCGGTCTTACGAAGCCAAAAAAAGGAAAAAGCATGATCAGATTAGAGATAAAGTTTTGTACACGGCCGTGTGACAATAAGTTAATTTGTTGAAACAACAAACTTTCGTCGTCTATTGTCGAACGTTTTTGGTTTAAACACTACAATATTTCACTTCTAATTTGTGTATAGATCATTTTTTAACGACCAGGAAATGTAACTGTTTTTTTTTTTTTTTTTTTATTTTTCATTTTTTTTTATATTTAAAAACTGTTTGGATAAAATCAGTCAGCGGGATTAAAGTCTTTTATTTTCTCTTACCAATAACACTTACCTAAGCAACGTGGAACAGAGGAACTCCATCTCTTTTTAGCTTGACAATATATAACATTAGTCCCCACTAGAGTGTAATTCTCGTCACAAACAAACTTGACCGATCCACCATAGACGTAGCCTTTCTTGACAATCTGCCTTCCATTTGCGGGTTTGCCAGGATCCCCACACTCAACAGCTATAATAATTGCAAGGGAGCTAAATTTTTAACCTTTATCTATTACAAAAAAACAAGTATGGGAAAACGTTTTAAAACTGGGGTAGATGCACACGAGTTAACAATCCTCTTAACGGTTAAAATTTGAGCGCCTATTTATTTATTTTGCGGCTATTACAAAAACTTGTTACGTAATATTTAAACTTGAACAACAAAAACAACAACATCAACAACTTTAAGCTCCAAAATCATCACAAGCTTTTGTTTTGGAAAACAAGAAGACCGCGAACAGCTCGCGTTCTCACCTGCTTTTTCCCTGTATGATATTTCCCTGTATAAATTTTCCAGCCTACCTAAAGCCATTTTCTTGAATTAAAACCTGAGTCCCTAAATTAACCAGTCTCTTATTTGTTTCTTTAGCTGATAGCTTTTTTTACACCTCTTTTAAAACTATTATAACCTCGAACTTTACAGTAAATTCCTAAAGATAAAGCACACCGATTTCCCGGATAGGTCACTACTGAGACTTTCCAGAAACGCAGGTCCCTGGACTAGACAGTTTATAAAACAAGCTCAAGTTTTTAAATAAACATAAGGGAAAGCCGTTTGAGCAACAATGATCTTTACCTTTGCACTTGGGAATATCAGTGTTCCATCTTCCGTCCTCACAAGCCAGTTGAGCCTCGCCTTCAAGTGTGTACCCAAGGTTACAAAAGTATCGAACTGTTATTCCGTGGGTGTAGTTATTGCCGATTTTCAGGCCATGATTTATATCACCAGGCGATCGACAGGCAGCTTTAACAAGAGAAAAAAGACTGTAAGGCAACATTTTTTTTTTTTATGACACAAATTCATATATAATTCAAATATATTGCTTGTCTGAATTGTTTCGTTACTGCAGTACGAGTTCTCTAAATAAAATTGTTCGAACAATAATTAACTAGATTACGGATTGATTAAAAGCCCTAATTTCCTACCCCTATTCTACAGAAATTAAATGTCTTCGACCATCATCAAATCAAACTCTGCCTTCAAATTTTCAGTAGTATTTAAAAAAAAATAGTGAGACTAGTGTCCTTAATTCTCTTTAATCGAGTCTCTCCGCACACCCATGAAACTAACCTAAGCAACTTGGAACAGAGGAACTCCAACTCCTATTAGCTTGACAATATATGACATCAGTCCCCACTAGAGTGTAATTCTTGTCACAAACAAACTTGACTGATCGATCCACCATAGACGTAGCCTTTCTTGACAATCTTCTCTCCATTTGTCGGTTTGCCAGGATCACCGCACTCGACAGCTATCGTATTAATTAAAGTGTGGTTAATTTTTTAGCCGTTGCCGTTTACATATAATAAAGCAATACAAGAAATGAAGATTGAAGGGTATCAAGTAAAGCTTTAGCCTGCAACTTGAATAGACGCTCACGAGTGAATCCTTCTTTTACATGTTCAAAGTTGCGGGCTACATAATTCATTTTGCAGCCATTACCAAAATTTGCCACGTCATTTAAAAAGTTGCAAAGTTGAAAATAACATTAACTTCCAAAATCAACACAAGCTTTTATTTTGGAAATGGAAAACAAGAATGAACGCTTACCTTTACACTTGGGAGTGACAGTGTTCCATCTTCCATCTACACAAGTCAGTTCAGCCTCGCCTTCAAGTGTGTACCCAAGGTTACAAGAGCATCGAACTGTTTTTCCGTGTGTGTAGTTATTACCGATTTTAAGACCATGATATAAATCACCAGGTGAGCGACAGTTAGCTTAATCAAAGAAGAAAAAAAATCAAGCCTTTAGCAACAGAAAAGAAGGAAGGGAGTGAAAGAAATTGGTCGATATTTCTTTAGTTCATAAGAAACTAATTGACTGAATTATTTCGATTTTGCTTTTACCTGATTCAGAAATAGAATAAAATAATTTAAACTACATGTATGACAACAAATTTGACAAAATTTTCTTAAAATGATCAAAGAACATTTTAATATAATCGCGACGTGTACGTCAATTTTGACGTTACCATGGTAATCGAGTTTTTAACAGCCTTATTTTACAATACTTGCCTTTTTTACTACAGAACATGATTGGATCAATTTATTTCAAGGTTTATTTATTGAATATTGTATCGCAATAAATTTAGAACTATTTTATATACTCATCATAACTGTTAATTTAATCTAGACTTTTTGATGACTAAATTCGCCATTTGCACATCTCCCATAATGTTTCTTGTTTGCCCTCAAAAATTTGTACAAGCATTGTCTGCTGGAAAACTGCAATACCTAGAAGAAATGACAAACAAAGGGTGTAGACAACTATAAGGGGCAAACGAGGTGTTTTATGGGAGATGTGCAAATGGCCAATTCAAGAACTTGAATATAACATGACTTAATGGTAGAAGTTGGATTCAAGTTTCAACGGTGATCAACAGTGTTAATTACCATCATTTTTTTTTTCTTTTTCTTTTTTACTTTTAATTTTACATTTACATCAGTATTTTTACTTTCATTTTATTTTATTTTTTGCTTTTTAAATATGCTTTTTTAATACACAGGTCATATTTAATATCACGGTTTCCTCGATTTACACGGGTTTTTAAACAAAGTCATCATGACGCCACTGCTATTGTTAAAGACTATCCGTGTGTTAGCCAACTTCATGATTTTTCAAACATTTCTGAATCACTGTTTTAGCATTTTTCGCTTCATGGCTACTCCTAGGTAAAAAACAACAACAACAGCAACAAAAAAACAAACAAAAAAAATGATGAAATTTGGAATCTGTGTATAACTCATAACAATGTTACGTTACACATGTAAGTGACATCAAATCGCGTCAGTTATCCCTAGATGTTGAAAATAATGAGTACATTTTTAGGTGTAATGCACCTATCAATGTAAAGCCGGCGGAGGGGGGTGGGGAGGGGGAGGCAGGGCATGGGATGGGGGTTTGATTGCGTTTGTTGGCCCTGGGGAAGGGCATTTGACTGATCTTGTTCTCCTAGGGGAGGGGATATTTGAATCTTTCTTCGCCCGACGTGGAGATATTTGACTGCCGACTCGGACGAAAAGACTGAGACCGAACATATGTTTCCCGCTTCCACGCTTCACGCATGCGCCGTACGGTTTGAAAAGATCAGGGAGTCATGGACGCCAATGAGAACAAGCGAATGCTGAGTGGACTGTTTTGTCTTCAAATTTCCTTTGTTTTAGCGTATTTTTGATCAATTGAACCTCTTAAAATACTGTGGTATCAAAGTAAACGGAAGTAAAGAGAAACCAAGTCGATTTTTGCAAGTGCAGTTGATCAGTGTATGGCTCATTCGCTACAATCACTGTAAACTTATAAAACTGACTTTCTTTGTACCCTTTACTGAGAACAGTATATTTAAACTTACAAAACGTGTACTTTCTCTAAAATTTTATGTATTCTACGCAGTGTAACACGGATTATGGTTAAAACGTATAATTGCAGCTCTGCAACAGGAACATGTATCTTTGGTGATGCAGCAACGTTTATAAAAGATTGCACAGTTTTATTTGGAGATATTTTTATCGTGCCTTTCTTGGGTTCTGCCTTGATATTGACAGCAATGTCCAGCTGGGGTGGGGAAATTTGGTTGCATTTGACTGGAATGATTTGCCCGTGGGTAGAGAATTTGATTGCAAATTATTGAAAAAAGAAAAATCCCACCCCATGCCCTGCCTCCCCCCGCCGGCATTAGATTGATAGGTGCATAATTTTGGTGGATGAGTCATGATTTGTTTTAAAGTTATAGAGGAGAGCCTCCTGCGTTTCCCTGTCTTAGGAAGCCAGAAAAGGAAAAAAAGCATGGTCAGATTAGGGTTAAGCTTTTGTTTATTAAGTATGACGATAAGTCAGTTTTGTCGTGTTCTGCAGAACTTTTGTTGTTTAAAACCTACAATATTTCTACTGCAAATTTATGTATAGATCATTTTTTAACGACCACGAAATGTAATTTTGTTTTATCCCTTTGAAAAACTTTTTGCTAAAAAAATTGTCAACGGGACTAGTGTCTTTTATTTTCTCTTACCCATGGCACTTACCTAAGCAACGTGGAACAGGGGAACTCCAGCTACTATTAGCTTGACAATAAATAACATCAGTCCCCACTAGAGTGTAATCCTTGTCACAAACAAACTTGACTGATTTACCATAGACGTAGCCTTTCTCGACAATCTGCCTTCCATTGGCGGGTTTGCCAGGATCATCACACTCAACAGCTATAATAAGCATAAGGGAGCTACATTTTTAACCTTCTTCCTTTACAAATCAACAAGTATATGGGAACAACAACAACAACAGCTAATTTAAGGTCCAAAATTATCACAAGCTTTTGTTGTGTAAAAAAGAAGACCGCAAACAGCTCGAGTGGTCACGCGTACCTTTTCCCTGTACGATAGGACGTTTTGCGCGTTTCTTAAAAGTCGACCCTGTAAATTTTTCCAGCCTGAAGGCATTTTCTTAAATCAAAATCTGAGTCCCCAAACTAACCAGCCTATTATTTGTTTTTTAACTGATAGCGTTTTTTTTTACGTCTCTTTTACAGCTATTAGAACCTCGATCTTTAAAGTAAATTCCTAAACATATTAAAGCACTCCGATTTCCCGGAAAGGCCACTAGCGACACTTTCCAGAAAGTCAGGGCGTCCCTGGACTAGACAGTTTATAAAACAACCTCAAGTTTCTAAATAAACAAAAGCTATTTGGAAAGAAAACAAAAAGGTTCTTTACCTTTGCACTTGGGGATATCAGTGTTCCATCGTCCGTCCTCGCAAGTCAGTTGTGCCTCGCCTTCAAGTGTATACCCAAGGTTACAAAAGTATCGAACTGTTTTTCCGTGGGTGTAGTTATTTCCGATTTTAAGGCCATGATTTAAATCACTAGGTGATCGACAGTTAGCTACATTAAAGACACAAGAAACTAACTTAACAAAAGGAAATAAAATGAAATAAGGTAACAATTTTTTTTTTTTTTTATGACGCAAATTCATAAAAATAAATCTCTTGTCTGAATTGTTTCCTTGGCTGCAGTCCGGGTTCGCTAAACTAAATTGTTCGAACAATTATTCTAGTTTATGGATTAATGAAAAGCCCTTACTAATTGTCTGCCTCTAATTCACAAAACTTATGTCTCTTTGACCATCAAATCTAACCTAACCCTGGCACTTACCTAAGCAACGTGGAACAGAGGAATTCCAACTCCTTTCGCTCGACAAAACAAAACATCAGACCCCACCAGAGTGTAATTCTTGTCACAAACAAACTTGACTGACCCTCCATAGACGTAGCCCTTCCTGACATTCTGCTTTCCGCTTGTTAGTTTACCAGGATCACCACACTCAACAGCTGTAATAATTACAGGATGGTTAATTTTTTAGCATTTAAATTTGTCGTTTACATATAATGAAATAATACAAGAAATGGAGATACAAAGTTGCAAATAAAACAACCCGCCCTACCTTCAAAATCAACACAAGCTTCTATTTTGAAAAACAGGAATGAACGCTTACCTTTACACTTGGGAGTGGCAGTGTTCCATCTTCCATCTACACAAGTCAGTTCAGCCTCGCCTTCAAGTGTGTATCCAAGGTTACAAGAGTATCGAACTGTCTTTCCGTGTGTGTAATTATTACCGATTTTAAGGCCATGATTTAAATAACCAGGTGAGCGACAGTTAGCTTAATAAAAAAAAATAATAATAAAATAAAGTCAATCGTAACAAAGGAAGGGAACAAAAGGGAACAAAAAATAGTATTTGCTTTATTTCTTTAGTTCATAAGAAACTAATTGTCTCAATTATTTCGATTTTGCTTTTAGCTTATTCAGGGGCGTTGAAGGACCCAAATTTCTTGAAAGTAATTCAAACTACATGTATGAAAACAAATTTAATAGTTGAATATCTTCAAAATTGATCAAACTATGACAACAAACTTAGCAGATTTTTCTAAAAATATTCAAAGAACACTTTCAAATCATCGTTCCCTGTATGTCAACTTTAACGTTACCATAGTAAACGAGTTTTCAAGGGCCTTATTTTACAATACTTGCCATTTTTTCTATATAAAATGATTGGATCAATTTATTTCAAGGTTTTTTATTGAATATTATATCACACTAAATTTAGATTTATTTTTGCCCCCACAGGGATTTCGCCCAGAAAGCGAAATCCCGAGGACGCACTCTAGTAACTCGCGCGTATATTAAGGAAGGTACTTACAGTTGAAATAGACAGTCACACAGTCAATACAGAAACAATCTCGATTTGCTTGAACAGGGGCCGCGAGGAATCGGTAGGTAATGTTGACGCTTCTATAGTTTGAGCCCGCAAGTACGAAATGGTTAGGTTGACGTTATGACAGAACATCCCAAAGGGACCGCTTAGGTTGATTTTGTGACATTTATTGTGCAGTCATACTTCGACATTCTTTTGCATTACGTGTTATCAGTGACATTCTGTGGAGAGTTTGTTTCAGTGAAAGTTATGGACCAAAATTTTAACGACACTCGTTAAGCGCAGAAGAAGTTATAAGGTGCATATAACTGTGTATATATAAACACTTGGAGAGTTTGCCAGACACGAGTTCACAAATCTTTCATTGGAAACGTACCTTGCCAGACACTCTTTCTCTCTCTTTGACCGGAATAAGATTCAGCCCCAAACAAGCAAGACGAATGAACAACGGTTAGCTTCTCACTAACAGAACGATGGATGATTACAGAAATTCGCCGACAATCAAATTCTGTGCTGACTTATTCCCTGCTCACAGACGTCCTTCCGGTATAAAGTTTAAAATATTAGACTAGAATGTGCGAGTGTGAATTGATCAAACGTCCTTTTAATTTCTAAAGCTTCCTTTCCGGCAAATAAAATGAAGTAAACGTAAAAAGTTAAACAGAAATAGCAAAAAATTCAACTTCTAATTAAATCTTTTCTTATGGCTTAGAATGAACTATTCCCGAAACTGAGAATGTTTAGATCAAAGCTGTGTAAATCGACCTGAAACTATGCATGGAACCTTGCGTTTCCTGTATTTATAATTATCAGACCTATTGTATGGAATGTGTGAAAATCTTCCTTATGAATCGCTATATTTCAAAGAGCTACACAACGAGCAAAAATGCTATTGACCGACAATATACAGAGTGGGGGAAGCTGTAGTGTCAACTATTACTAGTATACATTTATTATGACTGTTAATTTAATCAAGGCTTTTTGATGACTAAATTCTCCATTAAGGCACATCTCTCATAAACCATAATCCACTTTGTTTGCCCTCCAAAATTTTGCATAATCATTGTCTTCAGTTTCCTGGTAAAACTGCAATACCCAGCAGAAATGACAAATACAGGTTAGGAAAAACTTCAGGGGGCAAAGGAGGCGTCTTATAAGAGATGTGCAAATGGCCAATTAAAAAACTTGAATGTAAAATGATTTAATGGTAGAAGTTTGATTCAAATTTCAGCAGTGTTCAACAATGTTAATTACTAGTAGTTTTTTTCCCCTTTTAATTTCACATTTACATGTGTTTTTACTTTTATTTTATTTTTTGATTTTTAAGCATAGTTTAATACACAGGTCGTATTAAAGGTATTTGGTCGTATTTAATATCATGGCTTCCTCTATTTACTCGGGTTTTTAATTGAGGCTGGTGCAACCATATATCAAGTGAATAGCAAATCTCGAGTTACGTCACAACAAAACATAACAATGATCCCTAGCCCTAAAACGATAAGCCTATAATTTCTACATAATATAACGACACAATATTGCATACATTGACTTGGTATCAAGGATCACCCGGTTTTGAACAAAATTAATTCAAAATGGCGGATTAAATATGGCGTTTTTCCAGTTCGTTCTCTAAGTCATGTGACGCCAGTGCTATTGTTAAAGATTATCCGTGTGTTAGCAAACTTCATGATTTTTACAAACATTTCACTATTTTAGCATTTTTCGCTTCACCGCTACTCCTAGGCAAAATAAAGTGATGAAGTTTGGATTCTGCTTAATTATAACTCGTAACAATGTTATGTGATAAGAACGTCAAATCACGTCAGTTATCCCTAGATGTTGAAAATGTTGAGTACATTATTAGGGGAAATTTTGGTGGCTGTGTGTCATGATCTGTTTAAAAGTTATAGAGGGGAATCTCCGACGTTCCCCGGTCTTAGGAAGCCAGAAAAGGGAAAAAGCATGATAACATTAGGGTTAAACGTTTGTTTATTCTGAGTGACGATAAGTTTTGTCGTCTTTTGTCGAACTTTTGTCGTTTAAAAGCTAAAGGATTTCTACTGCTAATTTATGTACAGATCGGTTTTAACCGACCACGAAATATAACTGTGTTTTATCACTTTTAAAAGCTTTTGGAGAAACATAGCGGGACTAAAGTCTTTTATTTTCTCTTACCAATGACACTTAGCTAGGCAATGTGGAACACAGTAACTCCAACTCCTATTAGCTTGACAATATATAACATCAGTCCCCACTAGAGTGTAATTCTTGTCACATACAAACTTGACTGATCCGCCATAGACGTAGCCTTTCTTGACAATCTGCTCTCCATTTGTTGGTTTGCCAGGATCACCACACTCAACAGCTATAATAAGAATTGTAGGATAGTGAATATTTTAGGCATTGTCGCTTACATATAAACTAGTATATGAAAAGAAGATTGCAGGATATTAAACTTTTTATTGCAACTTGGATAGATGCACACGAGTTAATTCTTCTTTAAACGATTTACATTTTTGAGATATTTCATGTTTTAGCAATGAAGTTTTATTGAAATACTTCAATATTATTAAAAGCTCAATCATCAATTTAAATTCTCAAACATATTGCCAAAGCTTTTCGCAATTGATCATTTTAATAACATAGCCAGATTTTCCAGAATTAAACTGGTCACTGGACGCACCATAATAAAAAATGTCATAGTCGACGCAAAGTTATCATCAAATAAGCACAACTGCCCCTTTGTTAAAACACAAAACAACGTTAACCCAAGCTAGACTGGGACCAGGCTGAGGTCAAATAGAGAAAATACGTAAATATCGGCGAGCAAAGCGAGTCAAGCGTTGGATTGGGAGGGGGAAAGAGCGGCGGAGCCCGGAGACATGCCTTTGATGCTGCCGTTCTATAATAACCAGAATCTGATATCATGTTCTGATTGGTCAAACGTCTTCATGTTGACAGATTCGCGGTGCTGTAGACAGAATCGCGCTCTTATCATGCTCTTACACTTCGGGAAAAGATTTCTTAAAACACGGATTTCGAGCAAGCCATACAAATTTCTTTGCGAGACTTTTCGCTTATCCCTCAACTCCAAGAAGAGCAAAAAATACCCCTGTGATCTGTTGCAAAAAGAAAAAGAAGCATTCAAAATACGTGGATTTTTTCTTATACTCTCCAGTGGTAAACTACGGTCACATTTACAAAGCGATTGACTTATAAACCGAGGTTTAAAAGGCACAGCATAATAATCACGCTCCATACCAAAAGCGTGTGATAAAACCCAAGAATCAGTGGATATATGCAAAGAACACATGTTGCGTACACCTAAAAGCCTTGTGCTCTGAGAACGCATAACCAAAACCGTACGGAGCGAGCAGTTGTTGCGATCTTGCATGGCTTTTACCTAGCGTTTACAAAGTCGTTCGCGTCGCTTATCAGTTGCATAGTTAACAAACCAAATACGCAACTAAAAAGCGACGCGAACGACTTCGTAAAACGTTAAAAGCCATGTAGGCAAGAAAGAAACCTCTCCTCGCAGGCTAGTACAAAGATAACAGACATACTTTACAAAACAGACAACTAATATGTAAACGAGAATTATGATGCGAACTGCGAGGGATCTCCTTGAGAATCTATTCGGCGATCTTCAACGGCCGAACGCGGCGCATTTTTCCTCTTAAACGTCTTTATTTCTCTTTGCTGTAGCTGGTGGTACTCGAGTTGGCGATTGAAGTTAAGTAGATCTCTTTGCTTGCACTCTTACGGCTTCATTTCGAATTCAAATATCTTTTCTTTTCTTTTTTTACAAAAGCTACATAATAAGCTGACGTGCTGACGTGTTGACATTATATTTCAATGACAAGTTAATTGCCGGAGGGCGGAGCGGCGGCATCAGAGGCATATCTCCAGGCTCCGCCACCCTTTTCCTCCCCAGACTACCTCTCGGCTCGCTTCGCCACGCCGACTTTTTTTCCTTTTTCCCCCAATGCGGATCCTAGTCCCAGGCTACAAGCTATATATCTCTAAATACAAATTAATGTACGCTTACAGACTGTACCTTTGCACTTGGGGGTATCAGTATTCCATGTTCCCTCTTCACAAGTCACTTCAGCCTCGCCTTCAAGTGCGAACCCATGGTTACAAGAGTATCGAACTGTCTTTCCGTGCTTGTAGTTATTACCGATTTTAAGGCCATGATTTATATCACCAGGGGATCGACAGTCAGCTTTTATTTAAACAGAAAAAAAAATCTTAACAACAGAAAAACTAGGGTAAACGAATGATTTATTTCTTTAAGCCCCAATTTCATAATAAATTAATTGGTTTCGTTAACTTGCGTTTCTCTTTTTTTTATTCAGCACACTAAGTTAAATTGTTCGAACAACTAGTATTAATACGTATGTGGAAAAAGCTACAATTTTCTACCCCTAATTTTCATAAAATTATGTTTCTTCGACCATATAATCTTACTGTTATTTATACTTTTAAGAGCCCTGACAATAACTAAATAATGAGGGTAAATTTTTTTTTCTTATTATTATTTTCTCTTACCAAACGGTACTTACCCACGCAGCGTGGAACAAAGGAACTCCAACTCTTATTAGCTTGACAAAACATAACATCAGCTCCCACTAGAGTGTAATTCTCGTCACAAACAAACTTGACTGATCCGCCATAGACGTAGCCCTTTCTGACAATCTGCTTTCCATTTGTTGGCTTGCCAGGATTTCCACACTCAACAGCTATGGTAATAATTACAGGGTCGTTAATTTTTAGTCTTCGTTGTTTACATACAATAAAATCATAGAAGAAATGAAGATTGCAGGGTATTAAGTAGCTTCAACTTGAATAGACGCACACGAGTTCATTCTTTTTTTTTTTTTTTTCAACGGTTCAAAGTTGCGGGCTATATAATTCATTTTCCAGCGATTACCAAAATCTGCCACGAAATTTGAAAAATTGCAAATAAAACAACCCGCTTTACCTCCAAGATCAACACAAGCTTTTATTTTAGAAAACAAGAATGAACGCATACCCTTACACTTGGGAGTGGTAGTGTTCCATCTTCCATCTACACAGGTCAGTTTAGCCTCGCCCTCAAGTGTGTATCCAAGGTTACAAGAGTATCGAACTGTTTTTCCGTGTGTATAGTTCTTACCGATTTTAAGACCATTATTTAAAACACCAGGTGAACGACAGTTAGCTTAATCGAAAAGAAAAAAATCAAGCTTAGCTACAGAAAAAAGAAAGGGAATAAGACTAATTGCTCGTTATTTATTTAGTTCTTTATATAAACTAATTGAGTGAGTTATTTTGATTTCGCTTTTACCTTTTTGAGACCAAGGAATATCCTTGAATATCTTCAAAATCGTTCAAACTATGAAATCAAACTTTGCAAATATTCCTAAAAATTATCCAAGAACATTTTAAAAATATGGCGACCTGTACGTCAACTTTAACGTTAACCGGCATGGCAACCCAGGTTTAACAGCCTTGTTTTACGAAATTCGTCTGTTTTTCTATAAAAAAGGAGTTATTGTAAGATTTTTTTTTTAACCGAAAAATTGTATTACACTCAATTTAGAATTATTTAAATATTTGTTATAACTGTTAATTCAGTCGAGGCCTTTTGGTGTCCATATTCGCCATTTGCACTTCTCCCATAATGCACCTTGTTTGGCCCCCAAATTTTGCATAAGCATAGTCTCCAGTCTCTCCCGGGAAAATTGCAATAACCAGGAGAAATTGAAAAAAAGGTTATGCAAAACTTTAGGGGCAAACGAGGTGTATTATGGGAGATGTGCAAATGGCCAAATGACTTTTTTACCGATACGGCGGCCATATTGAATTAATTGGTTTTAAGGAGTATTATGGGATGCCTAGGGGGCATAAGTTTGATCTGATATACTCGTTCGGTATTTACGCGCGCTTTTCGGGCAACTTTTCCCAAAGATTTCCTAGAATATGTTTGTAATGGGAAAAAAGGCCGCTGTGTTGTATTTGGGGTAAAAATGATCATACCAGTTTCTTCGGAGGTACGTTAATTCTGCTCTTGCAAAGAGGAAAGGGACTTGGCTACTTGGACGAGACTACTAAGCCAGAAGGTATTTAAGGTGTACAAAAATACTAATTAAGTTTGCTCAAATCATTTTAAATTTGGAGGACTGGTTGACGGTCATCCTCATCCAACGCTCTTTCTGAAGGGCTATGAAAGGGAAATAGTTGTAACACGTAAGAAAAATGTTCCCATGGACATGCTTCTAGTACAACCAATTATTAGTTAGAGGAAGAAGTCAGATAATGATTCTAAAATGCAAAAAAAAAAAGAAGCAGTTAAAATCGTGGACACTCTGAAGAAACTGGTATTGTTTTTCACTGTACTATTTCTCGGGTAAAAGGCGATCATTATTACATCCAAACACGGTACAAAGTTCCTTTTTCCCATTACAATCTTGTTCTTGAAAAACTTATTGCCCCAAGAAGCGCGCTTAAATACTGAGCGAGTGTATCCGATCGTGCTCATGACCCCTGGGCATCCCATAATAGCGGGGCGCGCGTGGGACAGAGCCCCATACCCATAGATTATGGTCAACCTCTTTTCCTTTGGTTGTCACGTGATTGACCGAGCGTACGTACGTACGTACGTACGTACGCGTCTACGGATTGTACGGGTGGGGTAGGGGAGACTATCAAAAGGAAGGGAGGGGTGTCTCAGGCGTGTCTTGCCACATCTTTTACGTTGGACATTCACAATATGGTCAATTGACAGCTGTCAAAACAGGATAGCCACTGACCAGTATGCCATGACCATATCGCGGGCTCATGATGTCAACTCATTAAGGTGACGTGATTTATTTGGAAGCTGTCCGCTGACCAGTTAATTATTTTACTAGATCGCGATCAATGTTCAGTCTCATACTTTCTAGCTAGTTTGGGATCGTACGTACGCGTCTACGGATTGTACGGGTGGGGTAGGGGAGACTATCAAAAGGAAGGGAGGGGTGTCTCAGGCGTGTCTTGCCACATCTTTTACGTTGGACATTCACAATATGGTCAATTGACAGCTGTCAAAACAGGATAGCCACTGACCAGTATGCCATGACCATATCGCGGGCTCATGATGTCAACTCATTAAGGTGACGTGATTTATTTGGAAGCTGTCCGCTGACCAGTTAATTATTTTACTAGATCGCGATCAATGTTCAGTCTCATACTTTCTAGCTAGTTTGGGATCGGTGCACAGGAAAACTGATACACGTCAATGTTGTGATCCATTGACAGCTGTCAAAACAAGGTATCCGCTGACCAGTATCACTTGACTGTATCGTGGGCGCATGTGTCGACCCATCGAGGTCAAGTTTTTTTTGAAGTTATCCGCTGACAAGGTACTGGTTTTCAAATGATCGCAGGCTCAAGTTTAATTTTTTTTAAATTCATATGAAATATGTTGTGTTTATGTGCCGCACAATCAAAATTTTGATTTCAAACTGACCTCGGAGCGAAAATTCAGTCAGCTGCTACAGGCAGGGAAGACAGTTGCTTTTGACTTTTCTCGCCATGTTCACGCGTTGGTCACGCTCGACGTCCAATTTTTATGCTCTGATTGGTCAAAATTTGACAGGTGAGTTCATGCGGAAAATTTATGCAGCATCATGAATCTTGTTTACTTTGACAGCTGAAGCTGACAGAGTTTTGTGTCAACTTGTGATGTTTTTAACTTTCTTTTTCCACTGGATGTACAAAATGAAATTCAGCTGCTATCAGGAGTCTTCTGTTATTCATGGCTAGTTTGTTTATTGGGTTTTTGGTTGAGTCAAAGTCGGAAATCCGATTTCGGATGGCATCGTTTTCGTTTTCATCTTGCTTAATGCGTAAGAGGGTTGCAAAGTCTGAAGCGATACTGGCCTTACTTGATACCTTTCAGGAGCTGCATCTCGAGTGGTAAGCCTAAGTAATTATTGTATTTGATGTTTGTTTTTTATTCCTAATTTAATGAAGTCGAGCGTAGTTTATGCGGCTATTTTGTTTACGCACGTTTGTAAGATTTGAGACAATGATCTGACCGAGTATCAGGTTTGTTATAAGCTTACAGATCTTTAAAAAGCCTTTAGACATTTTCTCACCGCAAATAGAAAGAAAACGTTTCAAAGAATATTTAGTTATAATTCTGGCTGTAAAAGAAAGGTTTGAGCGATTTTCTTGCCTCGAGTTCGTCTTTGAAAAAAGCAAACACCGGTAAGCCGGCTTAAAACGTAAACTTCAGCTTTAAGCTCGAAGACTCAGGATTTTTAGAGACACTTTAATACTTGTCTTCCTGAATGAAAATTGTCGTCTCTGTATACGTTTCACCGAATTATATTTCTTTTATTGATTGTTAGTACTCTCTCTTGTAATTTTAATCGTTGTGCTGATTGTTTTCAGTCGTTCAGTAAACAACCAGGGGCACCCAACGAGAATATAGGTCAAAACCACATAAACATAGCATTGTTGAACGTACTTTAGTATTTAAACAGTAGATAAAGGCTTATTTTTATCCCCTATAAATTTTTCATCTGTTCGGATTTCCTAGCTGAAAGTATAGTGATCCGAAAATTATAGGGATCAAAATCTACCTTTCCGAAAATTTCAGCCAGAAAAAAAGCTCCCGAAAATTCTAGGTGACCTTTTTAGGGTAAAAATCCGTTAAAAATGGGCAATTATACCATTTTTTTGATGTTCGAAAATCCTAGGAGAAGCAGGCAAGCAAGAAATTTTACAGAAAATGATCCGAAAATTCTAGATCTCAAATCGTCTTCCGAACAGATAATTTTCCGAAAATTGTCGTTGGGTGCCCCTGAACAACGCTTCCCGGAGTACTCAAAATGCCGCGCGTTAAACCGTTTTAAAATAATGTTATTATGTTGGAGCGTAACTCTGTTAATGTTCATTCAAACACTCGACTCGCCACTGCTAGCACTGTAAAAGTCAGAACCGGCTGGCCGTATAGATGATTTGGAAAAATTTTTCAACGGTTTACGGCTAAAGCCCACGCGTGCTTTGATCGTCCTGAATAGCAATTTGTATCGCAATATTGTGAAATACTGCATTCTGTTGTCCGAGGTCTGTATGATAAAAACAGTGCCTCATAGTACTGTTTCACCTCAGATGTGACGTATAAATGTTATAGAAGGTTGGTTTACACGCACCCAGATTTGTTGGCAAGATTTTGTAAAATAAACTTGTCGAACGCAAAAAATTCGGCCGGAATTTTTTTTCCAGGCCTAATTAATGTAAGGTGATCAAGAGCCATTATGGCTCTTAATAAATGTGATCGAAGATGATTGCCAGTTTTTGGGTGTACTTATGAGGCTATCAACTCGATGTGAGATTTGGTTCACTCTTGGGCTGTTTGCAAATTATTTTTTGTAAAATCACTTAGCCTTTCCCTAAAAAGTCACACGAATGTGCTCTAAAGTTAACTGAATTGTGGAATACAAGTTTATTGTTCGATTTAATTTATAAATTTATTAATGGGAGCCTCGCTTTTAACCCTGGCTAAATCTATAATATTACTCCTTATATTCTAATTAATTTAATATTGCCGCCGTATCGGTAAAAAATACTGAAGATACAATGACTTAATGGTAGATGTTGGATTTAAATTTTAACAGTGTTCAACAGTTTTAATTGTCAGCAGTTTTTTTTATTATTATTATTTTCTTACTTTTACATTAACGAGTATTTTACTGTTAGCTTTATTTTATGTTTTGCTTTTTAAGCATATATGTACTTTAATACACAGAACAAATTTTATCTCACGATTTCCTCGATTTACACAGGCTAGCTTCGAACAAAACTAATAATTCAAAATGGCAGAATTAATATGGCGTTGTTCCAGTTTGTTCTCTAATAATAAGTCATCATGACGCCACTGCTATGGTTAAAGACTACCAGTGTGTCAGCCAACGTCATGATTTTTTTTTCAGACATTTCACTATTTTAGTATGTTTCACTTTAGGCTACTTCTAGGGAAAAAAAAGATGAAATTTGGTTTCTGCTTATTATTTTAACAATGTTACGTCATAAGTACGTCAAATCGCGTTAGTTATCCCTAGATGTTGAAAATGATGCGTACATTATTAGGTGTAAGTAACTTTGGTGGTTGCTTGTCATGATCTGTTTCAAAGTCCGACGTTGCCCTGTCTTAGGGAGCCAGAAAAGGGAAAAAAGCATGGTCAGATTAGGGTTAAACTTTTGTTTATTCCGTGTGACGATACGTTTTTGGGAGAACTTTTGTCGTTTAGCTACAATATTGCTACTGCTAATTGATGAGATCATGTTTTAACGACCAAAAATTGAACTGTAGTTTTTTACTGTTAAGAACTCTTTAGGTAGCGGGAATAATGTCTTTTTATTTTCTCTTACCCATGGCACTTACCTAAGCAACGGGGGACAGGGGAACTCCAACTCCTATTAGCTTGACAATATATAACATCAGTCCCCATTAGGGTGTAATTCTTGTCACAAAAAAACGTGACTGATCCGCCATAGACGTAGCCTTTCTTGACAATCTGCTCTCCATTTGTTGGTTTGCCAGGATCACCACACTCAACAGCTATAATAATTGCAAGGAAACTAAATTTTTAACCTTTGGCCTTTGCAACTAAACAAGTATGGGAAATGAAGATCACAGGACACTAAGTAAAACTTTGACTACAACTCGAGTAGATGCACTCGAGTTCATTCTTCATTTGACCATAGTTATTAGAGGAGACTGGTTATGAAAAGCGGCAAACATCAATGATAAAAACAACAGTGCTGCAGTTTATGTTGGAAGCACCCTGAAAGTGCACAATCCTTTGTTTTCTGTTGGCAAATTGTTACGGAATAAATTAATGCAACGTTTTAATAATTGGTCAATACAATCAAAATGATAGGAATTCTTTTGAACGTTGTGCACTTTCAGGTCCACAAAAACATATAACAAAGGAGTCTGACGGGTTTTATAACCATTCCACTCAATGAACTATGATTTGACCGTTAAAATTTGAGGGCCTTATTTTGCAGCCATTACAAAAAAATTTTAACATAATATTAAAAGTTGCAAACAAACAACAACAACAACAACAACAACAGCAACAGCAACAACATTAAGCTCCAAAATCAATACAATCTTTCATTTTGGATTACAAGAAAACCGCGAACGGCTCGAGTCGGTCGCGCGTGGCTTCTCCCTGTATGATCATGAGGACGTGTTGCGCGTTTCTTAAAAGTCCCTACAAATTCTCCAGCCTAAAGCCATTTTCTTGAATTAAAACCTGAGTCCCCAAACTAATCAGTCTATCATTTGATTCTTTGACTGATAGCTTTTTTGTACCTCTTTTAAAAGTATTATAACCTCGATCTTCAAGTTAAATGCCTAAACAAAACACTCAGATTTCCTGGATAGGTTACTACCGAGACTTTCCAAAAAACTCAGGTCCCTAGACTAGACAATTCATAAAACAATCTCAAGCTTTTTAAGTTTCTAAATAAACAAAAGCTGTTTAGAACATTAACAGTGATCGTTACCTTTGCACTTGGGAGTATCAGTGTTCCATCTTCCGTCCTCACATGTCAGTTGAGCCTCGCCTTCAAGTGCGTACCCAAGATTGCAAAAGTATCGAACTGTTTTTCCGTGGGTGTAGTCATTGCCAATTTTAAGGCCATCATTTACATCACCAGGCAGTCGACAGTTAGCTTAGTTAAAAACACAACAAACTAACTTTAAAAAAAGGAAAAAGAAGTAAGGCAACAAAGGAAATTGTTGTTGTTGTTTTTTTTTTTTATGACGCAAATTCATAAAAATAAAGTATTTGTTTGAATCACGGTTTCGTTACTGCAGTACGAGCTTGCTAAATTAAATTGTTCAAACAATTAACTAGTTTACGGATTGATGAAAAGCTCTTATATGACTTTGAAAATCAAATCGAGCTATGCCTTTGAATTTTTAATTTAGGAGTATTTGAGAAAGGTGAAACTAGTGTCCTCGATTCTCCTTAATTCTCCCACGAACTATGGAACTTACCAAAGCAACGTGGAACAAAGGAACTCCAACTCCTATTAGCTTGACAATATATTACATCAGTCCCCACTAGAGTGTAATTCTTGTCACAAACAAACTTGACTGAGCCACCATAGACGTAGCCTTTCTTGACAATCTGCTCTCCATTTGTTGGTTTGCCAGGATCACCACACTCAACAGCTATAATAAGAGTTGTAGGAAAGTGAATACCGTATTTATTCGATTAACCACCATGGGCGCTTATTAAATTTTTGGACCTTGAGAGTGTGCGCTTATTCGAGGAGGTTGTTTATTCGAGGCTGGGCACTTGTTATATTTTCGCCATTTTCAGCAAGTGTAGTATGTTTATTTTGCAACAAAACAATAAATGGTAATAACAAAACATAAAAATGAAACAAAGAAAGGTTTCTGTAAAATGATCAATACACTGAGGAAAACTCCGTCTTCGAGGAAATCTCTTAGTACTTATTCATTCTTGGGGGGTGGGAGGGGGAAGGGTTGCGTTTTGGTTGTGGGCGCATATTTGAGTTTGAGTGAAAGGGGGAGGGGGTGGGCGCTTATTAACTTTTTCCTCCTTTAGGATGGGCTCTTATTCGAGGTAAGCACTAATTCGAGGTTGGGCGCTTATTCGAATAAATACGGTATTTAAGGCTTTGTCGCTTACATATAAACTGGTATATGAAATGGAGATTGCAGAATATTAAGGAAAACTGTTCACTATGGATAGATGCACACGTCGAGTTAATTCTTCTGTTAACGTTTCAAAATTTTGAGATAATTAAGATTTTTTTGGCAATCAAGCTTTGTTGAACTAGTTCAATATTATTAATACCTCGATCTTCAATTTAAATTCTCAAACATATTAACAAAGCTTTTCGTAATTGATCCTTTTAATAGGGAACTTAAGAACCATGACGACGACTTTGACGACGAAGACCGGAAGTGAGATACCGTGCACTGCGCAAGCGCGGTTAACAAATTTCGTCGTCGTGGTCGTGGTGTCGTCGACGACGCCAAACACAGTAGAGTCACGTCGTCCTGCAGTCCACAAGCTTCGGCAGGTATAACTCCCTGTTTTTAAGCGATTTTTCAAGGGTTTTGTATTTTTTTCTCCTCGTAAATCCAGGTATCCTTTCTTTTTTCTGCTAACAAGCGATGTTGATTGAAAATTTGACTGATGAATTGTGTTTACTTCGAAGACAACACTCAGCTGTGCAGGCCGAGCGAGCGAACTCGTAAGTGACAAGTTTATTTGTACCTATTTAGGTCAGGCAAATCATATGTCTTTAATATAGAGGAAATGAACTTTATATGGAAAACAGCTATCGCGTCGGAATGTCTCTTTTTCCAAATCTAAACTCTGACTCGGTCATGTCATTCAGGTTGAAAGTTGAATAACCTTCGTACGGAAAGTAGAGATTTTTCCATTCGAAAAGGTCAGACAACACTAAAAATTCTTCATCGTCAATGAAAGTAGACGTACGGCTTATAAAATAAGATCTTGCATCGTCTTAAAAGACGCCTTTGCGAAAAAACTTTGTTGCAAACGAACATCACAGTTGTACTACTTCTACATGTTTGTTTACATTCAGTGTCGTCGTCGTCGACCTACCCGATCGACTGCATCTTAAGTTCCTTTTTCCCGCCAAAACTGACGTTCTCGTTCCAGTCCTTTCTCAGTCAACAGACGTCGTCGTCGTGAACTTCGTCGTGGTTCTTAAGTTCCCTAATAATAAGGCCGGGTTTTCCAGAAACTGGTCACTGGACGCACTATAATAAACAATGATATAGTCGACGCAAGGTTATCATCAAATAAGCACAACTGCCCCTTTGTTGAAACATAAAACAATACAAAGTTAATGAATAAAGCAACTCAAAGGCTCAACATTAACGAAAGCTATATATCTCTAATAAATACATATTCATGCACGCTTACAGACTGTACCTTTGCACTTGGGGGTATCAGTATTCCATGTTCCCTCTTCACAAGTCACTTCAGCCTCGCCTTCAAGTGTGTACCCAAGGTTACAAGAGTATCGAACTGTCTTTCCGTGCTTGTAGTTCTTACCGATTTTAAGGCCGTGATTTATATGACCAGGGGATTGACAGTTAGCTTTATTTAAAACAGAAAGAAAAATCTTAATGCCAGAAAAACTAGTCAACAGCAAACAAATGGTTTTTTCTTTAAGCCCCAATTTCATAATAAATTAATTGCGTTTCCCTTATTTTTATTCAGCACACTAAGTTGTTCGAACAACTAGTATTAATACGTATTTGTAAAAAGCTAAAATTTTCTACCTCTAATTTTCATAAATGATGTTTCTACGACCATATAATCTTACTGTTATTTATACTTTCAAGAGCCCTTAAATGTCTTTTATTTTTCCTTACCCGAAATGGTACTTACCTGCGCAGCGTGGAACAGAGGAACTCCAACTCCTATTAGCTTGACAATATATAACATCAGTCTCCACTAGAGTATAATTCTTGTCACAAACAAACTTGACTGATCCACCATAGACGAAGCCTTTCTTAGTAATCTGCTCTCCATCTGATGTTTTCCCAGGATCACCACATTCAACAGCTATAATATTTTCACGGAAGTCAATTTTTTAACCTTCATTTGTCGTTTATATATCAGATAAACTACTGTAGAAAATCAAGATTGGAGAATATCAAGACTACAACTTGTATAAAAACACAAGTTAATTCTTCTTTCAACGGTTCAAAATTGCGAGCTAACTCATTTTGCAGCCATTGCAAAAATTTACCCGGAAATTTCAATGGTTGTGTCAAAGCGAAAGCAAACCCCTCGAGCTCTTTTCCGTCCGACAACACATTTTTAGGAGATCCCAACTCACGAGTTTAGATTTTAGAAGATAAATACATGTAAATGTAGACATAAGCTCCTTGTAACAAACTTTAAAGAACTTGTGCACAGGGAATGATTTGGAAGCGTGAAAGATGTCGCCCAATTACAACTATGGTGTTCCTAAACAGCTCAAGGTTTTGTGAGAATCATGGCTTTGAGACTTGTTTGCAAAAAAAAACAAACGTAACTCTTTTTCTTAAATCTCTCAACGATTATAAACATTTTATTTTAAAAAGTACCCTTAAAAAAGATTTACAAAACTTTCAGTGAACCAGTTGCCCGAATTCTTGAAGTCAGACCGAGAAATCCCCTAACTTACTAACCAGTCCTGTGCGATGGCTGGGTTTTTGTGCTACATTAAGATGTTCCTATAAAATACTTATCTGTCGGCAACCTACGTTTGCATTCAGGGGCGGTCTCATTCCATGTTCCATTTACGCAAGATATTATTTCTGACCCAAGTAGTTGGTAACCAACGTTGCATCGAAATTGAATGGACGATCCAGAACTGTAATCCTCTCCGATGATTGAACCATTTATGAAAGGTTCTGGATTCTTGCAATTGCCTTTGGGCGAGAAAGAGAACGAAAATGTTCTATTTATTTATTTATTAAAAAAAAAAAAGAAGAATAGTTTAGTATACGTATTTTATTCCTCAGATGAGAAATATTTCACCAAAAGCTCTGCGGTCTTGTCAATTTTCATATCTCAAACCTTCACAAGTTGGAATACTGCCGTTCCATTTTCCTTGAAGACATTTGATCTGCCTCAAACCTTGCAACTTAAATCCCTCATTACATGAAAATGAGACTAATGCTCCATTTTCATTGCCATTGTTGTGTATTTTTCCATTCCTAAGGATTTGTAGAGGATCACAAGACGCTGAAGATGAAACGAGAAGTCAAAAAAGTGAACACGTTATCAGTGCCCATGCAGCATGACAGTTTGATAGGCCTAAGTAAAAAAGACGATAGAAGAAGAGCTCAGCTGTTTTTTTCTCTCTGGATAAGAGTAACTGCTGATTAAGCGTCTAACCAACAGCAGTAAGTCCGAATCACAAACAGGAAGCTTCTGGAATTAACCCTAAAAGCACCAAGTGAATCCTATGATTAAGGTGTTTTGTTTGTTTCGGTTTGGTTTGTTTTTTGTTTTGTTCTGTTGTTGTTTAATTCTGCAGTTTGAATTTGTGATGTGTGTAGATCATAACTAATGGCTAAATAATCGGCAAAAATTTTGAGATGATCATTTCATCCAAAAGCTGACTTTAATTCTTCGCGCCCTTTAACACACAAATTTCATAATTTTATGATTCACGCCACTGCCTTGAAGTTCGCCATCTTTACCTACCTGGAGCAGAACATCCATAAAGCTCCAAACTGAGACAAGGAACCACAGGAACTGTTGAATCCATCAAAAACCCAAATGGATCTTTTGGGTATATCCTGATTGATCGTGTCCTGATTGGTGGCTTGAAGACATTATTTTTCAAGGATCTGCTGTTCCGATTACCTTTAAGTAGCTGTAAACAGAAAAATTAAAAGGCCTTTATTTATATTCCTAGCTCAGTGATAGGCCTGTTAGCAAAGAAGATTATGGAAAATTTGTAAGAATGAATGTATTTGTAACTGTCATCAAATATTTGCGAGTGAAACTGTGGTAGCGACACTTTCTAAGTTTTGGGTTTGTGTGTTTAAACACCGCAGTGGTTTAGGCTCCACGGGAAAGGAATACAAGATATATGTTAAGAATCTTGTTATGATCCGAAAAGAGCCAACAAGATGTCAGGAATTTAAACCGCAAACATCAACACCGTAATGGTGACTATCTTATGGTTTTGCCACTTCCTTGCCTTTTGTTCCCTTCAATGTAAATGGTCATGACAAAGTAATCATTCGGAAAAAAAACGTCGACAGTAACTTTATAATTCTGTTAAAACCACCACTGTTAGTTTTCAGAAAAAGTTACCTTTTTGTACGATGTCCATTTTTCGTCTCTCATGTATGCAACTTCAAAATTTCTGGCCAACTAAAATCGCGAAAACTTCCCTGGGTTGTTATCGCTGTTATAAGGTTTTCTTCGTCCCAAGTAATTTGTATATACGGTGATATATCTTCCGGAGCTGAGCACCAGGCTCTCGGTCCATCCAGCCGTGCAAATGCAGGTGCGTGATTGGCGCTTAACTCAGATGATGACGTAATACCATTATCTGGGATTATTTTGTCTTGCATTCCAAGTTCGCTGCTACTTTCTAATGCTTAGAAACAATACGTTAGTATGATATCACACAAATAGAACTTATATTTGAGAGACACTGATGGACCTAATCGTATAGAGTAATGGTGGCTCAGTAACACGATAAAAGCTAATGAAGTCAGATGCAAAAGCTAAAATAAAACGAGTTTGCAGAGTAGGCTGAAGGTGACGTTAAGATTTTTATCTGGATTAGCAAGGCCAGGATGCTTCTCAATTACATGTCTATAAAACAACAAATACATTATTATTTGGATCCAAGTAATAACCACTAATATTATTTTACCTGTAACCTGTCTTTAAACTTGCGCATGCGTCGGTATGTATGACGGAAACGCCGATAACCAAGACGTGAGTGCCTAACCGTCTCCTATTTTCCCTTGCGTTCACTTTCAGTTTCTTAAATGAGCGATACGATGCCATAAAAATATGATTGAAAACAAACATGAAATGAGAAATTCCGATGTATTACAAATTATCGACTCAAAAAATCTTGTTTTTCTTTGGTTTTAAGAATAAACAAACGCTTCAGACTCCACGAGTTTCAACGCAATACCGCACCTACAATGACTACTTTAATTAAAGCTGAGTTCTTTAGCCCGAATGCTTAATCCCATTACTGGTGCTTCATCTCCAGCTCTGTATTCTATTTTTTCACATGAAAGTTATACTTCCTTAATGTCTTGCACGCATGATATCTCAAGTAATACACCGTAAATTTTATTTGTAAAGTGTATTTACATACAATCTCATTATCTCTTACGTTTATAAAAATTAATACCGTTGTTAAGTTGGTTTGTGGTGACTTTCTTTTTCCTCCCGTTGTGAGGTGCAAATTGTATGCCGACACACACTAAGGTTAGCACACTCTCAAAGACTAGCCATTTGGATCCTAAAATCACCTTACTATTGATACTTACTTGCACTTGCAGAACGTTGACCTATGAAAATCAGTGTAGCCGCAAATAACCACATTAAAATCTGATTAAAATAAGACAATTAAAAAAAGAAATTATTCGGACTTTCACTTAAATGAGTATTACGTACATAGATGGCTAGCATTTTTTTTTTCTTTATAGTGACACATTTGACACGTTTCATAACTATTCACTAAAAGCCATATATCTTTGCTCCTTTCGAAAAATAACTAATAATTAGATCAATTTAAGCTAGTTTAAAAGCCAATGCAATGTATTAAAAGAAAGTAGTTCGAATTTGCCGTTTCCCCCCCTTTCCACTTTTAGCGGCTGTTACATAAATTATAGTATATTGCTGAAAGTATTCTTTGTTCGAATAGAAGCGGATTGTCAGTTGGTTTATTTTCTCATGCGGTCATTAAAAAGAAACTCTAAGCAGTCCTGTCTCAAATAACGGAAGACAAATGTGCTGACACTCCCAACCAACAAGAGACTTGGCCGAATGGATTCAAACGAAGAGAAATGTTTCACAGACTTCCTATTATCAGTGCACTTGCAACTCACATCACTTAATATACAGATATACAGCTGTTTATTTGAAACCTCTTCACGGTAAAGTTCAACTCTTCGAAGCTTGTCTGTGGCGCAAACACCTCCGATGTACACAGAGGTGTTTACACTAGCCGATGGTTTAGCATGAAGTAAACCTTTGTAGGGACAACAGCTATTTTTGTACCTTGAGAACATACCTTATATCGAAGTGAAAACATGTCGACGAGTTACTCAAAGATGGATTTTCCAGTGGAGGCTCTCCTTTGTTGATATCGACTCCGTGCTATTCTACAAGCAACTCTGCAACTGATTATCGTGCAATGGTTGTTAACCTTTTAAGACGCAAAAAGGTCACGTTTTCCCAAAATAAATGATGTCGTGCCAAGAACTGAAGAAAGTGGCGAGTGGGTTGGGTGAAAATGTGTAGCATACTTTATTTATCGTTTTCAGTCATAAGATTATTAAGCTGTTTAATATGAGATATTTTAATAGCGGTACAAAACCAGAAAGGTCTATTTTAACAAGGAATCGTTTTGATGAATATAATTAACAATTACAAGTCTTTATTTGGGGGGCAAAAGTACTACTGAAAACTATCAATCACAATTAATATCATTTGCCAAAATAAATATTGTTGTCCTTAGAGCTGGAAAGCTCTTGGCTTCCCGTCACGTCAGAGACAACAGCAGCGCCTAGCTGTCCACTACCTCTAACGGAAGCAAAATCTGGGTAAGTAATTATCAATGCAACGTTTTTTTGTTGTAATAAGGCTGTAAAGCATGGTCGTTCCCAAGACGTTGTCATCAACATCGCCAGTTCCAAAAGAAGTAATTTCCTTAATTACAAACTTTTTACAGGCTTCAAAAGCAAGATCACACTTCGCTTGCGATTCTCTTGGGAGCTTACGTGCATTGCAAATCCCGACAAAATTATAAACTGGCTTTCGTAAGGAACGAGATATGAGGTCATAAGCAGTAGCTAGTCAAACCATTTTTGAGGGAAATGAATCTTTCTCAACTTTTTCGGTCAACGATAAAAGCAAAGCTTGTGGATAAAATGAAGAAAAGGCCTTACTTATCTGTTATTTTATACATGTCAAGGACATGTATAAAAAATATTACATAGCCGCGCCGAGCCGGGGGATACAAAATTTCCCCTCGAGTGCTGAAAATAAAATTCTTGTTCCCAAGACCTTTTTTTCAAAGAGAATATCAATTTCCTCTACTGAGTGAGCAGTAGTTGCGTTCGGCTTTTTTTTTTCCTTGGCCTTGTTTTAAAGATCTTTTTGCTTTGCTTTCAAAGGGATTGCCAATCTCGTAAATTCGAGACCAAATGAATAGCCTTTTCACCTATTCGCGAATTGTAAGATAACGGGCCAGGGCTTGATAACATTCCTCTGAGACAGGACGGCTCATATTGTTTTCCTTTCTTTGTTGTAGCTGCAATAATGAATTCACTAAGCTAAGGTATACATTCAGCTCTTCCGGTGGGATTTTCTCTTATTATTTCTCTCTCTTTTTTTTCCAAACCTCGTGAAGAAATTTTATAACAACGTTTATAGGTCATACCGACATTGTCTTTAATAATATATAGATAGATACAAACTTTATTAAAGTGTCAAAAGCCGTCTAGCCAGGGAAAAAAAAGAATCCCTTTGAAAGCAAAGCAGAAAGAGTAATTGGTGTAAGAGTAAAATAATCCACAAATACAAATTATACATACAGCAGAAGGCAAAGAGGTTGCATGATGTTTGGTGCTACTCCGAACTCGGCAGAAATTCTCTTGTACGAGGGGATGTTATATTTGTTTTTTGTCTGGCTGAATGTATAAGGTCTACCGGCAAAACGCTCACACTTTAGATGCCGCCCATCTCGATAATAATTCTGCGTATCGTGAAATAAACATGAAACTGAAATAATACCCGTAGCGTGGAGGTCAGCTGCATGTCCAACATACATACACGCATACATATGTAACCCTTATTTAAACGCGAATTTTGGTGTAGCTACACTATATAGCTAATATCTTCGAGAAAAAAATTTGATCTCTAACACTGAAAAAAAAAAAAAACATACAAAACAAGCCGAAAAATTAGTAAAACTAATCAAACGTATTAAGACTTTTCCCACTTCGCTTAAAATCAGGACAAGTACAGTTCCTTAACTCATCGGGAAGTGCATTCCACTGCTGGGCGGAAAAATAGCAAAAAGAAGAATAGTCCAAAGATTGTCGTTCTAGGCTTGCTTAGAGCCAACATACGGGTACCGCGCAAATTATAGGTTGTATGGCGAACAGCAGACATATTCCTCACATAGGTTGGATAATGATTAAAAAATAGACTCTTGCAAACTAGTATTTAAAAAAATGTTAATGCGCTTGTTATCATACAAAGAATTTATTTCAACCTTGTTAAGCAGAGTGGTGTAGTGAAAAGTATAGTCATTTAAAATAAATCTAAGAATGCGCTTATCAAAGTGCTTTCAGTTTTTCACTGTTGCGTGTACCACAACTGAATGCCATACTGCACAATAATAAAAAAGTGTGGCAGGATGAATGTCTTGTAAAACTTGAACATTGTATTCTTAGAGAAGGTGTTGCGGAACCGTAGCATAACATTAAATTGATTTTTTTTTATTTTATTACAAACAGCAGATATTTGGCTGTCAAAGTTAAGTATATTATCTATAGTCATTCCGAATATGTCTAACTCGTAATTCACTGGAAAACAAAATTGGAGGTCAGTTTGACCTCTAATTAAAGCTTGATATTTCTTTGCGTAATTCACGATGGATCATGCCGTTTAGAATGTACCATTGGTTTGCCTTTTCGACGTCATTACAAATGTACTAAGGTAGGACAAGTGGGTCCACATCAGAGTGGTAGATCTGACGACAACAAATGTACCGTGGAACGCCACAACTGGTGTTGGCGCACCATAGCGCAAAATTCAGCTGCTGCGGCCTATATTTCATGTTTGGCCCATCCAGCCGTGCCCTTGCCTCTCTCCTTGTCGAGTGCTTGCTTCGTGTTTGTAAAAATTTCTCTGTACCTCGAGGTGAAATACTCTATGGGCGTGATATGCATGTTTTGCTCCTGGTTGAACAGCCCGTCAAGACGTGCAATGTTGTTTGCGAAATCAACCGCTGGCACCAGTTGTTTCACATTTTTCGTCAGCATCAGCTGATAGGAGTTGCCAACTAGGAGGGCAACTCGCAAGGCTCTGCCCCAATTTTTTCACCAACCTCGTCGGGATTTTGCAGTAATCCCGGGCTGGCCTTGAATTCTACTTCTTGTGAATTGCCTCATGTTGGCGTTTGGGAAACGCTTTAGGAACTCTGCAAGGGCCTTTGCCTTGGGAGCGACGGACGCTTTTTTTGGCTTGTGGCGTTGACAGCCACTTTGTAAAATCCATTTGTACATGTATAATGGTTGTACTCACGATCGTTGCGCGCCTTCCATTAACCACAATCGAGGAGAAGCCAGCCTATATCAGGCTTCCTTCCTGCTCCATTTACAATTCTTGGTATAATTTGAAAGTCCCAGCGACAGGTGTATTGATTAATCCTGATACTAGCAATTGACCAAACTCTGCAAATTTCCAGCAGAGCATTATACACTCTTGATCTTTTGGAAGAACAACTTAACACCATGTTCAAAAAAAAAAAAGTGAGTTCAACAGTGAATGCTGAAAGAAAACAGCCTGTTGGAGTTCTGGTGATCTATAATCTGAAAGACGAGGATGTGAGCAAAAACCTGGAGTTGGCCTAAAACTCGTAACTAAGACATACATAAAACCTTAAATTTTCCCGCCAGTTATTTCATTCGTTGCGATTCGATGGCGAAAACGGAAAATCTCCACAACAACGAACGTTTTCGATACAGGGGAGCGCCTATGACAGAGTCGATTACGTCGCTTCCCCACATCATGTGTTGCGTGCCGTTGACTGCGGAGATAAACATTGTGCATAGTTTGACAATTTCTGTGAGAGATGAGAATGGCGACCATACAAGTTATTGCAGCCTTCCTCGTTGCTGCTTCATTTCCAAAAGAGCTTCTCGCCTCAGAATGTAAGAAAAAAATGTGTGCTCTATTACCCAAGAGGCCGCTTTAGCTCTCGAGGGAGCGAAAAGGCGTTCTTCTACAGAGACTACTTAATGAGAAAAGAAAACAATATATTACCCCTTCTGCCAGAAATGTGCAGAGAAAAAATCAAAACTTTTTTTCTCCGAAATTTTGAAAGTGTCAGGTTTGCGGTGTGAAAATGACGTGTGAAGTTGACATGATTTGCCCAAAATGCGGCTTGATAAAACATAATGTTTTCTTGCCACAATCTCTCATGAGACAAATAGAAGAAAAGCAAAAAAGATTATTACTTGCTCAGAAGGGTCAAATATTTTTTCAACGCAAAGGTTTTAATCTTGATATTTTATTGATTGAGCAGGTTATTTTGGTTTACAACGCTGTAAATGAATTTGCCGCTTCTGATAAAGAAATAATAAAATATACTTTTTACATTCCCATAATTAATTACTGACTGTGCCAGTTCTGGCCAAACATCCACAATCTTCTTGTGTCTGATGCATCAGACTCACAAGCGGTTGGCATATAATAAAACATGGAAGACCATGGAATGGACTAGAGTGATAAAACCATGGCGTAAGGGCTGGTCGCGCGCGCAGGGGATATCTCTGAAAAGTAATCACTGGTAGAATCACAGCACTGCGCTGAGAAATTGAAGTAGCACATCTCTGAAAAAAAAAATACCTTTCCTGAACGATAAAATTGAAACTGAGGGAAACCATATCAGTGCAAGGATATCGCTGCAAGAATTATGACCATATAAATAGGCTACTATTTAGAATTATTTTCACAGTGTTTTTTTATTTTATTCTATTTTTTTTCTATTATTACCTGTTAACGTTTTGAAGTCGGTCACAAATAACTTGGAGAGATTTTTTTCCCATTTTCCATTATTTTGATAGAGCAGTTTTGCAGCTGTTACACAGAACCCCATCTAAGCGTCACATGTTCGCCCTCGTGGACCACAAGCCGAGCGAAATTTTTAACCTATCTGCGACCTATTGGCCTTGAGACCCTTCCCGCATATTTCACAGAAAACTTTGTCTTTTCTGCATTCTAAAGAGATAAGACAGATAACTAAGACGACGGTAATTTTTAAAACAGGCGCCATTTTTGTTTACTGCATGCGCTACGATCCAATTCCACCTAGAAATTCTGTCCAGCGGCTCGCATACTCGCAACATTATCACTTGCTGTTCCCTTAAGCTAGCTGCAACATTGTTGGATATTACATGTTTCGTCCGTTAGCACACCCTGTTGCATGTTGTTGTGCAATGTTTGAAACCGGTCAAGCTTTTAGCCTCTTGGAAACGGACGCAACAACTCCCAACATTGTTGGGCAACATCACGTCGAGATTGATTCTGTCTTGGAACTTTCGCGCACGGCTTTGTTAGGCTGCCACCTCGTGTCCTCGCCTCTTCGTGAGGCTGCTCTTTGGCAGGCGTAAATACTTTCTTAACGTGTAGAGATGCCAAGCTCATACCCAATGTAAACTTATCGTATTCCTGCGTGTCCTTAGGCAAGCAAATTTGCCGTTGAGTAATATCACTGACAGGAAGTTGAGCCGCGCTGGGACAAAACAAATAAACATTTTCATTGACGTCTGCCTTGCGTCTTTATGCCAAGCCATAAGTTGACAAACAATCAAAACGCTCTCAACTATATAGTTTGATTTTGCTTTAATATAAGTTATAAAGATAATCCTCAACACACTCCACGGCTTTGAACTAAACACGTTAGCTGAACAGTCTTCGTCTCAAAGCTTACAGCCCAGTATTAACCCTCGGACGTACGCGTAAAACTCATACCCCCAACGGGGTACAAGGGGGGGGGGGGGGGGGTTGTTGATGGGACCCCTCCCCAGATTTTTTGTTATGTTGCAGTATTTCGAGACGATTTTGCCTTTAGTGGATGGTGGCGCTGCTGGAGGGCCGTGACGTCACCAACAATGGTCGTCATCTTTGCCGTAAACTTGGATTTTACCAAGAACTAGAAATCAGGTTAAAATCGCGTTAAATGGCAATTTTTGTGCTTCACATGTAAAATAACACATAAATAAGCACTTTGTATCATTTCATCCACAATTTTTACTTTTAATTAATTGTTGATAAAAGTTGAAAAACATCTATTTTCACTCAAAAATGGCTTGACCACCTGCTACTTATGATGTCATATCTCGTACCATAGTAACTGACCATCACTAAACTTGTCTCAAAACTCGCGCGAGGGATAAACGAACTGCTACTGAAAACGTCAGGTGCTGATGCTTGATCATTTAGGAGAAAAATAAAAATAAAAAACTTCAGATGGCAACCATCAGCCCCCCCACCCCGTGTACGTCCGAGGGTTAAGAATCCTTTTTGTATAATCATTACGTTATTTTCATAAGATTACAATCACTTCATTAGTATATTCTTTAAAAATGTTAGTTTTTGATAATCTTACAGTCATCCAATAATGCTGATGGGCGACCCCAAAATTTCGACTCTTAAGCAAGGAAACCCACGGTAAGAATTTATATAAAACCGGACAAATCTGGCCTTGACGTAGTTCTTGAGTACATTTTTTACGATGCTAGTTCTATCTCTGTTTCCTGAGAACACCTGGAAATGAAGAACGTCAACTATTACTCTAGGTTTCAGCAATTAATTAAACACCTTAGAAACGTGGAAATCGACGCAAAACAAGTTACATTTACCTTAGCGTCATCTAAATTCAAAGGGTATAGACCTGTAAACGATACTAATGCTTATTTCAACCCAATACAATTAAAGCAAAACTTCGACTGGCTAAGCATAGTTCAAAGGCTGCCCAAGCTCGATAATTGACCGTTTAAACAACACATTTTAAGGTACATTAACCAATTCACGTAGGAACAAAGATGCGACTCTTTGATTAATGGCTCCACCCCGTGAGTCCTTAAGTATGATGGATCCTCCCGTAACCTTGATCAGTGCCTTGATTGTGCGTGACGGATGTTTCGAACTCAGCTATAAATCAGAATGCCTTATAATTTTAGCTGATCTTGTTTACCCTTTAATGGTCAATGAGATGGGGAATGAAATGGGGAATTTGCTAAGCCTTACGGCTGTGTTGTTTCATGGTTATTATTCCGTGGTGTATTGTGAAAGGAACAGTGATTTGATGAACTAGGATCGGTTACATGTTTCAATTTAAAGAATTCTCAAATGCAGTGTTTGGGCCTTCCTTTTGGGAAAATTTTCGCTCTAATATCGTTAATTATTGAGCAAACAGAGAGAGGGCTAGATCAAAGGCTAAATCGAAAGTCCTTCTGCTGAGAGTTTCTAAGAGGATACATATTTCTTGAACTTAAAATAAAGTTTACTCCTGGATCAAGGCCATCAATTCTTAGGCTCTTTAATCTAAATTAAATATCCCCTCCGCCTTTCATAGAACCCTTGAATTGCAAGAGAGCTGAAGAGTGGAAATTCATAGGCAGTTACTGCAATAATATCATGGGTAACGAATTACTCTTTAATTTTAACGCGAAATTTCAGCGATAATTTGTAATTTCACATGTGAAATCACAAAATTGCCGTGGCAACCTTCCGTAAGTCTCAGTGTCAAGATGGCGACGAAGTTTTAAAATGTCATGAATGAAGATGCCAGGGCATAAAAAGACGCTTTAGAAAACCTGAACGCACGAAAGAGCACATCAAGAAGGATTCTAACAGGTATTTTGTCAAAAACTCTGAACTTAAGCCAAATGTAAGCTCTAAACGTTCGAGAGAGTGCATGGAGTTCTCGATCAATACGATCCAGGATAAACATGTCCAAAATCTAAGATTGCTAACGTAATTCGTCACCCATGATATTGATAGGTAATCAAATGGTATACTCGTGAAATTAGGGAATAATTTCACTTGCGTTTTGTCCAAATCCTAATAAATTATAAGGATTTGGAAAAAACGCGCGTGAATTGAAATTATTCCCTAATTTCATTCGTCGCCATTTGATTACACATACTAACTTAACAATTTTTTTCCTGTATCTGGCTGATAATAACATTTCAGATCCAAATCACCAAAAATCTAATTTGCTCACCTTTTCGACGTTGTTTTCATAATAAGAGTTCCAGATGATTCCATCTAAAGAAAAACGTAATATGTAAGCAGTGACCCACTCATAGTCTGCTGCTCGTCCTTGCGTTTCCACTGCACATACATAGTACACTGTACCCATATCCACCTGGAGATACTCCGAATTGTTTCTACTTTTCGGACACCACGCCCCGTTTTGCCTGGTTTCATTCAGTCGACCGTAGTGTGGTAGCTCTGACATTCGATAACTTGAACTTGCCGTCATTCTGTTATCTGGAATCTTGTTGGTGTCCATTATCCCAACAGGGGGACATCCTGAAAAAACTAATCACAAGAATAAACAACACGGCTGAATTCGACAAGATGCAGTGATCATAACTTTTTCAGGCAGCCCACTATTTAAGTATTTTTCGCTTTATGGTTACTTTTTAGGGATAAAATTGGTGAATTTGGGTTCTGCTTCTAATTCAGCAATGTCATAAGTACGTCACATTGCGTTAATTGTATCAAGACGTTGAAAATGATGAATATCTTATGAGCAATTTTGCTGGCCGTATCATGATCGGTTTCAAAGTGATAGAAGGGCACCTCTAGCCTGTTCACAGAAGCCCTCTCCGTCGGGGAGAAAGACGTCTGTGTCATGCCGACATAAATCGTGTTTCGGTATACGTTTGTACAAATTATTTCGTTGTTCTTCCTTTAACAGTTGAAAAGGTGTCGACGGACCAACAAGACTGTTGCACAGCACGTACGCATTTTTTTTTTTCAATCTTTATAGGCCTTTATTAGAAAGCGGCTGTAAATAGAATATCTAGCTAAAATGTCAATTATATGCCTAGGACTTTTTTTCTTTACAAAAATGGGTACATAATGCTTCGAAAAATTCTGACACATGTTCTTTCGTCTTACACTGGGAAGTCATGAAGCCGGTCTGTTTACCTGTACATCGATGTCCTGTGGTTTCTGGTTCCGATCTCGGAAGCAGTTTATAGGCTCGATTTTCCAAAAAGCGGCTAGTATTCCAGACTAAAGCGGTTTATCAAAGTTTACATACCCAAAGAATCGAATAGTTCATTTCTATTCATTTAAAATTAGAGCAATTCTGTATTTCCGCTAACATTTACCAGAAATGAACGGAACAAGCAAGCCGATTTTTTCAACTTCCACGCTGAAATCTAGTTTTAAGATCTCTGACTAAGAGTGATCAGTAAGCGTTGAATTCGTTACTTCCTTCTCTTTACGTCCTTTTCGGTAAAGAACATATGTACCCACAATTTGTGCAGCAGTAAGATGTCCGTAAAGGCTGAGGTTTTTCTCGGGGAGTTCATTCACCAGTCACAACACCGAATTCAAATAACTTACGGTCCCCGGCATTAACATGACAACCAATCAGAGGCTTTTCCCGCGATGCATCCTTCGAAAAGCAGAACACGATTAGCATCGGCGTGAGATACGTCTCTCTCCCCAATTTTTTTTTTCTTTTTTTTTTGAGGGAACGGGGCGTCTCCACGCAGGCTAAGGAGCCTCCGACGTCCCCCACTCTTAGAAAGCTAGAAAAGGAGAAAGTATTTTGGCAATGGCGTCAACCTGATAAGTGTTGTCTTATTATCGTATCGAACGCAGATTTTTGAAATATGGTCAGGAAACGAGCAGCGGCCTTTCAAGTTTGAAACAACCAAGAGAGTTGGAAGTTCAGGGCTTGTACGGTAAAAAATAACTATTTTTAAACATGGATTGATGGTAGTCGACTCAGGCACGTAGGGCCAGCTGTGGTGCCACGGTTTGAAACGTGCGGAAAGAGATTCAAAAAACAAGGTTTCATCCACCGTTAACTGTTTTATTTTTTTCTACTTTATCAACGCGCGCTTTGTTGGGTTATTTAGTTGAAGTTTTCTCCGGACCGAGTTGGCTTTCCCTTTCCGGCGCTGACTCTCTTTCCAGGTCTGTTCACTGTGCCCCTGATGAGAATGACAGACCTTCTGAGCAGACTAAAATTTTTAAACTAATATCAGTCTATGTTCCCGTCTATATTAGTGAGCTCACTACAACTTAATAACAGTGTAACATAGCTATTTATCTATTTAGTTCTCGTACCATAGCTAAATGAGTATTTACCTCTTACTTAATGCTATGCATTCTTATTAAAAAATAAGTAACGTATTTGTGGCTATTTTTCCCGCAGCTACATGTAGTTTACGCTCAATGAACTAATGTGTGGTCATTCAACTATTGGTGTGGTTATTGATCTGTTGTGTACTTATTGAACTGCTGTGTGGTTATTGAACTAACAAAAAGGAAAACTACAATATTCCTAGTGTTAATTTACCTAAAAATTATTTTTACGACCATGAAATGACACTAACTCTTGTTTTGACTCTAAGAAGTATTGGACAAAATAAAATAAATAAAACTTACCTAAGCAATTTGGAACAGGGGAACTCCAACTCCTATTAGCTTGACAATGCATAACATCAGTCCCCACTAGAGTGTAATTCTTGTCACAAACAAACTTGACTGATCCACCATAGACGTAACCATTCTTGACAATCTGCTTTCCATTGATGGGTTTTCCAGGATCACCGCACTCAACAGCTATAATAATAATAATTGCAGAGAAACTAAGTTCTTAACCCTTTGACGACGGCTTTGGTAGTTTTCGTTCATGTGGAACTGCATATTTTTCTTCCTGGACCAAGTTAGCCTTCAGTTTAAACTAATAAATTGGCAAGAAACAAAGTCAGCAAGGATAGATCGCGCGCTCCATCGATACTCAATACTTGGATACTATGACCAGTCCTCACAAAAAAAGTATCATTTTGAGGAAAAATCCACCGCCAATTTCGTTGTTTACCTACTACATTTTGACGGCTACATTTGTCAATTTCCAGAAAACTTAGCCAGCCAAAATTCCATGCACGAGATAAGGGGGAAAACTGAAAACTGCATTTAAAAGAGAATTCCAAAAGGAAAAAAACAAACAAACAAACAAAGAGCTAGAAACTGAGAGATGCAATAAATGGGGAATAATCGTACCAAGTTTCGTTACACCTGCGGATAGTAATTTTGGCAGAGTTTCCAAGAACAACTTTAGCAACCTGATCGTGCCTCCAGTTCTTATAATGCTTTTGAGCTAATTTCTTGCATTCGGTTGCTATATGACTGATCGTTTCCTCCCTTTCGCCACATAGGCGACACATCGGCATTCAGTCTCTTTCTTAATTCAAAGTACTTTTTTGGAGCCAATCCAAATCCAATTGTTATTATTATCGTTATTATTATTTATAAAGGTCCAAAATTGCGTGCTAACTCATTTTGCTGTTCATCAAAAATTTGTCACTGGCTATTTTTTTTGAAAGTTGTGGTGGGATGTCCTGCGCAAAATTATAATTAAAAGAGACACGCAATTTGCCCTTGTAAATTCAAACCTCCTAGACATTATATAAAATGAAAATAACTTCAAGTTTCAAAATCAGCGCAAGCTATCTGGAAACCCAAAATAATATTTTACCTTTGCACTTTGGAGTATCACTGTTCCATATTCCCTCTTCACAAGTCAGTTCAGCCTTGCCTTCAAGTGTGTACCCAAGGTTACAAGAGTATCGAACTGTTTTTCCGTGCGTGTAGTTATTACCAATTTTAAGGCCATGGGTTATATCACCAGGCGATCGACAGGTAGCTTAATTGAAAACAGATGAACAAACTAAGTTTAACAAAAGAAGCAATTTCAGCATATGAAAGTTTTCTTTACGGCTCAAATTCCTTAAAAAAAATCTCGACTGAATAGTTTCGATTCTGCAGTACGAGTTCGCTAAATTTAATTGTTCAACAATTATTTAGTTTACGGATTGATGAAAAGCTTTTATTAATTTCCTACCCCTAAATTACAGAAATTATGTTTCGTCGACAATTTAATCAAACTATGCCTCGGAATTTTAAGGAGTAGTAGAAACATCAAGTGAGACTAGTGTCTATTATTCCCCTTAATTCTATCACACCTATGGCACTTACCTACGCAGCGTGGAACAGAGGAACTCCAACTCCTATTAGCTTGACAATATATAACATCAGTCCCCACTAGAGTGTAATTCTTGTCACATACAAACTTGACTGATCCGCCATAGACGTAGCCTTTGTTGACAATCTGCTTTCCGTTTGTTGGTTTGCCAGGATCACCACACTCAACAGCTATAATAAGTAAAGGGTGGTTAATTTTTTGCCTTTGTCGATTACATATAATAAAATAATACAAGAAATGAAGATTTCAGGGTATTAAGAAAAGCTTTGGCCTGCACTACTTGAATAGACGCACACGATCGAGTTAATCCTGCTCTTAACAGTTCAAAGTTGCGGGCTACTTAATTCACTTTGCAGCCATTACCGAAATTTCCCACGTCATATTTGAAAAGTTGCAAATAAAAATCAACGCAAGCTTAAATTTTGGAAAACAAGAATGAACGCTTACCTTTACACTTGGGAATGGCAGTGTTCCATCTTCCATTTACACAAGTCAGTTCAGCCTCGCCCTCAAGTGTGTACCCAAGGTTACAAGAGTATCGAACTGTTTTTCCGTGCGTGTAGTTATTACTGATTTTAAGACCATGATTTAAAACACCAGGTGAGTGACAGTTAGCTTAATCGAAAAGAAAAAATCAAGCTTAGCTAAAGTAAAAAGTAAGAGAAGAAAAGAAATTGCGTATCATTTCTTTGTTAATAAGAAACAAATTGACTGAATAATTTTGATTTTTGCTTTTTCCTTATTCAACTTAAGGGGTCTTTGAGGGCCTCACAAATTTAAAAATGAATATCGTCAAAATCGTTCAGACTATGACAAAAAACTTAGTAAATTTTCCTAAAAAAAATCTAAGAAAATTTTAAATTCATCACGTCCTGTACGTCAACTTTGACGTCACCATGGCAACCGAGGTTTACAGCGCTGTTTTACGAAATTATTTCAAGGTTGTACTTATTGAATTATTGTATCATGCTCAATTATACTCTGTTGATTTAATCCAGGCCTTTTAAAGAAACCATTAATTGTCTTCAGTTTCTCCTGGGACAACTGCAGTACCCGCGAGAAATGAAAAGCAAAGGGTATGTAAAACTTTGGAGCGCAAACGAGGTGTATTATGGGAGATGTGGAGATGGCGAATTCAAAAAAACCTGTGAATAGATGTTGGTTCAAATTTCAACAGTATTCACAGTGTTAATTACTAGAAGTTTATTATTTTTAATTTTTTTTTTACTTTCACTTCTACATTTTATAACTGTATTTTTACTTTACTTCTATATTTTGTTTTCTTTTTAAGCATTCTTTAATTCACAGATCGTATTTTCTATCATGGCGTCCTCGATTTACACGGGTTTTGAACAAAATTAAATTGAAAATTGCAGATTTAACATGGCAAATTGTTCTATAGTTCGTTCTCTAATAATAAACGAAGTCATCATGACGTCACTGCTATTGTTAAAGATTATCATTGTGTTAGCCAACTTCATGGTTGTTTCAGACATTTCAGTATTTTAGCGTTTCTTGCTTTATGGCTACTGTTAGGGGGAAAAATGATAAAATATGGGTTCTGATTATAACTTTAAAAATGTTACGTCATAAATACGTCAAATCGCGTTCGTTAGCACTAGATGTTGAAAATGATGAGTACCTTGTGAGGTGTAATTTTGGTGGATGTGTCATGATCTGTTCTAAAGTTATAGAGCGGAGCCTCCGATGTTCACCGGTCTTAGGAAGCCAGAAAAGGGAAAAAAGCATGGTCAGATAAGAATTAAACTTTTGTTTATTCCGAGTGAGTATAAGTTTATTTTTTGATACAACAACTTTTGTCGTTGTTTGTCGAACTTTTCTCGTTTAAAAGCTACAATATTGCTACTGCATATTTATGTATAGAACATGTTTTAACAACCACGAAATGCAACTGTTCTTTTTTACTTTTAAGAACTCTTGGGAAAAAGTTAGAACTTTAGCGGGACTAATGTCTCTTGTTTTCTCTTACCCATGAAACTTACCTAAGCAACGTGGAACAGAGGAACTCCAACTCCTATTAGCTTGACAATATATAACATCAGTCCCCACTAGAGTGTAATTCTTGCCACATACAAACTTGACTGATCCGCCAAAGACGTAGCCTTTCTTAACAATCTGCCTTCCATTGGTGAGTTTACCAGGATCACCACACTCAACAGCTATAAGAAATGCAAGGAAGCTAAATTTTTAACCTTTGTCCTTTACCAATAAACAAGTATGGGAAATGAAGATTACATGATACTAGGTAAAACGTTTGACTACACTTAAAGTAGCTGCACACGAGTTAAATCCTCTTTTAACGGTTAAAATTTGAGGGCTTATTTATTTTGCAGCTATTACACAAAAAATTTGTTCCGTAGTATTAAAAGATGCAAAAACAGCCACAACAACAACTATTTTAAGCTGCAAAATAAATACAACATTTTGTTTTGGAAAACAAAAAGACTGCGAACAGCTTGCGTGGTCGCAAGTGCCTTTCCCCTGTATGATTAAGCACGTGTTGCGCGTTTCTTAAAAGTCAGTGCCCGTAAATTTTCCAGCCTGAAAACATCTTCTTAAACAAGAACCTGAGACAACAAACTAACCAGTTGTTTCTTTAACTGATAGCTTCTTTTGCAACTCTGTTAAAACTATTATAACCTCAATCTTCAAGGTAAGTTCCTTAAATTAAAGCAGTCCGATTTCCCAGATAGGTCACTACTGAGACTTCCAGATACTCAGGTCCCAGCCGGGCTAGAGAATTTATAAAAGAACCTCAAGTTTCTAAATAACAAAAGCTGTTTGGAAAATAAACAACAATGATCGTTACCTTTGCACTTTGGAGTATTAGTGTTCCATCTTCCGTCCTCACAAGTCAGTTGAGCTTTGCCTTTAAGTGCGTACCCAAGATTACAAAAGTATCGTACTGTTTTTCCGTGCGTGTAGTTATTACCAATTTTAAGGCCATGAGTTATATCACCAGGCGATCGACAGGTAGCTTAATTGAAAACAGATGAACAAACTAAGTTTAACAAAAGAAAAAGAAGTAAGGCAGCATATAAAACTTTTCTTTATGACTCCGCAAATTCCTTAAAAAGAAAAATCTTGACTGAATTGTTTCGTTTCTATAGTACGAGTTCGCTAAATTTAATTCTTCGAAAAGTTAACTAGTTTACGGATCGATGCAAAGCATTAATTTCCTACCCCTAAATTACAGAAATTATGTTTCTTCGACAATTAAATCAAACTATGCCTTGGAATTTTATAAGGAGTAGTAGAAACATCAAGTGAGACTAGTGTCTTATATTCTCCTTAATTCTATCACACCTATGGCACTTACCTACGCAGCGTGGAACAGAGGAACTCCAACTCCTATTAGCTTGACAATATATAGCATCAGTCCCCACTAGAGTGTAATTCTTGTCACAAACAAACTTGACTGATCCACCATAGACGTATCCTTTCTTGACAATCTGCTTTCCGTTGGTTGGTTTGCCAGGATAACCACACTCAACAGCTGTAATAATTACAGGGTGGTTAATTTTTTGCCTTTGTCGATTACATATAATAAAATGATACAAGAGTTACGCATCAAGGTTCGAGTTTGGAGTTACGCTACTCGGTAAAGAGATTCTGCCGTCTCGTTCTGCAAACGATTTGGGGGTCATCGTGGACTCGCGCCTTAGTTTTGACGAACATGTGACCGAGGTTGTATCTAAGTGTAAAGGTAACCTGTGCCAAATCAATCGTGTGAAACATTTGTTTGATAGGTCTACCCTCATAACCATCATTAATTCATTAGTGTTCAGCAAGCTTTTCTATTGTTCGTCCATGTGGTCTAGTACTACAAAAAAGAACATTGCTAGGCTTCAAAAAGTTCAGAATTTTGCGGCACGGATTGTGACTGGCGCAAGAAAGTATGAAAACATCACGCTGATGTTAAAGGAACTCCACTGGTTGACGGTTGCTAAGCAACTGGAGGTTAGAGACATTTTAATGACTTTCAATTGTATAAAGGGATTAGCCCCACCATCCTTGTGTAATAAGTTTTCGACAAGAAGCCAGGTGCATACTAGAAATACTAGGAATAAAGATATACTTCATATACCATCTTTTAGATCAGCAACAGGTCAGCGATTTTTCTCATATGGGGCTGTTCAGCTCTGGAATGACCTTCCAGAAAGTTTAGCAAACATAAAGTCATTTAATGTTTTTAAGAACGCGATTAAAGGACGTGCACATGACTAGTTTTTAAGCCATTGACACTCAATAGGTGTAATTATGCATATTTTATATTTTTAAATAATATGGTAATGTTTTATCATTTTCAAATGTTTATTTTAGATTTCTATTGTTCATATTAGATTTTATTGTAACTGATATGGGAAAACCCATTTTGATTGGATGTACCAATAAAGTTGATTGATTGATTGATTGACAAGAAATGAAGATTGCAGGGTATTAAGCAAAGCTTTAGACTGCAACTTGAATAGACGCACACTCCTCTTAACAGTTTAAAGTTGCGGGCTTCATAATAGACCTATTCGGCAAACTCAATGTTGTACCCAATTCAAATCTCCCGGGAGTAAGATTCTTTGTGTATTGTATTTGCGTTATAATGTAGCATTCACATTTAAATGATATGGAAATTCCTGAAACAAAACGTTTTATTCCCAAAGGGTTTGAATTGGGTACAACATTGAGTTAGCCGAATAGGTCTATTCATTTGCAGCCATTACCGAAATTTCCCACGTCATATTTTAAAAGTTGCAAATAAAACAATCTTAAAGTCCAAAATCAATGCAAGCTTTAATTTTGGAAAACAAGAATGAACGCTTACCTTTACACTTGGGAAGGCAGTGTTCCATCTTCCATCTACACAAGTCAGTTCAGCCTCGCCCTCAAGTGTGTACCCAAAGTTACAAGAGTATCGAACTGTTTTTCCGTGCGTGTAGTTATTACCGATTTTAGAACCATTATTTAAAACACCAGGTGAGCGACAATTAGCTTAATCAATGCAAAAAAGAAAAAGTCAAGCTTAGTAACAGAGAAAAGTAAGGGAACAAAAGAAATTGCGCTTTCCTTTTTTTGTTCATAAGAAACTAATTGACTGAATTATTTTGATTTTGCTTTTACCACATTCAAGCCAAGGGGTCTTTGAGGATCTCAAAAATTTAAAAATGAAGACCTTTAAAATCGTTCAGACTATAACAAAAAACTTAGCAAATTTTCCTAAAAATAATCTAAGAACATTTTAAAATCATCGCGTCTTGTACGTCATCTTTGAAGTTACCATGGGAACCGAGGTTTACAGCGTTGGTTTACAAAATTATTTCAAGGTTTACTTATTGAATTATTGTATCACGCTCAATTTAGAATTATTCTATTTATTTATTGTAACTGTCGATTTGCTCCTGGCCTTTGGATGAAAGTATTGTCTTCAGTACCTCCTGGGATAACTGCAATACCCAGGGGAAATGAAAAGCAAAGGTTATGCAAAACTTTGGAGGGCAAACGAGGTGTACTATGGGAGAAGTGAAAATGGCGAATTCAAAAAAACCCGAATATAAAATGACTTAATGGTAGATGTATGGTTCAAATTTCAACAGTGTTAAACATTTACATGTATTTTTTACTTTACTCCTAGTTTATTATTTTTATTTTTTGCTTTTTAAGCATTCTTTAATACACAGATCATATTTTATACCGCTTTGTCCTCGATTTACACCGCTTTTGATCAAAATTAATTCAAATAAATTGCAGATTTAACGTGGCGTTGTTCTAGTTCGTTCTCTAATAATAATCAAAGTCATCATGACGTCACTGCTATTGTTAAAGATTATCAGTGTGCTAGCCAACTTCAAGATTTTTCAGACATTTCAGTATTTTAGTATTTCTCGCTTTATGTTACTCTAAGGGGAAAAAAGATAAATGTGGGTTCTGCTTATAACTTTGACAATGTTACGTCATAAGTACATTTAATCGGGTTAATTATCCCTTGATGTTGAAAATGATGAGTACGTTATTAGTTATTAATTTTGGTGGATGTGTCATGATCTGTTTTCAGGTTATACAGGGGAGCCTCCGATGTTCACCGGTCTTGGAGAGCCAGAAAAGGTAAAAAGCGTGGTCAGATTAGGGTTAAGATTTTGTTATTTTGTTTATATTTTGATACAACGAACTTTTCTTGTCTTTTGTCGAACTTTTCTCGTTTAATTTAGCTACGATATTGCTACTGCTTATTTATGATTGTATTTGAGATCATGTTTTAACAACCACGAAATGTAACCATTGTTTTTTGCTTTTAAGAACTCTTGGGAAAAAGTTAGTTAGCGGGACTAAAGTCTCTTATTTTCTCTTACCCATGGAACTTACCTAAGCAACGTGGAACAGAGGAACTCCAACTCCTATTAGCTTGACAATAAATAACATCAGTCCCCACTAGAGTGTAATTCTTGTCACAAACAAACTTGACTGATCCACCATAGACGTAGCCTTTCTTGACAATTTGCTCTCCATTTGTTATTTTGCCAGGATCACCACACTCAACAGCTATAAGAATTGCACGGGAGCTAAATTTTTAACCTTTGTCCTTTACAAATAAACAAGTACGGGAAATGAAGATCACAGGATATTAGTAAAACTTTTGACTACAATTAAAGTAGGTGCACACGAGTTAAATCTTCTTTGAACGGTTAAAATTTGAGGGCTTACTTATTTTGCAGCTATTACACCAAAATTTGTTACGTGGTATTAAAAGTTGCAAAAAACAACAACAACAACTTTAAGCTCCAAACTCAATACAACATTTTGTTTTGGAAAACAAGAAGACTGCTAACAGCTTGCGTGGTCGCACGTGCCTTTCCCGTGTATGATAACGCGTGTTGCACGTTTCTTAAAAGACCCCTAAAATCAGTACCAGCCTAAACCCATTTTCTTGAATCTAACACCTGTGTCCCCAAACTAACCAGTTGTTTCTTTAACCGATAGCTTTTTTTTTTTTAACTCTTTTAAAGCCATTCTAACCTCGATCTTTAAGGTAAATTCCTTATTAAATTATAACACTCCGATTTCCCGGATAGGTCACTACATAGACTTTTCAGAAACTCAGGTCCCAGCCGGACTAGAGACAAGCTCAAGTTTCTAAATAACAAAAGCTGTTTGGAAAATAAACAACAATGATCGTTACCTTTGCACTTGGGAGTATCAGTGTTCCATCCTCCGTCCTCACAAGTCAGTTGAGCCTCGCCTTCAAGTGCGTACCCAAGGTTACAAAAGTAGCGAACTGTTTTTCCGTGGGTGTAATTATTGCCGACTTTAAGGCCATGATTTATATCACCAGGCGATCGACAGTCAGCTTAATTAAAAACACAACAAACTAACTTCAACAAAAGAAAAAAGACTGTAAGGCAACAAAAGAATTTTTTTTTTTATGACGCAAATTCAATAATTAACTAGTTTACGGATTGATGAAAAGCAGTAATTTCCTACCCCTAATTAAATTACAGAAATTGTGTGTCTTCGACCATCAAATCGAACTATATCTGGGCATTGAAAAAACATGTGAGGCTAGTGTCCTTAATTCTCCTTATTAATTCTCGTACACCAAGAGAGGATAAAGGGGACAGAGAAGGCATCCCCCATACACACCCTATTCCATAGGTAATTCGTCTCGAGTTATTTTTAGAATCGGTATAAAGTTACCTCGCGTGCTGCGTGGATGTGTCGTGGAGGTTTCGTATGTCTAGACGCTGTGAAAAATATGTCGGGCGAAAGGCAATGAAAGCGTAAAGAGATCGAGAACATTCCTGAATATTGAAGCGAAATGAGTCGGCGCTCACTTGGGAAAAGGGAATCGCTGTACTCTTTGACAACCCGTGGAATCAGTTTACTCGAAGTTGTCGTAACCTCAGTGCCTTAATAAAATGAGAACTTTCGCCGGTGTATTGAAACCGGTCTTTTGTACAATAAAGCAAGTAGGACGCCAAGTGTTTTTTTTTTTTGTTGTTGAATAATAAAAGACTAATAAAAGAATGAATATCAAACCAGAAATTTCTCTCTTCAAACTGTAAATTATAAATAATCTTGAGAGAATATTCAGTGTGTTAAGGATTTCCGTGCTGTACTGTTAGCTCTATACAAAAGAGGAAAGGAGATTCTTTTTTGCAGTCAAACCAAGTCAAGCGTACCCCCCAAGATTTTACCAGTGAATTGATTATTTGAAAAATGAATCCGTTAGTCGTTCCCGTAACTGGTGTCAAATTCAAAGCGCCATTTCTGCATGCGTAATGAGCAGTGAATATTTTACGAGAGCTTCTCTGTATTTGGTCAGATTGGAAACCTTTGAGTGGATTAAGCTTCTTAGAAGACATTTACATCAATTTCAGGAAAGTGGAGCTGGTAGAAATTTCATAACTTCCTCGCGTGTGAATTCACGGCTCATTACACATACAAAAATGCAGAGATCAATGTGCAATCTACAACTAGCAACGGATTCAACTTTCGAATACTAAATTCATTAATGCATCCTTGGGGGGTACACTTGATTTGGTTTGACTATAATTTCCGTTTCGCTGACTCATCGTTAGCTGAAATCTCTCTGTAGTCGTTTTCTTCAACAAAACGAATTGCAATATCGCTCTCCGAGTCTTCCGCCATTTCGTTCTGCGTCGATTCGTGAAGGACGCGTGGCTCCAAACATGGGTCATCCACGCGGGACACATTCGCGCTATTTGATTGGCTGTTGTCTAATCCCCCGTGGGATCGGTGGTCTTAAAAATAACTCGGGACAAATTACCTATGGAATAGAGTGTGTATGGGGGATGCCTTCTCTGTCCCCTTTTTCCTCTCTTGCTCACACCCATGGAACTTACCTAAGCAACGTGGAACAGAGGAACTCCAATTCTTGTTAGCTTGACAATATATAACATCAGTTCCCACTAGAGAGTAATTCTTGTCACAAACAAACTTGACTGATCCACCATAGACGTGGCCCTTCTTGACAATCTTTTCTCCATTTGACGGTTTCCCTGGATCATTACACTCAACAGCTATAATAAGAATTATAGGAAAGTGAATATTGCCTTTGTCGCTTACATATAAACTAGTATATGAAATCAAGATTGCAGGGCATCAAGAAAAACTTTTTACTACAACTTGGATAGATGTACACGAGTTAATTCTTCTTTGAACAGTTCAAAATTTTGAGCCAATTCATTTTTTAGCGATAAAACCAATTTCCACGTCATTTCAAAAGTGGTAAATAAAAAAACCAGTCAATGCTCCCACAAAATCAGCCGAAGCTTTTATTTTTAATTTTAGAAACAAAAATCAACGCTTGCCTTTGCACTTTGGAGTATCATTGTTCCATCTTCCGTCTTCACAAGTCAGTTTAGCCTCGCCTTCAAGTGTGTACCCAAGGTTACAAAAGTAACGAACTGTTTTTCCGTGCGCGTAGTTATTACCAAATTTAAGGCCATGATTTGTATCACCAGGTGATTGACAGTTAGCTAAATTAAAAAAAAAAAACAAAGAAGAAGGAGAACAAATCAATCTTGTTTTTTTCCTTGTATGACGACATAAGTACGTTACATTGCGTCATTGTTTCTATTAAATGCTGGAAATGATCATTACATTTATTTTAATAATTATGGAATTTTGGTAGCTGTATCATGATCGGTTTTAAAGTGCCTCCAAAGCCTACTGTCTTAGGAAGTCAGAAACAGAGAATGCACGGTCAGTATAGTGTTAAACTTATTTTTATTTCGAGTACGCTAAGTTAACTTGTTCATACAACTAACTAGCTTAAGTCATATTAAAAAGTGACAATATTTCCACTCCTCATTTCTTCGACCTTAAAATCTAACTGTTAGGGAGTGTCCAAAAAATTTTATTAGTAAGTGGGATTAATGTCATGGATTTTACCAAAGCAACGTGGAACGGGAGAACTCCAACTCCCGTTGGCTTGACAGTATATAACATCAGTCCCCACTAGAGTGTAATTCTTGTCACAAACAAACTTGACTGATCCACCATAGACGTAGCCTTTCTTGACAATCTGCTCTCCATTTGATGGTTTCCCAGGATCACCACATTTAACAACTATAAAAAATTTTAGGGAAGTTAAACTTTTAACCTTCATTTATCGTTTATATTGTAAACTATTGAAGAAAATCAACATTAGGGGATATAAAGACTACAAGTTGGATAGACAAACACACGTTTTTTACTTTTTGTTTTTTTTTTTTTCAAAAACGGTTCAAAATTGCGCTCTAATTCATTTTGCAGCCATTGCAAAAATTTACCAGGAAATTTTGATAGTTGTGGTGAAGCAAAAACAAACCCTTTCGGCTCTTTTCCGTCCGATAACGCATTTTTAGGAGATAGTCCAAATTCAAGACTTTAGATTTGAGAAGATAAATTAATGTAGACATAAGCTCGACGTTGTAGCAAAATTTGAAGAAAAAGCGCCTGCCCAGGGAATGATTTGGAAGCGCGAAAGATGTCCTTCAATTACAATGATGTTAGCTAATGTTCTTAAACAGCGCAAGGTTTTGTGAGAATCGCGGCTTGAAGACTTGTTAGCAATAATATGATCTGTAAATCTATTTTTAAAATCTCTTAACAGTTATTAACATTTTATTTTAGATACTACGCCTAAAACAGATTTACGGCAAAACGTTTAGGAAACCAGTTTGCCAAATTCTTGAAGACCGAGATCAGCTCGCTTGGTCGCACGTGCCTGTGGTATATAGGATACGTGATTCGCGTTTCTCAAAAGTCCCAGTTAGTTTAAAGCCATATTATTAAATCAAAGCCTAAATCCCCTAGCTTACAAAGCAAAATGATGGTTGGGTTTTTGTCAGTGCTACATCAAGCTGTACGTATAAATTACTTAACAGTCGATAACCTACTTGTACATTCAGGGATGGTCTCATTCCATGTCCCACTTACGCAAGATATCTTTTCTGACCCAAGGAGTTGGTAACCAACGTTGCATCGAAATTGAATGGACGAACCAGAACTGTAATCCTCTCCGATGATTGAACCATTTATGAAAGGTTGTGGATTCTTGCAGTTGCCTTTGGAAGAGAAAGAGAACAAAAATGTTTTATTTATCTATTTATTGTTATTTATTTATTTATTTTAAAAAAGAAGCTAAAAGAATAGTTCACTTAATTTTGCTCACAGGAGAAATATTTCACCAAAAAGTCTAGTCCATTTTCATATCTCAAACCTTCACAAGTTGGAATGCTGCCGTTCCATTTTCCTTGAACACATCTGATTTGCTTCAAACCTTGCAACTTAAATCCCTCATTACATGAAAATGAGGCTAATGCTCCATTTTCATTGGCATTGTTGTGTATTTTTCCATTCCTAAGGATTTGTAGAGGATCACAAGACGCTAAAGATGAAACGAGAAGTCAAAAAAGTAAACACGTTATCAGTGTCATAACATACCCACTAAAGTTTGATACGATTATTTAGCCATGAGTTATGTTCCCGTTTCTCCGGAATGTTGGGGAAAGCCCCTGATTGGTTGTAATGTTAATGCGATGACGCAAATAATTTCCAGTACTAGTGTTGTTACTGGTGAATAAATCTCAGAATAGATTCCCCAGGGAAAACCTCAGCTTTTGTGGACAGCTTAACGCATTTAAATTTGTTTACTTGTATTACCGCTCTGTGGAATAGGCATGTCAAGTTAACGGACCACCGATGTTTGCTGCACCGGTTGCCGGTGCGTCTGTTCCCTGTCGGTGGCTATTGTAAATACCGTATTTATTCCAATAAGCGCCCAACCTCGAATTAGCGCCCACCTCGAATAAGCGTTCATCCTAAAGGCAGAAAAAGTTAATAAGCGCCCAGCCTCGAATAAGCGCCCACCCCCTCCTCCTCCCAATCAAACTCAAATAAGCGCTCACTCCCACCCTACCCACTTGAGTGAATAAATTTTAATAAGAGACTTCCCCGAGGACAGAGTTTTCTTCATAGTATTTAACAGAAACCTTGCTTTGTTACTTCTTCGCGTTTTGTTATTAGCATTTATTGTTTTGTTGCAAAATGAACATACTTCACTTGTTGAAAATGGTGAAAATGTAATAAGCGCCCAGCCTCGAATAAGCGCCCACCTCGAATAAGCTCCAAAAATTTAATAAGCGCCCAGGGTGGTTTATCGAATAAATACCGTAAAAGAGAATGGTGTACAGAATTCAACGCCTAATCAAAGATCGTATATCTGGATTTTAGCATGGACATTGAGTGAAAATGTTCGGCTAGCCTGTTACAGACGCCCCCTGGCGTCTGTAAAAGGCTTATTCGGCCGACATTTGCCGGTCATGACTCGTAGAATTAAGCAAAAGTAGAGCTGTTTCTATTATAATTCCTTGCTGAAGAAAAGTGAACGATCCTTTGCGTGAAACCTACTCGAAATATCATTGAATGGATCAACTCCTGCATAAAACGTTTGACTGGAAACGTAAACAGTGCTTCCGAGATCAAAACTCTGTCAAACAGAAAACCACTGGAAATCGATACACAGTAAACAGACGCATGAGCTAAAAGAAGACCGAAGAATGTGTTAGAATATATGAAGAAGGCATAGTATACTCGTTGTAAATGACATTTTAGATAGATATTCTAGTTAGAGCTTACTAGCTTAGCTATAAACTTTGAGAACATCCGAGACAATAACTGCGTACGTGCTCTAAAAAAGTCCAGAGTAGTGTTGGTCTGTCAACACCTTTTCAACTGGCAGAGAAAGAAAAAACAAAAATAATAATTTATGCAAATGTTACCGGAACACGATTTACGACGGCGATTCACAGACGTCTCTTCTCCCGATTTTTTTCTGAGGAAGATGGGACGTCTGTACACAGGCTAGGTCCACGCCACTGATTTGAAGTTCGCCATCTTTACCTACCTGGAGCAGAACATCCATAGAGCTCCAATCTAAGACAAGGAACAACAGGAACTGTTGAATCCATCAAAAATCCAAACGGGTCTTTTGGGTATATCCTGATTGATCGTGTCCTGATTGGTGGCTTGAAGACATTATTTTTCAAGGATCTGCTGTTTCGATTACCTGTAAGTAGCTGTAAACAGAAAAAAGGTGTATCTTTTATATTGCTAGCTCAGTAGTAGCTATGTTAGCGAAGAAAATTATGGAGCTTTGTTAGAGATAATGTTTGTAAGAATAAATGTATTTGTAATGTGTCATCAATAATTTGCCGTCAGCCAATTTTTTCTCAATTTTGGGTCTGTAACGTTATGAACGCCACAGTAGTTTAAGCTCCGCGGAACGTTCACAATAGTAATAGAATACAAGATATATGTCAAGAATGTTGTTATGTTCCGAAAAGATCCAAGGAGATGTCAGGAATCTAAACCGCAAGCATCAACACCTTAATGGTGATTATCTTATGGTTTTGCTATTTGCTTGCGTTTTGTTCCCTTCAATGTGAATGGTCATGACAAATTAATCATTCCGAGAAAAAGTGGTTTGGTTTGTTTCGACGAAAGTAACTTTATAATGTTGGTAAAATCACCACTGTTAGCTTTCAGAAGAGTTACCTTTTTGTACGATGTCCATTTTTCGTCTCTCATGTAAGTAACTTCAAAATTTCTGGCCCAACTAAAATCGCGAAAACTTCCCTGGGTTGTTATCGCTGTTATAAGGTTTTCTTCGTCCCAAGTAATTTGTATATAAGGTGATTGATCTCCCGGAGCTGAGCACCAGGCACTCGGTCCATCCAGCCGTGCAAATACAGGTGCGTGATTGGCGCTTAACTCAGATGATGACGTAATACCATTATCTGGGATTCTTTTGTCTTGCATTCCAAGTTCGCTGCTACATTTTAATGCTTAGAAACAATAGATACGTAAGTATAATATCACACAAATAGAACTTATATTTACGAGTCACTAATGGACCTGATCGTATCGAGTAATGGTGGCTCATCAGTAACATCATAAAAGATAACGTCAGATGCAAAAGCTAAAAAAAAACGAGTTTGCAGAGTAGGTTGAACGTGACGTTAAGACTTATATCTGGATAAGCAAGGCCAAGACGCTTCTCAATTACATGTCTATAAAACAACTGATGCATTATTTTTTTAATCCTAGTGATAGCCACTGAATTTTTACTTGAACCTGTCTTTAAACTTGCGCATGCGCCTGTATATACGACGGAAACGCCGATAACCAAGACGTAGGTGCTTTGTAATGCTGCTAAGTCATCCCTAACCGTCTCCTATTTTCCCTTGCGTTCACTTTCAGTTTTGTAAATGAGCGCGATACAATGCGATAGAAATATGGCTGATAACAAACGTCATTTGAGTAATTCCGATGTATTACAAATTATCGACTCAAAAATGTTGTTTTTCTTTGGTTTTAAGAGTAACCAAACGCTTCAGACCATGTTTCAACGCAATACCACACCAACAATGACTGCTTTAATTAAAACTGAGTGTTTTATCCTGAATGCTTAATCACATAATTGGTGCTTCATCTCTCCATCCTATTTTTGCACATCAAAGCTATACTTCCTTAATATCTGGCACGTACGTACGTACATAAAAGTTATTACACCGTTGTTAAGTTGGTTTGTGGTGAGATTTTTTTTCCTTCCGTTGTGTAGTGCAAATTGTCGACACACACTAAGGTTAGCACACTCTCAAAGACCAGCCATTTGGATCCTAAAATCACCTTAATATTGATACTTACTTGCACTTGCAGAACGTTGACCAATGAAAATCAGTAAAGCCGCAAATAACCACATTAAAATCTGATGAAAATAAGACGATAAAAAAGAAAGTATTCGGACTTTTACTTAAATGAGTATTACATAGATGAATAGCGATTTTTTTCTTTTCTTTTTCAGGTGAAAACTTTGACACGATTCACAACTATTCACTAGAAGCCATACCTCTTTGTTCATTTGGAAAAGAAATAATTATAATTATAATTATAATTATAATTATTTCTTTTTTAAAATTATAATTATAATAACCCAGAACAAGCTAGTTAAAAAACCAAATGCAATGAATTAAAAGAGCGAGTTTCACTTGACATTTGTCGTCTCGCGTCATTTCTACTTTTTAGAGGCTGCTACACACAAGTATATTGCTGAAAATAGTTTTTGTCAGGATGGAAGCCGTTTTATTTTCATATGCGGTCAATGTATAAAAATCTGAGCAGAATACCATTAGGGCTTTTAGGTCTTTTGTTTCAAATGACGGAAGCCAAATGTTATGGCACGTCCAATCGAGACTTAATCGAATGAATTCAAACGAAGAGGAAATGTTTCACCGACTAATAGTTTACTGTTATCAGTGGACTTGCAGCTCAAATCATGCGTTTTATAAACCTCTGGAAACCTCTTCATACATGCTGGTAAAGCTTAACTCTTCGAAGCAGGTCTGTGGCGTAAAGGCCTCTGACGTGCACAGTGTTTAAGCTAGCCGATGGTTTAGCATGAAAAAAAACTTTTTTAGAGACAACAATTACTTTTTGTACCTTAACTGAACCTACCTGATAGCCAAGTGAAAACATTTCGAAAACTGGAAAAATGACACAACCATCAACTACTTGGAGATGGAATTCCCAGCTGAGTCTCTATTGTTAACTTTGAATCCGTGCTAGTCTACAAGGGATCCTTCAACTGATTATCGTGCAACGGCTGTTAACCTTTTAAGAAGCAAGAAGGTCACGTTTTCCCAAAATGACATCCTGCCAGTAAAGAGGGTGACGTAATTGGTACATTGCTGTTAGGGAGAGGTTTGGAAAAGAGGGGACTGACAGGATCGAGTGGAAATGTGCAGTATGGCCGGTACATGTATCGCTTTGAGTTATACGGCTCTCAAGTTGTATTATCAAAGACTTTTGTGTAGCGGGATAAAATCGGAAAGGTTAGATTTTACGGGGTGTTGTCTGGTATTTGCCTAAATTGAGTAATTATAGTTAACAATTAGAATTCCTTATTTGGGTCTTCAAAAACACTGCTGAAGACTATCAATCACAAATGATATCATTTGCCAACATAAATATTAATGCTCCATAGAAGCTGAAAAGCTCGCGTCTTCCCGTCACGAGAGACATGCAACAGCAGTGCCTGGCTGTCCACTAAGGCCTACGGAAGCAAAATCTGGGGAGATGATTATAAATGCAAGGTTCTGCGACAAAAAAAAAAGCCTATTGCATGGCCGTTACCAAGACATTAACATTGTCGGTTTTAGAACAAGTCTTTTCCTTATTTACAAATTGTTACAGGCGAAAGTGGGGCAGTGAAGTACATCATTCACCTCTCGAATGATAGCACCGGAGCGCTTAGAGACGTCGACTGCCTGACTTGCCTCTTCCAGGAAAAATCTTAAGGATTTATGACATCACTGGTTTGAAAGTAGGGAGATGGATTGTATAAATCTAGCGTGCTCCAGATTTACAGGCGACGTGGGTTTACTAATGATTACAGCTAAAGATGAATGCCCCCCAGTATCCCCCCTTATTCTAATGTCTTCTTCAATAAAAAACGAAATTATTACTGAAAGAGAAATATGATTTAATTTTCACTAACGAATCAACTTACGGCAGTCAAAAATATAAGGAATATGTTTAGAAATAGCAACTGTTAAGTCTATGAAGCCTCCTGACTGCTTAAATGATCTGAATGACAACAGATCCTTGATTTGGGACTTTAAGAGAGTATTGTTTGTCTCTCACGAAGTCGATACAAACCTCTAACTCAAAAAAAAAAATTTCTACACAAAATTCACACTGGTTATAGACTGATCCTCGATCCATCAATTACCATAAAAAACAGCCATTGAAGCTTTTTAATTTTTAATCAATAATAATAATAATAACCTTTATTGAGATGACTTTTTCATATAAAATATGGTTTTCAAAAAGGATCTCACAAAATTTAAAAAATAAATAAAAATAAAAAAACAAAAAATACACACAATTCACAAAGACATCAAAAATCTAAAATATTATAACCGTTTCCATTATTAAGACTCCATTCATTAGCCATGGGCCTCCTTTAATACGGCTTCAACCTTCATTGATAATTTTATTTATCCAGTCAATGAATGGATACACCCTGGTGTAGTAGGTATACTGATTTTTTTGGGCACACCCCTCTCCCCAGCTGACAAGGCCGGTAGCGATCCATCTGTAACCGTCACCTCTTCTTGATTCGCGAACAAAAGCCCCTCCGCTGTCACCAGAACAGGTATCTTTTACACCTTGTCCGTCCCCGGCGCAGAAGGTTACTGTCGAGTTGTATGGTAAAGCTGATCTGTTTGCGCAAAGTTGGTCGTGTTGAACCGGAAAAACAGAGTATTGAAGGGTGTTGGCATATCGCTCAGCACCTCTGGGGCTCTCTCCAGGCTTCAAGGCTTTTGTTGATCCCCATCCAGCTACAACGCCGTATTTCAAAGGAACTGCCACATCGCCTTCCTGTTTTTGGGGGAGGCACACAGTGCGAACAAACTTACCAAGCTTCACTCCTGCTTTAAGTTTGACGAGAGCTATGTCATTCACATATCTTGTGTGAATGTAATTCGCGTGAACATAAATTTTCTCTAAGTCCATGAGCTGTTCAGACTTTTCTTTCTTGGATAAATTGTGGTCACCTACTTTTAGAAGGTATCTACAAAAAAAAGGAATAATAAAAAAGAAACTACGAATAATATATTCGTACACTTCTGTAAAGCATCCCCAGCAACAGCATGTTCTCCAAGCAAAGATAGCAACATGCATTGACATTTCTCATACCAGAAATTTGGTAAACAAAACTACAGTGGAACCCCGTTAATACGACCACCGTTGGGCCATAAAATCCTGGTCGTAAAAACGAGGTGGTCGCATTAACGGGGTCCTCAAAATAATAAAATGAGTCAATGGTTTTTACGTTTGGTTTGAAAGAATATGGCCGTAATAACGAGGTGGTCTTATAAACGGGGTGGTCGTAAGGCGGGGTTCCACTGTAAATTTGAAAAATGTTTGAGAAGCACCCAACATAAACAATTGAGTACGAGTAAGTTCCACCAGAAGGTGCATTTATCTGAATACCATTAATGGATGGTAGTTTGCCATTTGCATGGGCGAAACTTTCGGTCGGTTTAGGCGAACGGCAAGCACAATTCAGGATTGGTAAATTTCATTCCGGAATCGTGTTTAATTATTGGTTGTTTACCAGTACAAAAGTTTCCGGAAAATCCGGTCGGAAAGTAAATGGAACATGACTATTCAGTCGATCCAGCGGAAAATTTTCGGGAGCAACGAAACACTTGAAAAGGTTAAGTCCTGTTTTTCCGGACGGAATATTCAAAACGAACATTCGAATTCCATTTCTTCAAAACTATCTTTGATACCGTTATTAGGCCTTCGCGGTTGTTTTCCGGTAAATGGAACAGATTTGTACAAATGGTAAACGCTATTTCGGGACGAAATTTACCAGTCCTTAAGTTTGCGTACCAATTGCTTAAACCGTGGACCGCTTTTCACCAGCCAGTTCCATTTACCAAAAAACGACCTCGAAAGCCTGAAGACTGGTATCAGTTATGGGATATCACAAATGGAACACGCATTTCCGTTTGGAACATCCACACCGGAAAAACAGAACTACCTTTTCAGACGGAAGTTTTCCGGTGTAAAGACCCAAAAAGTTGTGTTCCATTTACTTTCCCACTGGATTTTCCGGAAACGTTTTGAAAACAAGCAGTATTACTTCAGGTTGCAGTTTATTATAAATCCTGATTGTCTAATGCGGATCTAAGGTGAACTCTGAGTTTCTTTTTGCTTCCAGGCAACCAGGCCTATAATAAATCTCTCAAGAAAACGAAATTTGTGACGCTTTTATTAAGCAAATGCAAGGAAGGGACAAACGCTCGATCACTACAGCAAAGCCAGCGGGTTTTTGCATCATTCGGGAAACTGAAGCTAAACAAATGTATTTTTGCGTCCGATATCTTTCTGTCAAGTTTTCAGGTTTTTATGGTATTTTCTAATTATATTTTGCCTCAAAAACCTGTTGCTCAGACACCCAGTCTACTTTTCTGTAAATCCTGCTTTGACGCCCATACCATTTTAATAAATAATATATAGATTTAGCCAGGGCTAAGAGCGAAACTCCCGTTAATAAATTCATAATTTGAATCAAACAATAAACTTGTAATCCACAGGGCACATTCATGTGACTTCTGAGGCAAAGGCTAAGTGATTTTAGAGAAAAATAATTTGACAGTCCAAGAGTGAAACAAATTTTACATTGAGTTGATAATCTCATTTGTACACCCAAAAATAGCAATCATGTTCGATCACAGTATATTCAAGGCCTGGAAAACAAATAGACGTATTCGTGTACAGTGGAACCCCACCTTACGACCACCCCGTTTATAAGACCACCTCGTTATTACGGCCATATTCTTTCAAACCAAACGTAAAAACCATTGACTCATTTTATTATTTTGAGGACCCCGTTAATGCGACCACCTCGTTTTTACGACCAGGATTTTATGGCCCAACGGTGGTCGTATTAACGGGGTTCCACTGTATTGTACTGATTTAAGTCACCCACCGCATTTAATTTTACAAGTTTAATTCACAGTCTCTCCAGCAACTCCGTTTGAGAGACTATGGATAATTGGACAGCCCCAAAATATAATTTTATGAAACACACGATAGTCCTCGGTGGCAGCCAATTTACACGTTCCATTCCTTTGTCTAAAAGGGAGGCCAAAATGAAAAATCAGGCGACATTTTTTGTGTTCGACCGAGTTTACTTTACAAGTAAATCTTGACGACAAATCTGGTAGCGTGTAAACCAGCCTTTTAAACATACTTTTTTTCATTGCGTCTGAGGTAAACAGTACTATGATGCGCTGTTATTTTTTTTTAAGATACAGACCTCGGACAGAATTTGTTCTTTTTCGCCCTATATTTAAACCTATAATTCTGCAGGTTTTCACAATTTTCCAAGACAAATTGCACTCACATTCAATATCCAGGACGATCGAAGCACGCGCTACCTTTGCACAACAAATTATAGCACTGACCACATTATAAAACGTTTCCATGAAGAGAATTCCATAATGCCGCGATTCAGTTAGAAAAATCCTAGCCCGCGAAAGCATCCGTTTCTCCTTCGCTCTTCGCCGCTGGGGACGTTTCGCGTTTCCTCCTGGCGAAACGTCCCGAGCGGCGATGAACGAAGGAGAAACGGATGCTTTCGCAGGCTAGAAAAATCTGGTCCTGTGTTATATGCCGGGTAATAATTATGGGCTTTTAGTGAAAACGATGGAAACATTCCCAAAATCACCTTTCCGGCTAGCCGAACGGGTTCTCACTTTTACGCTTACCATTTACGCTTTAACATGATTATATAGAGAATTTGTCATGTTTCGGTTTTATTTCCCTTTATTTTTAAAACTGTTTATGGTTTTGTTATGTGTAATCTTTAAAAGCGAGTGATATTTACGCGCGGCGTTTTGAGTAGTCCTGCATGCGATGTTTATGTACGACTGAAAACAACCGGTGCAGCGATAAAAATTGCGGGAGGGACCACTGACAATCAATAAAATAAATAGAAGTCGGTGAAAAATGTACAGAGACAGTACTGATTTTCATTCACGAAGATAAGTATAAGCCGGCTTCCCAGTGTTGGCTCTTTTTGAAGATGTCGAGGCAAGAAAATCGCCCAGAGCTTTCTATTTACAGCCAAAATCATAACTAAATATTCTTCGGAACTTTTTCTTTGAATTTGCATTGCGGTCAAAAAATGTCTAAAGGCTTTTTAAACCTGATACTATTGTAGGTTAGATCATTGCTCGTGTATCAACTTAAGCCGTAAAAACTACGCTCGACTTCAGGAAACCGAAAAAAAAAAACACACACACACATCAAAGACAATAATTGTTCAGGCTTACCAGTCGAGAAGCTGCTCCTGAAGGTCATCAAGTGAGGCCAGAACCGCTTGAGACTTTTCAACCCTCTTTATACGCCTCAAGCAAGGGCAAGTGAGTAAGCTCATTTTTGAAAACGATGCCATCCGAAATCGGATTTCCAATGACTTTGACAAGCGGTGCATTTCTCAACCAAAAGCGCAATAAACAAACCAGCCATGAATTACAGAACAATCTTGATAGCAGCTGTATTTCATTTTGTAAGTCAAGTAGAAAAAGACAGTTAAAAACATCAGACGATGACACAAAACTCTGCCAGCTTCAGACCTCTCTACGCAAGTTTCCAGACGCTGCATAAATTTTCCGCATGAACTCAACTGTCAAATTTTGACCAATTAGAGGATAAAAATTGGACGTAGAGCGTGATCAACGCGTGACTATGGTGAGAAAAGTCAAAAGCGATTGCCCTCCCTGCATGTAAAAGCGGGTTGAATTTTCGCGTCCGAGGTCAGTTTCAACACGACTTATTTCATATGCATTTCAAAAAAATTGAACTTGAGCCTGCGATGATTTGAAAAGTAGCAACTTGTCACCCGATACGGTCAGGCATACTGGTCAGCAGATACGCTATTTTGACAGCTGTCAATTTACCAAAACATCGATGTACAATATCAGGTTACAGGTTCCCAAACTAACTAGACAGAGTGAGATTAAACATTGGTATGCCTGTGGTGCGGACGGACGGGTGGTTGGTTTATGGTCAGGTGACTGCCAAATGTTCTAGCTATGGGGCTTCGAATTGAGCCCTTGATCAAATAAAATATCAGCGGAAAACTTAAAAAATACGTGACCTCAATGGATAGAAAAATGAGCCCGCGATACAGTCAGGTGATGATGGTCAGCGGATATTCTAGTTTGACAGCTGTCAATTAACCTTTATTAGAATGGCGAATATTCGAATTAACAGACTACGAGTGTGAGTAACACATATCAGTCCGGCTTGTAGTGGAAAATGCCAGATCGTGTACCAGAGCGGACCTGAGCCCACGTTAATTATTAGTTTTCGGATAGTGGTCTGCAAATGTTCCATTTTGACAGCTGTCAATTGGCCTTAATTTGTTTTGCGCATATAACTTTAAACTACTGTCAGCCGACTGACAGCCCTGCCCGGCGTAGTTTCGTTTTTATGTTGAATTGGTAAGTGTGACACATTATATCAGCTTATATGTTGGGGCAAAACAACTGGTCTTTCATCTGAGCCCACGATATGGTCATGTGATAATTGTCAGCGGATGTCTGATTTTGACAGTTGTCAATCTAATCATACTCATACAGATGGCTTACATGAATGAAAGGTTAGTCAAGTTGTGCAAAATCTATTGTGACATTTAACATCTGCTTACACGAAGTGTGTGTTCTGGTGGGCGGGCAGGTGTACGCTACGTCATAACCAAATTTTCCCGGATGGATAGTTTACCAAATTTTGTTACCCATGGTGCTCGGCTGTGCGCGCTTCGCGCGCGCGAGAGCTCCGCTATTAATTTTACCGCTAGAACTCCAGTATATGTATTTCATTTAGATAGAGAGAAAGGTATACAGTCACCAAATATCCTCTATAATTAATCTTGCTATTAGGGTGTCAGGATCATTGAGGTGTCATTCAGGTGTCATTCAGGTTCTTTACAGGAA